AAAATTTAACTATAAAATAAATAAATAAAAATTAACATGATTAATGCAATCAAAATCAATGATTTAAATAAATTCCCTTTACAATTTATAGATTGGCACTTGGAGGTCTTTTCTGATGTTCTTGATTTCAAAACTGTCACTTCTGAGATCCTTGCTGAAAAACTGAGGAAATTTTATTGCGAAGCCAAACCCAAATCAACTTCAAAAAGGATGGCAGAGTTAACAGTTGCACAAGCTGAAAATTATCACAAAAATAGTTTAAAGAATCTTCGCGCTGCAATCAATAGGCACCTTCAGGATTTGGGTAGATCCATTGATATTGTTCGAGATAAGGAATTTAAAACAGCGAATCATACTTTAGATGGAATGCTCAAATCCCTGACAAAAACTGGTGCATCAAGGGCCACCAACCATAAAACAGTCATTCATCCTGAAGATCTTCAGCGCATCTCTACATATTTTCTTTCTGCTCCGCATTCTCCAATTGTCCTTCGCCAGTGTGTTTGGTACAATTTGTCTATTCACTTAGTTACAAGGGGTTTAGAGTTTCATCATCAATTACTAATGGATTCTTTTAAATTTCACAAAGATGAGAACAACTTAGAATACATAACTTTTCGTCACGAAACACAACAGAAAAACTTCCAAGGAGGTATTGCATCTGATGAAGCTCCTTCTGGAAAGCGTATATACGAGGTTCCTAGAAGTGAAACCTGTCCTGTAAAAATGTTGCGCTTGTTAATGAGCAAGACAGATCCCAGTGCTACAAGTTTATTTAATACATGTTTCAAGGATGCCCTATTGAACTCTGGATCTGACCTCTGGTACACTTCCAAACCTTTGGCAAAGAGATCATTCAGTGGCAATATGTCCGATATTTGCAAGTCATCTAAATGTCTGAAGTCTTACACCCCTCACTGCTTGAGAGCCACGGCTATTACTGCAATGAGTGATCATGGATTCGAGTCACGACAGATAATGTTCATGAGTGGACATCGTAGCGAAGCGTCTCTAAAAACCTACAATCGAAATTTGTCAAATGAGCAAAAACGATCCGTAAGTTCATGCCTGTCTCTGCTAACAAATCCTGATCAAAATGGCAATCATAGCAACACCAACCTTTCGTGCAGTGCATCCACGACGTTCACTCCATTAGCTTCTTCCTCCGTTTCTCCTCGTGAACAAGAAAAGCATTTCTCTGAAATTCCAAAGGAAAATCATCCTGCTTTTGATGCTAGTTCTTCCGTCAGCACCTCCATGTCGTCTGATTTCCTCTCAAAGTCTGTTTTCAATCACTGTGTTTTTAACTTCAAATAGACGCCTTGGGACCTCTTTACTTCAACGGAAGTAGTGACATTCCGCAAAGTTTTTCCCGATTTTTTCAAAATACACAGTAATTCTCTTGTAGTTTTACTTTTGTAGAAAATACAATGTTCATTTAACTTAAACTATTGTTTATTTTTAATCAGTGTTAATTAAATAGTTGAAATATATGGAACTACTTTTTGTTACGTCATTTTAACTGAAGCGCTTATCTAGGTCAAATCAGAGGAATGTATGGAAAAGCGTTGTAGGCATCAATTCGCAACAAGTGTAAATATAAGTAATAAGGTATCATTTTTTGAGTTTTATTGGGATGTAAAACGGGTTGGCACATGATCAAATCTTCCATAAAGCCCTTCGGGCTTTATGGGATTTGATCACGTGACCAACCCGTTTTACATCCCAATAAAACTCAAAAAATGATACCTTATTTCTTAAATATCAGAACAACGTTTGCTTTATCATCACTTTCATATTACTGTTAAATACATGTTATCTATATAAATATACATGTATGCAGGGCTTTAATTGCCGACTTATTTAGTCGCCATGGCGCCTAAAATTTTGATTGGCGCCTAAAATTTTTCCGTAGTCGCCAAATTGGCGACCATTTTAAACAGACTTGGCGATCGTCGAATTTCGGAAATTTTCACTTAACAATTTTTCTGAAAAAGCGAAAAGAAATTTAAAAGAAGAGAAGATTATTTTTAGCAATAAACATGTCATATTTTCTCAGGCACGTCATGGGTCCCTATGTTCCATTAAGTTGGCGCCTTAAAAAAACTGCCTGGCGACTAAAAATTTGCGATGGCGACTAAATTTTTTTGATGAGGCGCCAGCTGGCGCCTAAATTTTAGAGGTCACTTAGAGGCCTGCATGTATGTACAAATGATCTGAACAGTTCGTATTAAAAGATATTGACGAAAAATCAAATGTGCCCTGGATGTATGCAACATGTTGGACCCGGGGTGTATACCCGCTCTTTTTCTTAATTATATCCTTGTCCGAAATATCATTGAAAATGTTAATAAACAAGTGATTTTTGTGAAAGTTCGATTTACTGTTTTATATTATTCGCCGGTTTTATAATAGCACAACTATAGATTCATGAAAATCGGACGGATTTGATACATGTTCGTCGCCCTTTTCAATCTTTCTATTTTGCTTTGCAAATGGATGTACAAGGTGCTTTATTTAACTGTTCAATTTGATGACCAGCAAGTCACCCCTTTCTTTTCGATTTAATAAGGAGGAATGCCACACCAGAATGTTATTTAATACATCTTTAAGACATCCCAGTTAAGTTATTATTTCAGCATTGATAGGCCGATATTAGCTCCTAATTATTTTATAAGATTTTTTTCCCAATTTTTCATAGAAAATGAAAAAAAAGTGTTATTTGCAAATACTTTAGAGTTAAAAATTTGCTGTTAATAATTGCATAATATGATTATCTAATGAAATATGTAAAGGAAAGCCAGATAGTCATTTTAATTTTTTTTTACCAACGAATTATTTATGAAAATAAAACACATCATTTGTGAATATTTTCAAAACCCATGGATAATATATTTTTAAAAAACAAGTCACAGCTACAAAGGATATGTTAGACAATCATACTTCAAAAGGAAATTGAAATGAAATTGCGAAATTTTAGAGAAATTATTTTTTTTAATTTTGGCCAAACCATCTTAAAGATCTATTAAACAAAATTCTGGTGTCCCTTAAGGGCAACTCGTCCAGATGTACTATTGATTGTTTAATACATGAATCGTTTTAAACATTTCAAAAAATATTTTTCATAATTTCTTCTTAAAAATATTTTTTTAATGAATGACTTTGAAAAAATAGCGTTTTTTGGTCTTAAACATCGCAAATGTAAACAGACCCCACTTCTGTTAACAGTGATGAGTTACTTAATTTAATTATTAATTCAAATATAATTTAAATTATTATTAAAATGCTATGTAATGAAACTGTAAACTATAGATAATTCATTGCAAAGTTGAAGAGTAATAAATATGGATTTAATGTACAATGATATAATTTTAATATTAGACATGCCAAGATCAAGACTCAGAAATCTTTAAACAAGTAAAATTAAATTTTAAAGTAGAAATAATGAAAATTTGTTTCGAATCTCCGAAACGCTTCTATCTTGTGGTGTTGGGGTGAACTGGGGGGGTGGGGGTGGGGTTATAACAAATTGCTTTCTTTCAAGTCTTATTTATATGCCGTGTACTTGCCCCAGCATATTTTGGCATTAAGTGTTGCATTGTATCATGTATTGTATTGTTTTAAAGAAAACAATTTTTACCATTTTCTAGTAAATGGGGGGGGGGGGGGTAGGAAGGGTAGTCCAATCTCGATTTTTGGTTACTAGTACTTTTCTATAGATTAATAACTCTGAAAATTATAGGAGTGGTAAAAATTTATTGATTTCAATTTCATTTGTATTTAAAATTGTACTCAAAACAGTGATCGAGAGTAGCGAGCCTTTTCTTATAATTACATTGTATAACACCCTAAGAAAATGGTCGAACCTTAGAAATGTGCATTTTTATAGTCCGCTTTATATGTTTATTGTGATTTGGTAAAATATGAAATCTTCTTAGATAAGGGAAAAAAGGAGTCCGCATATTGCTGAAATTGAAAGAAAAAATTATATGAATGAAAAAAAAATACGAAAATATTTTGATTATATACATGTTACTGAATTGGCATGATTTGTCTCTAATATTCTGTAAACATCAATGAAATGATTAGGCCTATGTGAGCGACAACCCCAAATCAAACCTATGTGAGCGACAACCTTTTTAAAATTTTAATTGTTTGCCCAACAGTTGCATGTTAATTTTAGAGGAAAATAATCATACGTTCAAGGTAATTGTATTTATAACTAAAATCTCGATAAATATTTTGAACATAATTCTGAATAACTATGCTATCACCTGCATTTGTCAAAAACGGCACGTTATTGTTGGCGATAACCTCACATCTTTTCAAGTTTGCCAGGGGTTGTTACGATAAATACTGGCTTTTTCAGTCATTTAAATATGTTAACACATCTCATAAAGTAGTTGAAGTACTTTGCCTGAAATTATTTTGACCTCTTCACTGAAAATTAGATAAATTGAAAGAAAAACTTACCTCGAGGCGCTCGAAAAGTCCGCCATTGAAAACTTAAGCGATAACCCTATATGACGTAGTTTCTCCGCCCTGTTTTTATATCACAACACCCTTTGGTCTTAAAAAACCCAGAGGAGGTCAAGTTCAGAAATATATATTGCATAATATAGTTTTCAGATAATAATTTTAGTTTTTCTGTATGCTTTTGCCAGGAAACATTTGGGCATGAATTTCTTAAAAAGACTCCTATTGACTTTAAGGTCAAAAGCTGAAAGGTCAAGGCTGGCCTTTTTTTCTTTTTCCATCAGCCACAATTTTTCCCAGTTCTTCCACCCTCTTCTTTTTTCCTTGAGCAGGGGACACAATTTCCCTCTCTCAACATGTCTTATTATTCATGAAAAAATAATGCAAATTTATTTTATTATAAAGACCTAATACATATGTACTGTATAATAAAACAAAATGTATGGAGATTTTGCTTTGAAAAAAATCGATTAAGTTTGGTTGTCAGTTTTGAAATATTTTGAGTTTATTAAGCTGGATATCTCAAGAATATTTCAATTGATATTAGATGAAGAGGTGCTGTAGAAATATTTAGCCTCGGGGACTATTTTCGAGTTGCAGCCGTCTGCTGTGCAGCAGAAATGACACGTGTACTGTCCTGGTAAAGCGCCCTCTGCATACTTCAGACAGCGGTCCTGGTCAGAAGTCTGGGCCAACCACTCGTTCCTACAGGTCAGCTCGTCCACACATCTGGTCAATTAACAAAATCAAAGTACAGAATGTACTCCTGGGAGTAAAATTTTCAAATTAAAGAAAAAAATAATAATTTCACTGTTTTTTTTTTCTTACAACAAAAATATTCAGTTAAATTATACTGCAATGATGTCCCTTCATTACTTGATTAATGTTTTACATGTACATGTATTTACTTTATAAACCGTGTACATTTATATTTTGAGGGTTATTTTGAAAGTATTACAGAGGGTCGGGAATGCTCTGCTCTCAGTCTTAACCTTTATCCCTTCTAATCAGCAATGAAGTCGTCCATTCAGTGATAAACATGAAAGCCGCCGCGTTTTTCTTTTTCTTTACCCCGAACTTTAACCTAAAACTCTATTAATTTAAGCAACATATAATACCCCTATTTTAAATATTTCCTACACACAACTAAATGAAAAATACGGTGGCTGGTAGAGGACATGATATACGATTTTTTTTTTATTTTATTAATTCGTGGCCACGAAATAAAAATTCGTTTCCGTGAAATAAAAATCGTGACCATGAAATGAAATGCGCGCAAACAAAATTAAATTCCTGGCCATGAAATAACTTTATTTATTACATTTTCAACAGTGAAATATTGTAATCTATTAATTGAATAAAAGTGATATTCACTCATAGTGTGAAAGGATACCAAACTGATATTCTCTCACAGTGTGAGAGAATATCAAAGTAATTAAATATTAATTTCTGAACTGTCATAAGATAGAGAAAGTAACTAAACCATCTTGATAGAGACTAAAACTGCCAATTTCTTCCCAAATTTGTCGCTAAAATCCATGTTGCAATTTTTTCAATCTCACAATTGCTAAGCTATGACGTCTCCACCGCTCAACTATGATGTCAGCCTTAAGAAAAGACAGAGGCAAAAGGAAAATTAAAGAAAATGTAATAAACAGAAAATCCAATGTTTTGTAGTTGGATATGGAATTTATTTCACTCGTGAGACAGAATTTTTTTTTATTTTCACTCGTGCTTCGCACTCGTGAAAACATAAAAAAATCCTGTCCCACTCATGAAATAAATTCCATATCCAACTACAAAACATTGAATATCCTCTATATATTTTGTATATAACATAAAAGTATAGATTTGGTCTGTTCTCGCTAACTCTACGTGCAAATTACAGGGGCAGCATTTTATAAGGAACATTCTTTACAAGTGCATACAACATATATTCCATACTGTTCATTAATCTTAATACACTTAAAAAACTGCTCAGTCAGCAAGGGCCCCGAAGAGGGAATCTAAGAGAAATCTAAGGGTGCAGCTTAAAAGATGAGAATTTGAGCCAAGAAAAAATTTAAAATGAAATTTTAAAATATACGAAGACTCTGAAACATTAACTGTATTTATAGTGGACATACTTCCTAAATGACAAATGAGATTATCCAACTACCTTTAGAAATTAATAATATCCTTGTAATTGTATAAGGGAGTAAAAAACATCATATCATATAATAATTCAAATAAATGTATAATTAAAATGAAGCATGCATTCCATAAAATGCCAGCAACATCACCCAGGCTTGACCTTAAATTCAAAACAAACATCACTTAGAAACAGAGGTTTTAGATAATCCTAATATGACAGATAAAGATAAGGTACTGGATTTTCTACAGCAGGCAAGATAATTATTCCCAGGGGATTAATTGTACTGTTGTCTCATCCTTTAATTTTAAGTTTACAACCTCTTATTTTAAGTTACAATAAGAACATTTTCAGCAATGATAGAATAAGGCTTTTAATACTGTTCCTATGAATAGTTTCCTTGAATATTCACAAGGCAACAATAAAAAATGACATTTTTAACTCCTTTTTTTTAATGAATTCCCCATGAAAACTATATTCTAATAAAATGTGTATTTTATCCAGAATAAAGTATGGGCTTCATAAAAATCCACCCTTCTGTGAATGCAAACATCATCCATGATTGACCTTATTTTCAACATAAACATCACTTGCAGACAGAGGTGTCAATTAATCTTGATGTGACAGATAGAGATCAGGCTCTGCATACTCTACAACAGATGAGTTAATAAATCACATGGGACTCATTGTAGTTTTCATAGTATACAAGAGGAACATTTTAAGTAGTTACCTCTCTTTGCACATTCATTCTTACATTAAATTAGGAATCTATCCCACCACACCGGCCCCAAACTGGATGACACACAGAATCAAAATTAGTATCAAAATACTGTAAGTCTTACTGCCTATTCAACCATCATACCAAATTTGAACTTGATAGGACAACCCAGAAAATTTGCGGACGTAAGAGTGACAGACAGACAGCTAGACAGACAGACAGAGTGATTACTATAGGGCACCCACAAAGCATTGACCCTAAATTGTTAGATACAGACAGCAGTTATTATAAATGTTACACTATATTGAATATTGATACCCCTGATGTTTGCACACTTTATACCAGAGAAGTAATTTTAACCTTATAAAGGGTGTATTCCTTGTAACAAAAGATTTGACATATAGGAGAGAACAATTTTCCGGAAAAAGTCACATTTAAAAATCAATGTTCTTTAGTTGTTTTCTATCGTATATTTGTTTAAATTTTTCAAATTTGCATTTTGAACCTAAATATTTTTATTTGCAACTTTGAAATTAACCTCCAAAGTTGATCAAAACAGTATTTTGTCCGTTAAAGCACTAATTTTTGCGTGAATTTTGGCATAGAAGTCCTTCAGGACAGGCCTGCCCCTGAATTAAATTATGAAATTTTGATAGATTTTGATCTAAGGAATAATTTAAAAGAATATTTTTTTAGGGGCACCCCTGCCCTAGGGTTGAAATTCGTAAAAAACCTACAAAAAATGCGAAAACCTATTTCTATCATACTGGTTTTTACCTATGATACGTCTTCATAGTCAGTATAGCTCAGAAGATAGACCGCAGACTCTATTTTAGTGTCCTGGTTCGAATCCACCTGTTGGCATACTTTTATTTTTCAAAATTTCACCTGTATAAAAACAAATTTAATTTTTTTTATACAGGCTTTTGCATTTTACTTCTATTTTCTTCATTAAATGTATGTTTGCTGTTGATATAAAACACATTTATGGAAATGCAGATCATAAATTCTCTTTAACTAAACGCAATCAACCGGAACTATACCTCAGTGTAAGCACACTTTGTCCGAGGACACGAATCATTCACTTTGTGTTACTCGATACTGCAGGTGTATTTACAGATACATCCTTTGTTTGAGGGTCCTACTAGATTCCTGGGTAATGGCAACGGGACATAAAACCTTAACCGACCTTACCACGTTCTTTTCTAATCTGTAAACCTTCCTCCTGCATTTTTGGCATAACATGTCACCAATGCACACAATTTTCCCGAAAAATGAACTGCATCTTCTCTGTATAGCGCAGTATCTCTCCCACTGGAACAACAGTACTACCCAGAGATGTTCTTGAAAGACAAACGCAGCAATTTTACGGCTCGGCATGATTTTTTTTTTTCGTGACACCGAGGTAGGGTCATATGAACACACAGTTGACTACAACTAAAACGATACATGAGAAACAAGAAAATAAACGCATGTGGCCTAAAGTCAGCGCCCGGGACGGATATCGATAAGCTTTTTCTAAAGACTGAAACCAATATCGGCCCTATAGGTTTGTTTGTTTGTATGTTGTTTAACGTCCCTCTCGAGAATTTTCCACTCATATGGAGACGCCACCATTTGCCAGTGGAGAGCTGCACATTTTTGTCCTATACTCGGCACTTACAGCCATTGAGCAGTGAGGGATCTTTTTCGTGCCAGCACCTACTGCGACAAGGGACCTCGGTTTATACGAAGGACCGGTCTCCACGTCCCACAGTTGGATTCGAACCCGCGACGTAAGGATCAACTCCTTACTCCGCGACTCTAGAGGTCCTATAGGTCAACACATATATTTATCTAGAAGTGATCCTTTAATGTTTTTGTTTTATTATTACATAACTACTGATTGATGTAGTTTTTGCCGCAATGGTTCATAGAACATATATAATGAATAGATACATGATGAAATACTGTGACTTTGATGCAAGTGATCTATTGATATGGTGTTGGATTCAACAATATATCTTTAGTTTACACATTTCTAGAAATATGTATTGATTAAATACTAATCCAAGAATGATATTTGTTTTGTACAAAACTGGTTTGTTCACAGTGGTTATTTTAAAAGTATTAAAATGCTTTCTTTGGTTGTAAGTATGGGAATTAATGTTGCAGCTGCTGCAGATAAAAATGCATTAATTCCCGTACTAACAAACAAAGAAAGACATTTTATTGTTTATATTTATATATCTGTACAAATATTCATCTAAAGTAGGATTAAACATAGTTTAAATATTTACATCATCGTGCGTTTAATTGATGGAAGAACCACTGCTCCAGAAAATCTTTAGAGGTGATATGTTTACCGGTATTCACTGACTGATAAACGACAATGGTTTTCTTAAAGACCCAATTTTTTTACCGTACGGTTACCTGAGAAGAGGGAGTGGTCTTATTAGTACAGATGTTATTTACCTGGAGTGCCCTAATACTCAAGATGCCAAAAATTCATATACACATTGCATTATACAGGAAGTCTTTATGGTGATCATGGCCAACATTACACACGTTTCTTGTCTAATTCTGAGTGAAACAGTGATGAAACCAAATAATGCTTTTGCACGAACTTGATAATCTCAACATTTTCATCGAAAATTTTGATAAAAAAAATATCATGAATAAAGAAATATCCTTTTACTAAAAATTATATTAAAAAACTAGATTGTAAGCTACAAAGCAATCATATCAATGATTTTTTAATTGTCAGTAAAAAATAATTACAAGGTATATTGTACGTGTAAATATTGAAAAAAAGTTCCATTTCTCTTCAGTACATTAACAATCTAGAAATTATTGATTTCCCTGGCCGACACTGGTGCCCATGATGTTCATTTACGAATAAGGAATTTAGAGGAAATTCGAACTATGATTTTGACATTTCTTCCACTACGTGGTGAAGAATTATTGCCAATTTTTGTAATCTAAATTTCTTAAATAAAATAAATGCCATCCGAAGATAGTGCAATTTAAAAATAATCCCCAATTTATTGTACACGAAATACAATATTTACGTAACGTGTACTATTTGTGAGTTTTTTTTAAACATCTGCTTTTACAGATAAAACCTGTGATAATTTAAAAGGAATCTTCATAATTTTCAAACTTATTTCATGCCATCAGTGTCTAATTATCTTCTGTCAATTATTTTATTCCATTTTGTGTTGATTCATTTTATTGGGGGGGGGGGGGGTCGCTATATTGTTACTGAATTGAGTTTCTGTGGACCCAAGCGACAAATCAAGCGGGGCACAGGAAAGAGGTTGTCGCGTAGTCAGGTAATTGTTATCGAAACATCCAATATCAGAACATCAGGTAGCACCGGTAGCTGGCCTGTCAATCAGATAAGTAGCTATTGTTTTATTTATGATTGACAGGCGGTATATTATTGATCTTGAACCAGGTAGATTTTGGGGGCGTTAACACAAAATTGGGTGTTTAAGAAATAAAAGAGAAAATATTCAGTGAATGTAAATGTAAAGCTGCTAAAATGTCTAACATGCTTTTATGCATCAGATTTTTATCAGATTAGTATAATTTATTTTTATATCAAACAAAACCTTTTTTTTTGTCTGGCTAGAATTTAAGAGTTCCAAATGTTGATAAGTACATATTATACGTACAATGCATCAAGGAAAACATCTTTGTTATTGCTATTTTTAAAAATCTTTTTGATTGCTGTAAACGCACAAAGTTGGAAAGACAGTGCTGAACACGTTTCATATCTACGATACACACACAATGTATACAAGAAAAAATTCGTGGCCTCGAATTAATAAAAAAAATTCTCGTCCCATGTCCTATACCAGCCACCGTACATAACATAATATTAGATAATTTTTAATTTTTTGGAGTATGCATTTAACCCATACCAAATCATAGCGCGGTTATTGCGTGATGGCCTAGGGAAATTGAACATGTATAGGAGTAAAGTATTTATTCACCTAACTAAGTAGAAAAACCGTGTTGTAATGCTTTGTTATAGGTATAATATAAATTAAAACTACGAAACTTTTTCCTCTGATTTCCACTAGTGGACCCTACTGTATTAACACCAAGAATGAAGAAAAATTGTGATTAAAAATCCCAGACCTTTTGTAGATGGCGACACTGTCGTCAGCTCCTTGAACGACATCCGTCATACAGTAACTTCCGTGGCTGCATGGCGAAGGACTGCCCATATATACTTTTCTTAAATCGCAAGGAAAATTAGAATTTCTGTCTCCACACTGATGACAAGATATTGGCGCAGCTGCAACGTCAAGGAGGCAGAAAAGAGTGTTTGAAAGAGGATGCGCTTGTTAAGGTGAGTGCTCAAAAACTTGTGCTTTATCTCCGTATTAAAATTGCTCAAGGTGCCAATTTTTGATGTCTGAGTGACCTAATGTGAAGGTTCTGTAATATTGGTCTTTTTATTTTGACCTCAGTAGAAATGTCCCTCCTTTTTATAGTTAAATAATAGCAAGTGTTAAAGTTTTGAATTTTTTTACTCTCAGAGCCAAGATATTCATGTGTATCTTGATTTATCTACATAAAAACAGTTTGAATGACGCGATGTCCACAGACATTGAAGTTCACAAGAGTATCATTTTTTTTTCGAAGTACTCCCAAAACGTTCCAAAGAAACAGGTAACCAAACAAAAAGTACCAAGGACTTGCTTTTGATTTACAATTACGGTGACAAAGTAATGATTATTTGGAATTGTAATTATTAACTTTATTCATATACCTATATGTGGTGGCAAGTGTTTGGAATTGTAATAATATATACATATACTTACCTGTAGTGGTAGGTGTCGTGGGTGGTGGAGTTGTGGTGACCTAATTAAGATGAAATATTACTTATTGTATGACAAGGTACTGAATACATTAAAGCTGTTCTAAATAGAGGGCGAATATAAAACTTTTCAGTGTGCTTTCTTTTTTAAAATAAGTACCTGGTATCTATTTTGAAATGCCTGTAAGTGTCAGTAAATAACCTATTTACAAACCAATAACATCGACAACTGGTGTATTAATAAAAAAAAATCGAAGGTATTTTGTCATATTTTCAAACAAATTTCAACTATACCCTCTCTGGACTACAGAAACACTTGCTACTAGCACAGTCTATATGGTCAATAGGACAAGGCATCTGCCACGTGGGAAAAATCATAAATGTGTTTCCCTGATTGCAGTCGTCTCTGGAATTACAGGCAGCAGCCGCTAAAAAGAACAATAACGGGTATTACAGGTTTGTATTAATACAGCTGTCACCATATGTTCTGTCATATCTACTTGCATGTTTGGGAACAGTTAATCCAAATTTACACTGAACATCCGCGAAAAAATAGTGTTACAAAAATAAGTGTATTTGGGCCAAACAAGTTTTTTACTTTGATTTTTTTTTTCAATATAAATTAAATACAACGGTTCTTTTCCTTTAGTAACATTCATTAAATCTAATAAATGTTACAAGAAATTATGTATCTTTGTTATGTCATTCGAAATTTGTACAAATTTAAGTTTTCATTAAATCACACAAAACATGATAAGTGTAATTTGTGGAAAAATTTAAAAGATTTTATATAAGTTGGCAATATACATTTAGATGATCATGCTTTTTTTTTCTTCAAATTTCAAATCCTAAAAGGAAAATTTTGCATATTTAACTTATCAGGATTTATTTAAACCACATAAAATCCCCCAGAATGAATGAATTTGGGCAATTGTTTAAAACAAACATACGTACAAACAGACAAGGACAACTCTTCTTGAGTCTCAATCACAAAAGCTTAAAGGTACTTGGTAGCAAAAGCTTAAGTAAATGACCCGAAATATATTCCTCTATCCCTCATTTTTAAATTACCTACATATGTAGTCATAGGTTAGTCTGTATTGGGAGTTCACTTTGTGATGATCGATAGTATTATCGTGTTGTAAATTTTGAATTTACAAGGTGGAGTAAATGCAAAACATACAAGTTATCATATTGTAAATTTTGCATTTACCTCCACCTAGTAAATAAAAAAAACACACAGGAGAGTATCAGGAGATAAAATATTTCCAGTGCTTAAATAGAAGTATTTTAGTTCACTATAAATAAAGAAAACAATCGTTTTATCTTCATCTTATTTTCTGCTTTAGTCAGATAAAATGACACAGATCGACAATCTTGTTGTTAATGAAATACGTATCGATTCTTTGTTCGGAGTTGCAATAATGTCTTTCAATAATATTCATGATAATCAACTAAGGCAATCCAAAGGGTATATCTAGTAAATCTGAAATTCTACTTGAAAATTAGAAGATCTAAGAAATAATTTGTGTGTCTAAAATACATTTTTTTTTTACGAATTAGGGTGTAATGAATTTAGATGATTAAAATCCATTTTATTAAGAATTAAGATGTTATGAATTTAGATATACATATATGGATATTTTTATTTGCCAATGTTTTGTCAAAAATAACTATTATGGCTACTTCAAAATTGCCAATTATAATATGCGTTCTTTACGCTGTCAGATTCCAGGGTGCGGTCTTTCAGCCCCTTTTGTCTCATGAGTGATTGCATACATCTATGTAGTACATAAGACTTGGTATCGCTAGAATGAAACAAGGGAATAAAGTGCTAAAAAATCCTTAATCTGATCATCTATAAAACGTTGTTCATATATAGAATCTGAATCAACATTCTCCCGGTTCAGTATGTATTCTAGTTTAGTCATTGTTTGGGCATGTTGTCACTAGAATGAAATATGAAGATAACGAACAGTCTACGTTGGAACAATACAAATTGGGAGCAGAGCATCCCCTGTCGACCTGTCACACCCTCCGTTTGCTCCTTATCATCATCGAGCAAACGGAAAAATTCGTAGACAATTCAGTTTGAAAAATAATGCCTAACAATTTGTATGAAAAACGTCAGTCAATATTCGACTTAACGATAGACTGTATTTGGTAATAAGGTACATTTTCAATGAATTTTTCAATGTCTTTAATAATGAACCTTTTTGAGATATTTGTCCTGATTACTGAACACACGGCATTTGAAGCATCATAAATGATATGTATTACTCGAATTCAATATTTACCAGTCCACAAGTTTGGTCAGTTAGGATATATGTATTGTATATAGTAATATTCCAGTAAATGCAGAATCCAAAGCAAAGTAGACATCCTTGGTACTATCGTTAATGCAAGGTTGGTCATTGTAAGACTTATTTGTATCCAATTTGAAATCGATCTGCAACTTTAACTTGAACATCCGGTAAATATAAGTCATAGACAGCAGCCAAATTATTTTTAAAAGTCTGCATCCTTTTTTTAACATTATCAATACAATTATATTCAACCATAGCGATATATAGATATTTGGGAATGAAAATACTCAGGAATCTTTTATCTGTTCGCTTAACTCCAAAAATAGGTCATATATAAAATCCTAGTCATGACTGGTGCTATGCAGACCGATTTTTTGTTTGTTTAACTTTTCGAAAATTTTTCATTCATATTGAGAAGCCACCACTTGCCGATGGAGGACTGCAAATTTATACCTGGACTCGGCACTTAGGGTCTTTGAGCAGCAAGGGATCTTATTCGTGCCAGCACCTACTGCGACACTGGACCTCTGCTTATACGTCTTATCCGAAGGACCTATCTCCACGTCCCGCAGTGGGATTCGAACCCGAGATACCACATCTATGCAAGATTGTTTGAAAATCCAGAAAATTAAGGTCAAATGTAGAATCAAAATAATGATTTTTAGTATACATCATTGTCATCATCCATGCAAATTAAACATAAAAATTAGAGCTCCTGGAGATCTGGAAAAACATTAAATCACTTATCTAGGAGCAAGTCTTAGCTTGTCTTAGATCTTAGTATAATCAATTTCTGAGAGAAATACATATACTAAATTTTCAAAAAACATTGTCAAGCCTTCAATTAAAAGGAACTTTCAACTAATCCTTTTTGCTTCCTTAGGAGATCACGGTTTCAAAACCTCACATTAATGTTTCCAGTTTGTTTTTTTTCCTCCAGAACACAAAATGTAATTCATAATAAGCAAAAGATAAATACCAGTGGTTGTAGGAGGTGAAGCCGTCGATTCATTGTGTGCTGATAATAAAAAAATGAACATTTATGAAACATCAAACTACAAACATTTTATTATTTTTTCATCTTGCTACTGTTTATGATCGTTTGTTGCGACTTAGGTCGCTCAAGTCCCTTATCAGTTTCTGCCCGTCGTTGTACATCATGCACAGGGTTTTCTTAATTTCGACGTCTTCTAAAGAATCTTTGTGGCAATATGAAAAATATGAACAAAAATACCTCAAAACGTTCCATTAATGATAACTTAATAACTAGGATTCAACAACAAATTATACCATATTTTTTCCAATGATTGTAATGATAATAAGTTATTATCAATAACACCTGCATTTTTTTTGAAGAAAAAAAATTTCTTCATTTTCAATGAGGCCGAAGAAGGCAAAGATCAGTCCCAAAAAAGCAGAATCGAAACTCAAGAGCATGTATACATTTTCTTTTGCAAGTCAAGGCAATTCGAGCTTTCTTGAGTAGATGTTGGATAAAAAAAAGTCACCTCTCGCGGTTGACAGCACTGAAGCTATACCTGAACTAGAATTATACCTGTTGGAGAAGCTGAAAAATTCGCAAAAGTTGTTTCCGAAGTTTCTAAACTTGTAGTTGTTGGTAATACCGAAGGAGTTGTAAAGCTCACATTAGAAGAATTCGATGTGTAACCTAGTGTGGTGGTCGTAGGAGGTGGTGAGGGTGTCTGAAAGGATTTCTAATACTATGGAACACAAGATCGAATATGATGGAATTATTTTATTTTACTGATGAATTAGAACCATGAAGATACTGGTCCTCTCCCTCTTAAAGATCAATGTATCAAACTGCAATATTTCAACGGTATTTCCTTTGTAGAAGTATATGACTTTATTCTAAATGGGATTGTAATTTTCTGAAATCAAACTTGAAATAGGTTTTTTTTAATGCTATAATCTCAAAGCTACATAAGTAGTGGTTACCTTCCAGAAAATACACTGACATCTGCCATCAACACATAAAGGATAGAGATTTTCCTCTGCACAGTTTCTATAGTCCGTAGTTCCATTCTTCACTTCTAACACCGTGTTGGCTGTTGTACATGTATCATTCAGACCCAGGTTGGAGTCGCATGCTGCAATGAAGTTGAATCTTCAGCGATATCCCAAATAATATTTTAATAAACTGTTCTGCAGTTATTGAATTTCATTGAAGCATTAGGAATCTAATAGGTGAACCATCATATTTTTCTTTTTAAAGCAAAATATTTATTTCTTCATTCTAGGACCATGGCAGTTGATATCTAGCTTAGAAACAAATCTTATCTCCAAAATAGTTCATTAAGATGGAACGCCAAATTAACATAACGAAGCCGAGTCTTATTCCAGTGCGCATGACTTTGCGCAGCTTTTTAGTTTCATGCAGTCGTATCTGCAACATAACACCTATCCAAGTAATGTAATTGTAACACAAAATGAACATTATCTGTAACGTTTATGGGTCTTAAAATGTGCTTTTAAGACAATATTTAGGAATAAATGCTGAAATGGCTTTCACGACGTCACTGTTTTCCGGTTCTGTAAGCAATGCATGACGCTGAAGAATGACGCTTGACTCGCTTGAGTATTCAAGACGTCCATGGACATTTTATTAAACACTGTTGACAGAACATCAAAAGAAACATACCAGCAATCTAAACGTTGTTATTTTTTACCAAAATAATTCATCTGTGCCGATATATACAAAATGTATGCCGCAATATGGCAAATTCAGAGGTATTGGGCATTGGGAAAAGATAAACTTTGTAATAATTCCTAGACCAAACCAGATGGTCAACTTTTTGATATTTCACAATTTGGTGACTTTTTACAATAACTTTCATGTATTTGACTGAAAACGAAATCCCTAGGACAGAAATAAAAAAAATATGGGGAAAAATGTGATAATTTGGCGCTTTTCCAACAAATTCCTATAGGGTCCAATAGTAAAATTTGACAACTTTTAAGATGATCCTCTTAGAAATCGGGATGGTAAACATTTGATATTTTTATCTTAGAATAATTAATATAATAGTAAAAATTCATTCAAGAAAATTTATCAAAATATCTAGGGTAGAAATAATTAGACTCGGCCTCGTTAAATTCAAATATCTGTATCTATCTTAGAATAGTTGAACCTGTCTTCAAATCAATAGCACCTATCTCCAAATAAATTGAATATATGCATGTTAATACGATCATACCTATCTTTAATTCATTTGTAAAATTGATTTGAAGATACTAATAGATAGAATTGAAGATAGGTATATTACCAAAAATTAAGGATAGGTATATAATTGATTTAAAGAAAGGAAACAAAAGAAACCTATAAGTATAATAATTGATTTGTTCTTTAAATCCTTTGTGGAGATGTTTTAATTCACCTATCGTTAATTGAATTGCATATATTAAATTAATTGTACCTATTTTCAAATAATTTAAAGATAGGTACATTAATATTTTAATTGAATTTATCTGTAATTGGATTATACATGTACATACTAGTTATAATTCAATTACCGATAGGTGTAATTCATTTTTACCCACGTTCAATTCAATCAGTTAAAGATAGGTATAATTATAATATTTACATCTCCTTTCATTCCTGTAGACCTATTTTTATTTACTGATATCTATCTTCAATTCTTTTTAAGATAGGTTCGGTTACTTGAAGATAAGTACAAGTATTTGAAGATAAGTACAAATATTTGAAGATAAGAGAAAACATTTGAATATATGTTAATATGGCGTGCCATGGGTACTAAACTGCTCCTCGCGAAGTTTATGCCATTTGTGACATTTTATCAGTTATGCATATACATGTAAAATCAAATACCATTTAGAATTTCTTTATACATGTATAATCACTAAAATAAGGTTGAAATATTGCTGACCGATGGCATACATACACACCATAAAATTGGTATATTCTTGAACATTCATGAAAAGAGAAGATTGTTTAGCAAAATAAAACTTACATGGGTTGAGTTGACACTTGCACATCCCATGGACGCAGACTTTTACTTGATACTGGTTGCAACTGAGATGCTTGCAGGTCGATGTGTCGCTTCCACCACAGAAATCAGGAATGGCTAAACACTGACAAGTATGATTTACACAGACATTGACTTCTCCTCGGGAAGCATCACATGTCTTATGACCACAGTCAGCATCATTTTGTTGACAATAATCTAGCGGTTTACAAGTGCAGGTTCGTCCTTCGCAAAACTTTTTCTCTCCAGATCTGCATTTCAAATGAAAGCACTTACTGACGTCATGTTCGCTGCAGGTATCAGGTACATATGCGCAATGACAGTGATTTGAACTATTGCATTTGGCGGTAAATCCTGCTGTACACGTGGCGTCCAGGTACATACAGTAGAAATGGTTTCCCTTTGGACAGTAGTCGTGTGATTCACAGAGACATTGTCCATCAACACAGAACCCTTTCTCGCGACAGTTTTTACATTCCGAGTCGCGACTGCAAAAACATTCACATCTGTCGTTACTATTACATCTCTTAGATTCATTATGTGGACAGTGGAAATTTTTTAGGCAGTAGAACTTGTTGCCGCCTGGACAGTAATTGTTTGATTCGCAGACGCATTGTTCATTGATACAAAATCCTTGTTCTGGACAATTGTGACAATGAGAGTCAAGACTGCAATAGCACTCACATTTATTATGGCCATTGCACCTCGTACGTTCATTATGTGGACACTGCAGAGGGCTACATGGGTAATCAGTGTGGTCACAGTAATCCGCCGGATAACATACACAACCATGATTATTATTATGGGGATCATGATTCACACATTGGTATTTTCCGGAGGAACATATATGATGACAGTGTTCTACAGCAAAATAAAATACATGACTGTGTAAGTTGATCAATTTTAAAATTATATGAAATACAGCATGGACAAGCGAGTAGTTCTTGGAAACTGTTTTTTTTTTTTTTGTTTTTTTTTTTCTTTTTTCTTTTTCTTTTCTTTTTTTTTTTTTTTTGTCATTGCCATTAATTAACTCAATTTTTTTAATACAAAAAAAAAAAGGATTTATTTTGTAAATTAAAGGGATTCTTCATTTTCCTTGATTTTTCATGCATTTGTTTTACCGTATATTTTAGTGACTGTTTGGTCTGCGTATTTCAATATAAAATGTTTGATTTTTTTTTTTTTTTTTGAATTCTTTTTTAATTTGCAATTTTAACCTAATTCTGTAAAGTCTGCAAGAATTGGACATCCGAAGATTACCTTTGTCAAGGTATGTCAGGATGAATATTGGCAAAAAGGTGAGTATTTTTCTTTAAATGAGGTAAAAACGGAGCATACTGTTGAAATAAACATCATAGTGATGAACCCTTAAAACTCTTTTTAAAAAGCATAAATGCTGACCAAAAGTTCTCTAACAAAAAATTGCTTAACTATAGTTTATAGATATCCATATAGTTTTCTACAGTTAAATTTAGTGCCAGAGTTTTTTTCCATGGTAAATAAAAGGTTTTTGATTTATCGAAACTCATCGAACTCGTACATGTAGCCCTTGGATCAAGGGACAGGTGAGCTAACCATTGCTACGCATTCCGATACAAACGTGTATGTAAATTAAATTTTTTTCGTAGTAATCGCAATTCCTTATTTTTAATAGCAAATGAAATTTTAAGTTTTTTTCCCTGGTTAGTCAAAATTCCTTTTCTATAAAATTCAGGTTGTTATATATCTATACAAATTTCATTTCCCAAAGCACCATATTTTACATGAAAATATGGAGATATTATTTCCAGTGAACTCAGTAAACTTTTAAAAGATAAAAGAATAAAGTTTCATCAAGGCATCAATTAACTTTCAAAGTATCATTTTGGTAAACTAAAGCAGTTTTATACTATAAATAACCATAATCTTTTTTTCTTTCTTTCTTTGCTATAGAATTCTTTACCAGAAGGTTTTCTGTAAAGAAAATATTTCTTAGTTCACTTGAGTCAAATGCTAACAAAGAATGAACGGTGTAAATCTGGCTGTTTGGCTGTCTACATGTATGTCTCTCAGTGTCTTTCTGTTAGTCTGACATTGTAGACTTTTTTTGCTGTAAAGTTGTACAAGATGATATACGGAAAGTCTTGAGAACACGCTCATGCACATGTTTTGTAATTTGATTGGCTGAAACTTTTAATGGCTATAACTTTCTTAGTTTTCTACAAAACAGGATGGAAATTAAAATATAGATAGGTATAATAGGTTTCTACATTATACTCTATCAAAATTGAATATAAGAACATTCATGCACATGTGCTGAAATTTGATTGGCTAATACTTTTTAGCCCTTGGTGTATCTCTCGTACTTTACAATATTTAAGACATGGGTTTAAATTATAAGATACTATAAGTATAAATATGCGAGAAATCTAGAAAATACACGACAGCACATGTGTGGGAATCTGATTGGCTAAGATTGTAGGTATTTATACTTTTCTTAGTTTTTTTAACGAAAGAAGACGAATTTCAGAGTATATATGAAAATAAATAATACAAGTGTCTACAATATGGAATCATCAGAAATCTGAAATGAGTACGAGGACATGCATACACGTGTGCTGAATTCTAATTAGTTAATATTCAGGTTGCTTTAACATTCCATGTTTTCAGTGAAATTAATTCTTTGAAATTTAAAATGTAGACCAAATTTATTGGGGCATACTCTTGGATAAATATGGAAATTTTCGAAAACTCGTGCGTTAAATTGTTAAATTGTCATATTTGATTTGGATTATATTATCCTTGGCTTAGTGGGATTAATTATTGAATAATCTCTAAATTTTAAGATTCACTTACACAAATTATATATATAACGATTCAAAAATAAAGAAAATATTATCTAACCTTTTAAAGTTTAGTATGATGATTGTGGGCAGTACTTAGCAGAAGAATTTTCACTACACTATGCAGCTTTACATAGTGCTTTGTTTGCAATGTTTTTCATTGAAGAAACATCTTTGAACCCCACCCCCCTTTCAAAGTTTGTATGTGAACTTAAATCTGATTGGGCTATGCATTTTGCTTTATGTGCGTTATTTCCCCAAATGATTTAGAAAATAAGATAAAAAAATCTATAATACAAACATTTTGCCTAATTTAATGAAGCTTATAGGGAATGGGACACCAAAAGGGAAAAGGAGAATAGTTGCCCGCGTGGCCCAGTGGTTAGAGCGTCTGCTCTAGAGTTTTCCTTACGCCGCGGGTTCGAATCCCACTATCCATGGCACTATGGGACGTGGAAACCGGTCCTTCGGATGAGACCGTGTAAACCGAGGTCCGGGGTCGCAGTAGGTGCTGGCACGAAAAAGATCCCTCACTGCTCAATGACCCTAGCTGAGTGCCGAGCATACATGTAGGTCAAAATTTGCAGCTCTCCATCGGCAAGTGGTGGCGTCTCCATATGAAAGAAAAATTCTCGAGAGGGTCGTTAAACAACAACAACAAAAAAAAAAAAAAAACAAAAGTGAGTAGGGGGTGTTTGGGGGAAATCTGTAACGGTCTCCGTTACAATCAGAACTACCAGTGTAGTTTGTTTTGGTTTAATTTAATTTTTGTTATTGATGAAAATTAAATTCCTATTACCCAATGATGTTTGGTGACACGTCTGTTTGAAATTGTGGTTTTAAGAAGAAGAAAAAAATCGAAAATACGATAAAAAAAAAAAAAAACGCACAACGCTCGGAGTCGACAAACGAAAACGGATACATTGTAGCAAAAGGTTGCTATTGTCTGAATTGCGCGATGTACGTAAATATCTAAGGTTTGTGTTAACAGGTAACACTCTAACGTGTGATGGAAGTCCAAACCTCGATGGCTACGCCAAAGTCTGATGGCCTGTGACAACCTCAGAAGGTTTTACTCGCCAAAGGCTGTTGATTTTTGTGCATTCGTGAAAGTCCAATGGTGCGAAAAAAACTTTTATGACGTCATAGTACTACTTTTTCAAAGTGCGATGCCACACAACGCCAAGGTCCGATGGTTTTTAAAAATGAATACAAGTTAGGACTGATGCAAAGCATGAAATTGGCCGCAAAAATAAGAACATTAAAGAAACTTCACAAGAAAATCTCCAAGGAAATTACAGAATTTTAAGGTAGAAAAAGCATATAAAGATTTTTATTTCAAAACTCTATATACAGAGCTTTAAAATAATCAGAAATTGCAAGATAAAACAGAAATGGTACCTACTACTTCAAATTTTAGTGCGTTTGCTGACCAAAATAGAATTAATATAAAGTGTAGAAAAAAATATATCGTTATGTCATTCTTAGGCGTCCGTATCGTCACCAAACCATCAGGGCAGACCATCGGACTTTGGTTTTTGGCGCGACCATCAGACATTGGGGTCCTTCATATAAAATACAATGTATATCAAGTATGAAACTTGTTATTTCCTGGGTGTAAAAAAAAAGTTATCTAACATCTATTTCAAACCAATAATTGAACCACACTCACGGTCATGGCAAAGGCAGTGAACGACTGTCAAACCTACAAGATAAAGATTATAACCGTACATGTACATTCAGGTTAACTGGTTTGCATGATTTAATTACCAGGATATGAATATGTAAAACTAAGAGAAAGTATTTCTAATGCTCAAAATTAATTTAGATTTGTATCATCATAACACCATAGCTGTGAATAAATTTATTTTGGTGTTTTTTCTGCTATAATTGATCCTACTTTGTCTAATGTATGCATTTTCGTGAGGAAAATGATTATATACTTATGTACATATTGATTCATGTATACGAGTTACACTTCAAACCTATGAACTGGTAATTCTCGGTAATAAACAAAACAAGATAAAAGATAAAAGCTTCATCGCTTATTCCATGATAAATAACTTTGTTGCAACAGTAACACAGTCGAAAGACACAAGTTCGAATAATTCATTTAACAGAGTGTGAATTAGTCAGGGACTGCAAATCTTTACATGTAAGAAATTCCATACATCTACATGAATAAAATATTCAAAACGTGGTCACAAAAACCTCAACACGATTTGTCAAACTGATATTTAAATACTACTGTGGTTTCATCATTATTCGTTGAACACCAATTTTCGTGGATTTCGTTGTTGAGTCGATCCACGGAATCAAATGTTCATCGAAGTTTGGTGCCTCCAATTTGATTTATGATAAACCTTTGAAAAGCTTATTTCGATTTTCCTTAATAAATACGACCCCCCCCCCTTTTCCCTCAACAATTTGACTCTATAAACGTATTTTATCATTTTAAGAATATTTAAGAAAAAAATAAGAAATACTATAAGATAATTATCTTGCAGTTTTGAGTCAAGATGTTTAAATATTCTGCACGCAGATAAACAAACAACACGTAGATATGTCAACGCGGTGTATATACCAATCAACGGTGTTACCCCCAAAAGGATGATAATCAGGTGTAAATAATATGTAAAATTTGTTATTCTCAAAAATTCTAACGGTCCAATATGAATTATCAACTGCACAATAAGAACGGGTACATGTATATTGCAGAAGTCCTGCCATTTCGCAGACGGTATTTGGAATTCCTCGCCCTTTATTGTTATACCATGTATACTACATTGTAAACGATTGAAGATTTTTTAAAATACAGATGAGTAAGACTTAAATAATAAATTAAAGAGTTTTCACCTTTTATTATTTGCTTTTAAATATTAACGTACTCTTAACATTGTAAATGTCGTGAAGGTTCCCGCTGAAGCAAATGGAGAGAGAAAAAATGAAAAGGTGACAATTTTTTGGTACGACCATTATCGACGAATTTACATATCCTCGAAACTGTGATTTTTACTAAATCCATGAAAATTGATGCCCACGAATATTAATGAAACCACAGTATATAATGTAATTTTTTGACTTGTTTTCAAAACGAATATATATACAAACTTCAAAGTTATGTGATCACTAGGCTCGGGATACAAGCACAGAATCCCATCCACTTGTCATTTTGGTGATTTACTAGTATATCCTGCCAATTAAGTATTAAAACAGAAAAATGTTCAATAATAATTGTGAAATCTTGCAAACAAAATCCAGTATTGCATTGATTAAAAAAAAAGTTCGCACGCTTTAAAGACCCAATGAAAATTACGAAATCAAAGAGGGCAGACAGCATCAGCAGTTTTCAGAAATAACACGCGTATTTTTGCCAGCATTTTTTCGTTTTTGGTCGACATGATTTAATGTACCATAGGCCGCCATGTTTTCTATTGTTTTAACTATGGGTTATCTACACCATAACCCATGGGCGGAGGATTCATAACCTATAGGCGGGACCTTGAATTGCATAGAATTTAATCAATTAAATTTTATTTAAAATCTTTAATAACATTCCACGTACATGTACATTGTCGTTATCGTAAAACTTTCCAAATCGATCGTCCGAATGGTCCAACTGCTGTATAACATTCTCGGGTGTAACCGGCTCCTGGGTCAAATTAAAATCCGTTTGAGTAAGAGATAAATCCCCAATACCATCAAACACGTTTACTTCGTCTATCAACTGGCCTATCTGTGAGAGAGTTTGATCATCGACAGAATTGTCCCATTCAAAATTTTGCGACAGTTCAAGAAAATCGAGATCCATGCTCATTGCGTTGTGTTTGTCCATTTTCGCTTTTTGATTGCAAGTGCGCAAAATGCGCAATAAAATGTAATATATATGTACAGTGTATAGCGCGTGCCATTATAATTATGTCAGGTGACAAACCATATTAGGAAATTTATTTGCAACTTATACATCATCTCTCTGCGATACTAGGAAATCTGAGAGTGCTATGGTACATGTGACTTACCGTATAAGTTTTTATTGGTTTTCTCTAGATACCCTATAGAGAGGTTAAAAGGTCACGAGAAGGCTGCTGCGCCTTCTCGTGACCTTTTAACCTCTCTATAGGGTATCTAGAGAAAGCCAATAAAAACTTATACGGTAACTACTACTAAACATTTAAATCATAACACTGCTGTTAATTAAATTCAAATTGATAGAACCGTTGAACTTGATGAGATCACAACCAAATGTTCTAACGGAGTAATATCAGATTATACATGTATATTATATCTTCCGAAAACGATTTACCAATCACAAATAGTCTGTGAATCTCTGAAATTTTACCTTTTTGCATGTGAACTTAATGATAAGAATACTAATAGACCTCACGGACATTGAATATATAACAGTTTCGAAAATAGAATATCGTTATATAAGTAAATATTTCTTGGTTGTTAATGACTTATTTTAATAATTTATACCTCGTCAACTCTTCAAGTTTCTGTAAACTTTTTGCAAATAATTTCAAACTTTTTATCCTGCAACTTAAATTTACAGAATATATTTTGATAATTAAAAATAAATCTTATCATATGCTATCATCCTCTAAAGGCTTATATCAGAATTTATGGATATAGCTTCAGAGTCATGTCTTCAATAAGTTTTTTAAGGACACATTTAATATTTATTCACGCAAGTGAATGGAATTGGGCAGCAGACACAGCCTATTTTAGCCCTTTCCCTACATCAAGGATATGTACGTGTAGGACAATATGAAAAACATTTTCCTGATTTCTAGTTCAAATTCATGGAAAAGTTAAATTTTGGAAATTTATTTGACTGAAAGAACACAAATTTCCTGCAGAAAATGGTTTAATAAAAATAAAATTAAGGAAATCTATAATGTCTTGTTTTCATTTGAACTAAAAAGCCGTTTTGTGTTTCAAGCTTATATCCATAACTATATACAAAATTTATTTGGATATTCTTTAACATGACTTTATGAGTTTATGTTCATTAATTTCTTAGTACTTATCTCATTGTTTATGAAAAATAATGGACTATTTACGATCTCTATACAATACTGTAAACTTGGATATTTATACGCGATAAAATCTTGCGATTTCCATGAAATAAAACGTTCGCTTGGGGTTTATTTTTGCAGAAGTTAAAAAAAAATACAAAATGTGTTCGTTCGTTGTGTAGTATGGTACCATTAGTTATATGAAACCGTTTGTATGGTTATAAATTTTGCAAAACTTTACTAATCGCAGAATTCGCAAAAAATTTCGGAATAATAATCAGATTTACAATTTGGGGGGAGGGGGAGAATTGTCTTATTTTTAATTAGCTTACCTATGAGTAAAACAAAGACACTTTTATAAATGCTCCACATTTTGAAGGCAGATCACGCCAGCTAATGACAGATAAGAAGACTGCGTGTCAAAGAATTAGGTCATTTTTTGTCCTTCCGGAAAAATAAAATGAACATGGCGATTTTATCCATGAATTTCTGCAATAATAAAACACAAAAAGAATATCCCTGAAATCCTTATCTACTCTGGAATACCCCAGATTTCTTGACAACTTTCATTGAAAACTGTTTTGCAATATTTTAGAAAACCAAAGAAAATAATACAAATTTCCAAGTTGTTGAATAAGTAACAGTGCAGTCATCAAGCAGGTCATAGCACTGACCAACTTCTCGATCACAGAAATACATTGCAATATCCTTTTTTTAAGAAATTGAAATGAAGTAAATCGAAAGATGAACAAGTAAATCTAAATATGAACAGTCATGTATGAAATAAATAAATTTCTCAATTACATACTTACATGATTAGTACTTTACTTTATTTTATTCTTATAAAAAAAAATAGACAAAAAATTAAGAAATATCTATTTGAGATTGATGATTCAAATTAATGAAAAAGTTTCAATTCACACCCAAAAAAATCTATCTACTCTTTTTTTTTTTAACATTATAACACAGATAGTTATCATTGAAAATCTCCTTTACTGTGTATTTGTAAAAGCAATTTAAGTTGCTTTATATGGAAGTATTGTTACTAAACGAAATACTTCTTGTGTTGCGTGCGTGGTCATATATATGACACAGTCATATATATATGGATCACTTTGTCTGGTGTCTGTTTGTCCGTCTGTCTGAGAGGGCCATGCACACACCTCATATTGCGTCATCGTGAAACTTGATAAAGTTAAACCTCTCAGGAAGATACAAACATCAGATGGATTTAGATTGTCAGTTCAAAATTGTCCATCAGATTGTTCCATGGTATTTTAGCTGTGTTTTCTCTAACTTGTTACTACTGTGTGTTCAGTACATAAGAGGAATCAGACAGTGGGTGTTCGTAATCAATTAATCCTCGTCGACCTCCCGTGTATGATATTTGTTGAAGAGGAGGGGTAATTTAGCGGTTCAACACTGCTATTATGGAGAAACCGCAACTCAATAAATAACAAAATCGGTACAATTTTATAATATAATTCAAAATCAAATATATAATACAGTGTTATACCGAATTGCAAAATTTCTTAATTTAAATTTTGAATAAACATATAGCGAATTATAGTTGCCTTAAAAGTTAATCAAATTTATTGCAAAGGTTGTCAGGGCGCTCATGGCAAATTTTTATCCCGGAAACCCGTTTTTAATACAATTTCATAATTCGTCGACTCTCTTGTTGTATACCCATGTGACATGGCAATGTGTTTTAAGTGTTTCAGAACTTCCATTTATTAAACTGCGATGGATGTAAAGCAACAATCAAACATTTATTAAACTTTTGTCCATAATTCAAATTTCATATTATTAAGTTCAATTCGTTTTACAATTTAAGTGTTTCAAATTCAATATATATTTGATCAAATCTGGAATCGTTATCTCTAACAACTTACATGAAGTGTTTCATTGGTTTATAGTGAATTGTTTTACAATGCTAGTGCTAGTCTTGGTAAACAGGAGTGCTATGTTGACTTGTCCTTAGATCAAAGAAATTATCTTAATACTTGGCCTTGTACAGAGATACATAGAGAGACGTACCGGTGATATAATCTACACTAAAACGTACCAATAATTGTATTGATTATCAAAATAATATGAAAAATCGACAGAGTAAATTTATTGGTACTTTGGTATAAAGGTAAGCAGCTTGCACCGTTGGGATGCATGATAGGCACGTCTGGAACTACGTATATGATGCATACATGTATATATCTTGCAAATTCAGAATCACACAGGCCCGTAGAACGCGGGGGGGGGGGGAGGGGGGGCAGGCCTCTCTTTTTTTCTGAGTATAGTACTTTGCTTTTAGATCCTGTTTGCCCCCCCCCCCCATTTTTTGTTGCTGTAAGGTCGAGCACTGGCAAATGCCAGGATCTGGACAGTTTGGGCAGTAAATTAGGGGTTTATTTTTCCTTGTCAGATTTTTTTTGGGAAGCTGCCCCCCTCCCCCACTTTTGAAATCATTGCTACGGGTCTGTCACAAGCTGTGACCACTCTGTCAACATGTATATGTCTTCAAAGACAAATATTAAGATCATTTGATTAACATCAAACTTGTGGTATTTGTTTCTCTATTTCCAAAATTGAACAAATCATGATAAGACAAGCTACCATCTATCAGTGAATTATTACTAATATGGCAGGAAAACGTAAATTAAGAAATTTCGATTATTTTACAAAGGGATTTTCCACCAATTTATAGGAACTGTCTCATTTAAAATACATGTGTTATATCATTCTAGAGAAATGTTCTTAGTTTAAAGATATGTTTCTACATGCAGTCATGCAGTGCTTTTATTTTTCATACAATATGATGAGAGGTAAATTCTTTTTGGACAAAGTACTACACTTTGTTCTTTATGCTCGTTTTTTCATGCCTGACATACTGGGTAAAATTGGTTTAAGTTCCTATTTGTGCAATTTAATTGCGAGTTTGTATCTTTTTTGTAAAAAAGCATTATAAAAATTACATTTAATTAACGACGTATATGGGAGAGGAGAAAAGGTAGGAAGCAGAAACCCTGGACTGCAAAACAAAACTAACGATTGCTCTACAAAAACACATCGGAATTGGAAATTTAAAAGTCATAATGCGTTTCTTTTATAATACTGAAAATTATATATGAACAAGAGGCCCATGGGCCATAACGCTCACCTGGGTCGCATTGGTCCTGCTGTTCTTCATCATAAGATGAAAAAAATCTTCACTTCTTCCAAATCCTTAAACCGTATGGTGACCCCATCCTGGCTGCAAGGGATAATGACATAACCTATAACCTGAATCCACAGATCCTGGGAACGCTTCATTATCAATATGACTATTATGGTCTTGCTGTTTTGCACAAGAAATAAACTTGCATTAATAGGTGAAAACTGCTTCTGATTTTACTCCTTCTCTAACCCCAACATCCATATATGTAATAAAATCAAATGCACACAATCTGGAAATGTTTCCGTAAAAATGCTATATTTTAAAAGAATTATATAAAATAAACTCATATATTTAATTTCCTTTTAGATTTTGGGCATCTTTTGTGACCCCAAGTTACCCCAAGGGACTATCATTTGACCAAACCTGAATCTGCACTACCTGAAGATGCTTGCATATTATTATCACTAGTAATGGCCCTTTTATTCTTGAGAAGATCATTTTCCCCTAATTATTCCTTTTTCATACTTTGATCCCATATTTGGGCCCTATCCTACCGCCGATGGCTAGGATTTGAACAAACTTGAATCTGCACTTCCTGGGGATGTTAGCAAATTTTATCTCCAATCATGGTCCTGCTGTTCTTGAGAAGAAACTTGTAAAACTTTGATCCCCTATTGGGGCCTCGTCCTACCCTCGAGGGTGATGATTTAAATAAACTTGAATCTACACTACCTGAGGATGCTTGAACCGTTGAACGTATTGTTAATCATGCTCACGCTGTTCTTAAGAAGATGATCTTTAAAGAAATGTCCTATATATTCCCATGTTAAACTTTGATCTCCTTTTGTGGCCCCACCCTACCCACAGGGGCTATAATTTGAACAAACTTGAATCTACACTACCTCAGACAGCTTTCACATTAGTTTCATCTTTTCTGAACAAGAACAAATTTTTTTTAAATCCCCTTGAAAGAGAATGTTGCCCTTCATTTGAACAAACAGAAATCCTTCATCCACGGATGCTTTTTGGCAAATTTGGTTGAAATTGGTCCGATGGTTCTGGATAAGAGGTTGAAAAAATGTGAAAAAGTTTACAGACGACACATCAAACAGACGCCGCACACTTTTTGAAAAAAAAAATCACTTGAGTCTTTGTCTATAGCGAATTGTTAAAAGATTATCAACTTCATCGTCACTGAAAGACAACAATCAAACTTTTCTTGTGGGAAATAAATCGTGACACCTTCATTATGGCCATATATCATTTCTGTAAGAGATATTGAATGGGTGGTTGAATGTTGCTCTTCATTAAGTGTACTACAAAGTTGTACACCAGATGAGAGACGGTAAATTAGTACTGGTATGCAATAAAGAGAGAGATGCTGCAAATTGATACAATGGGATATGTTTAAAAATATTTTAAAAGATAAAAGCATCAGTTTTTATAAAGTCACTCCTGTCCCACTTAAGAGGTCTGAGCACAACTTGGAGAAGCACCTCCCTCACACTGTTTGATGTTTTGTCTGCAACAGCACAACCACTGGAGCGGAGCACTAAATCTTATCCAATGATACCGCTATGCTATTCAAATTTGTGGGGTTTTTTTCAAACTTTCTACATGAACATATAAAAAGTAGGTGTGAGAGTTAGGTTAATCCTCTTGTTTGTGGAAACTGGTTAATTTCCCTAAAGCAAAATTATGATACAAGACATTTTTAAATAGTTAAATACATTTACATGTAAAGTGCATTGTACAAAATATCTTACCGTGCGGGATTTTTTTCTCTCAAAATTTTAAATACAACGTCCATGCATTTAATATTTGTGGACTGTTTCACAACATTCACAATATGCCAAGAACCTGTAAAGAGGTAATAGTAAACTTTTCTTCAAAGGAACAATCGTTTCAAATCCAAAGTCTAGGTTTTAGTTTTGTCGAACAAAATATCAGTACAACTGCATAATAAATTACATCAAATTGAATGTGCATCTGATTTAGTTCAGCCAAGTTTTCTACTTGCATTGTGCTCCCCAGGGCCCCGTTTTACAGAACTTATGACTTAGACCAAAATATAATTTTGCGAATAGCTTCCTATCTTACATAAATTGAAGGTGCTTTTATTCTTTTTTTTTAATCTTATTATGCTAGCAATTTTTAACAGAACCATTAGTTTCACAAGATTTAGCAATCAACTTAAGTATTTTTAGTCTTAGTCGTGGGTTCTTTTATTAACGGACCCATGTTATCAATGTCTCCATTTGCATCCTCTGTGAAAACGACGACAAGGTTTTTTTCTAAGGATCCAAATATATCACCGGCTCAATATCCTCTTCATCTGATAATTTGCTTCTCCTCAAACGTTTTATAAATTCTTATGATTGTTTCTTTGCTTTCCTCTTTGAATAATTTAGAAAGAAACAGTTTCATATGGTATGTGTGGTCGCTAGCGATTTTAAATATTTTGACTTTTTCCATTAGAGGATAGATGACTGTATGTGTAAGGCCTTTAAAGGCCTTTATCAATATAAGTAAGGCCTTTAAAATTTCATGTTTAAATACAATTTTTGTTTTGCTTCAAACGTTTATCTCTCTAAGTATATGACAGGGTGTCTTAGGACCCTATTTCAAAAAAAAAAAAAAGAATATTTAAGAAATAAATAACAAGGTTACAAAAACTTCTGGGAATGAACTTGGTTGGTCACGTGATCAAATCCTTTGAAGCCCGACTACGGACACTTGTTTCGTATAAGGGGTCACCCCCTTAATTTTCTTTCCACAAGGTACCTAACTTAATTTCAGGCACCCCCTCTTCAAGCTCGTATTTTGTAAATATAATCAATCATAAACCTACTTTAAAATGACATCGTTCGCTTTGAGAGACTTTTTTCTTGTCAAATAAATCGTTTCAGACGTCTCTGGTTCAGACGCCTCTTTATTGTATGACAAGGTCATTGTATCGACCATAAAACTTCCTATTTGATGACTTCAAACGAAACTGTTGATATCCTTGTTTCATCAACTTGTTTGTCAATAGCTTGCCTCGTTTAAGAAATTGATCATTCGTATAGCATGCTCTTGCGTATCGAATCAAATGGGAGACAAAACCCCATGCAGGTGATAAGGGTATATTGCTACATAATTATGGGAAGTTGACAATTGAAAAATTGAAGTCATCACGTTTATCATAAAGCTTAGGTTACCATTTAAGTCTTTTTCTGGTAATATTCCAAATATGAAACAAATGTGTCAGACTCTGTGGTATCTTTTATTTCAAGCGCACTGGGATATATCGAGTAGACATATGAATGAAAGTAACTATTTTTAATTGATAATACGTCATCGATATGTCTAAATGACGAGTTGAAGGCCACAGCTAATTTCTTCCTATTCATATTTCACAATGCTTTGATCCGATTTTTATTTGAGGGAGGGGGTGTTCTTTTTGTACAATTTTTCCAATTTTATAGCTTGTATAGATTTTCTAACTTAAATCATGGGTAAAAGCTTAATAGAAACTTTTTTTTAAGAAAGTGAATAAACATGATACCTTAAAAAGAAATAAGAGAAAAATACGATATATTTTCAAAATGAATTTGAAAGAAATTAAAATTCAGAATAAATTACATGGTGGTTACATGTTATCCATTATTTCTCTCTACAACATTTACATATAAGTGTGTTCTGGAACGAATGATTTATCAAGTAGATTCGTCAGTCAAATGAATTCTTTACATTCATCTGTTAATATTCATGACGAATTGTATTAATCAGTGGGTTTACCTGTCTTAATACAGCGAATTAATTTTATTCCCGTTCTTTAAATGTGCTGCTATCCGCTTTCTAATTAAAGAAACACATTATGAGTGAACACGGCTACAACATATTGTTACCTGCTGATTACCTGATGTCAATTACTGTTGTAGTAATCTACGCACATTCATTGTCACGCATGGTTGCACGATGCAGTTGACATGTCCCCAGATGAGTTTATAACTGTCGGGGGTAACGTCATTGAATAGCGTGTCACTGGAGTCGATCAAAGCAATAGAGACAAAACGGGCGTGGATTTAAATTCTCAAACTCGTGCTATAAAGAAAGAAAGCCAGACGTTTTGGACCCCTTTTGTGAGGGATAGACAACTTTTATATTTCTCCTTGAAAACATGGCTCTTTTATGTGGTATTTTACTTTTGATAGTTTTTCCGTGTGTTTATAATGTTGAACTGGACATTCACGAGGACCATGTAGAAATGATGTTGGATCCTTTTGATCGTCTTAAGGATTTACTAGATGTACACACTAAAGGACTAAGTTTACTTAATGTAAATAAGCTAATTCAAAAACTTTCCTCGCGGATTCATTGTACAACACAGACAAACCCACAGGTGTCTGGTGCCCCAACCTGTGGACACTCTCTGGTAAGTAAAAAGTATATATAGATACTCTGTACTGTGGCTTTTGTTGTAAATAATGGTCAGTACTAATAGCAATTCCCTTGTGAATTGAGGTTTTTGTCATTGTCCTAAGATCCATTAAATTTACGAATATTGTCATTCCCCAAATCCCTGTGAACCCAAAACGACAATCAAGCATGGAGACCCCTTTGTAGCTTTTGTGTATTTATGTTTATTTAGAAGGAATCATGGGGATTTATTTACTTTTAATCTTCTTAATACTATCATTCATGACCACACGGTGTGAAAAACGTGAAACTATGCTCTATAATGTGAAAATTACCAGACGATGTATGAAACAATTTTTCTAGCTCGACGATACCATTTTGGAAATTAATTCAAGTCAGAAAATCACTTTTGAAAACATGCGGAATGAATAGCAAAATAAACGAAGTATTTTCTTTTCCGTCTTACTGTTAAAACGATTGATAAAGTAGGTCATTTTTTTAAAAAAGTCTTCATGGTTTATTGAATTCAGCAAAGGTGTTACATGTATTCTTATATTCCATTCAAATTACATGTGGAAAAGCTAAGCCCATGGCTCTGAATCAGGCAGAAATCCATGTCAAAATTATTTTGCATTTGGACAATCTTTACGATATTTTTAAAGTAAAATAGCGTTTACAAGAATCAGTCATGGAAATCAATTCTTGATGGATGATTTTCACTCGGCATTACGTTCAGTCATTCACCATCTGTGGTTGAATGCGTCATGTTAGTTTACAGCTTTCGACAATATTTGAGAAGTCTTTTATGGAATAAAAGACCATACACCAAAACCTCAGCCAATAGACAGAGACTCTCTCTCTCTCTCTCAATACATGTATATATACATGTTTATAGATATAAAGATGGTCATAATTAATTGGAAGCTGTTGCGTAAAAAATCATGGCATCCAGAAACTCCCAATTTGGTACACGGAAGTTGATGAACTGTAAAACGATACGATTCTGTCCTAAATCCGTCACGAGGGACAAATGAGATTCTTTGAATTAATTTCAATTTCGCTAATTAAGGTGTAACAAATGTAATTGTTGGTAGCGAGATGCCCTCAGGTCACCTTCGTGTCCTAGTTGTACAGGATTTTGAACCTATATTGTACAAAAAGTTACCTTTTTCATTACCATGTGACGTATTTTTTTTTTTTTTAGAAAAATAGAGAACATTGACATAGTTATACGGTTTATGAAGAAAGTACAATTGCATCGTAGTACGTGATAATGAAACTATTTTTGTCTGCTTTGTACGGGGGGTGGGGTGGGGGGATGCAATAAGTACAATAAACTTGTAAAAAAAAAAAATAGTAAATTGTTGAATAGAGGTAAAATATACGTACAACACAGACGTAGACTATTCTTGTTTATTTGCAATTTTTGTCCAGTGACCGAATGAATAGAACACATCATGAAATTGTTTTTGACTTATCAGTCGGAATTAAATAATCCATAGTTTTCAAATGATTGATGTGTTTTCGTTTTATGTTTATGGGGCCGATAGATTCATGTAGGGCCTAACCCCTTGCGTAACATGCATTACATGACGTCACATGACAAGTATGTGATTAGTCAAACGGTTGTAATCACCATAAACTTATGTAATATCATTTATTTACAATGTTATTGCTTTGATAATATACAGAAACTGCCTGTACTATCAATCTAATTGCTCCAAGACTTCTGAACTCCAAAGAAGAATGCATTTTCCTGTAGAGCACGCTATGTTAATTAAATTCAAAATCGAATACTAGCTTTTCAACCAAAATAGTGTAAATGATATCGACAACCCCTTTTTTCATTATAGAAACAACAAAATTTAGGCACAGTTCGCTATATTTTTAGTAAAACATGATTTTCTAAACGACATACTATAAATTGTTGACTCACTGACCCTAGCAGATGGAGTCTTACTTGAAAATCGTGCTGGACAATTTGTACGAATTGTCATTTGTCACGGAACTGCTTTAGGCTGCACGATTTCACGTAACCTCTGCTTCCGAAAAACAATGTATTGTCTACTAAATGATGACAATTTGAAACAATTAAGGCTTGTCATTATATGTCACATTATACTAATTAAGCGACATCCACACAGACATGACCAATGTGCCTAGCTGACCACACATTGTTTTCTTACTCATACTGCATGGCATGTCAAACGTTGCAATATTCAATCTTTTCCATTTGTATTGTATACTTTTCCATTTGTATTGTATAATTTTTAATCTGCTTTGTAAAATTTTTATTTGTATTGTACAATTTCCCATCCGTATTGTATAATTTCTCATTTGTATTGTATAATTTTCCAATTATATTGTATACTTTTCCATTTCAATGTATTGTATAATTATACAATACAAATGGAAAATTATACAATACAAATGAGAAATTATACAATACAAATGAAAAGTGATAGAATACAAATGGAAAATGATAGAATACAAATAGAGAAGTATACAATGCAAATGGAAAATTATAGAATACAAATGGAAAATTACAGAATACAAATGGAAAAGATCAAATATTGCAACGTACGTCTGACATGCTATACATACTGCGAGTCGTCGCTAAGATGGACTTTATAAATTAACAATTTGAGCATTATTAATGTACTATGTAATCTAACAAAACCAGTTTCTTCCACAGGAACTTGGGATGGGATACCCCCCCCCCCCCGGCTTTTCGACTTATTTCTCATAATTTTTCTATGAGATATTTCGAAGTTATCCGATTGAAAAATCCAAAAAATAACTTAAAACAAACACGCTGACTGACACTAAAAAAGAAGTATCGGTCAGTGTGATTTTTATCGAAATTAGTTAAGGTTATACTTTGATTTTTCAATAGAAGTACTTTAAAATGTGTCATAGGGAAATATTTTATGAAAAATAAGTCGAACCGTCCTGGGGGCACAGAGGAGAAGGGTAGGGTGGGCCCCTTCCCCAAGCACTAGTGGTTCCTACAACGCATGCATGTAATTGTTTGGTTTGCTGTCGTTTACTTTCCTCACTTTAACTCAATTTGGCGGAATAACTTTTGTATTTGTATACGGACGACTCCTGTAGTTCATGGCTATGAAAGCTACTTAGTTGTTGATAGCTATTTCGATAAATATTGCAATCACGAACCCATTGAATTAATTCTCAACAGAATTAAAAAAAAAAATTCCAAAGGCTATCCGTGGGAGCAGTTGTTGACCTTGTCTGTTCAATTTTACATACACATTATTCCAGTATATATTTTAACCACACACGTGATGTGATCATATTTTATTGACAATTAAAATGATCAGAAGCAAGTTCTGTCAACTTTCTAGTTCCTCTCCTCAATATAACACACTAAATATGATACCGGTATTTGAAATAAAGATTAATTTGTTGAGAACGTTAGGAGCTGAATGAAATATTTACAAATAATCCTTCTCATAACAAACACATCCAAATTATATACGTTTAATTCTTTGCATTAATTGTCTACATATACATGTTACATCAAAGTATTATATTTTTTTAAAGAAATAGTTTTGAATTTCTTAAATTACAAAACTTAACAAAGGAACGTGTTAGGTAATACAGTTTAGAGGCATTTCTTGTGTGTGTCTAGAACATTATACACATCATATGGACTGTTTGTGCAGTCTGTCGACACAAACGTTTTATTTTTCACAAGAAACGAGTACATTTTTCAAAAAAAAACTTTTTACTGGATAATGCTCCAGAAGAAAACTCGATCAGAATCGCGCTATCATATTATCACATTTTTCCATATTTACATTAATTAAACAGAAAAAATTAAATTGAATTAAATTTGGAGGTATACTTTATGGGGATAATAGTTAAAACAAACAAACGAATGCTAAGCTAGCATATTCTTCTGTCACGGGTCAGGAACAAGTTCAAAAAAGGGGACAGTTCCCTACAGCGGATATTTAAAACACTCTCCATAAAGGACAATAAGCTTTACTACTTAACTGCTTCTACATCAGATAAATAGACTACTTTGAGAACAACCTTGATAACGAACAATATGACACGGGTCAGAAGTTAGCAGCAATACTTCTCCGCTCTAGTACATGTAACAGACACTGTACAGAATTTACGGACTCTCTTTTCACTAATTATTTTGTCCTTTGAGTTTCAATTGAGAAAATTACATCATATAATGGTAAAAATATTGAGTCGGTCCAATTCATATACCTGTTATTCACCCCAAGCATAAATGTTCAAAGATAACAGTCTTGATGAACAGAAATCACCGCTATTTAAATTGGAAACCACATAAAAATAATGTATTCAGTTATTTTATCTTGATTTAATATAATGTTATTGAAAATACTTGAATTGATTACAATTTATATATTCAATTTTAACATTGAAGGGCGGATTACTTTATCTTGTAAAAGTAGACATGGAATTGAAATCTTCAGTGTGCTGTATACTGGGTCCTTAAGGTATAACTTCTAGAAAATTTGAAATCAAATTATTCCCCAATAAGAAAATTTAAACATGATTTTTTAAAAACCTTTTACAACCTTTCCGTATGATAAATTGAATAAGAGACTACATTTTTGATGACTGCATATTTAATCCATCTAGTACTGTATTTTAAAGCAATCCCTCAAAAATTATTGAAGCGGAAAGATGCAAACGATCTGAAACTCATAATGATAAACTCAGATACCAAAAATCAGCTCAATATTTACAAGCGTCTTGGGGGGGATCCAGAACCAAAGGAGAACTGACAGAGAGAGACAGACAGGGGTAAAACATATTTTGCCCTCTGGTTTACCGTAAGGGGGTGCCTGTAAAATTGAACTCGGAAATATATACGTTTTGTGATTAGTCATCCAGAATTTATTTTGTTGAACCATTTGTATTCTTGGCAGAAGTATTCTGAAGTATAAATATTAAGAAAATGCTAAATTTTCTGATTAACAATATCCAATAGATGTCGTCTTTGGGCACCAGGTCTTCCAATAATCTGATGGAATTCCCATGGGTACTTATTATGCCCCTTTCTTATCTGACACGTTTTTGTATTCTTGTTCAAACACGTCAACATGAAAAGAAGTCCCAAGTGCACTGCTTTAGCCTTCAATTCCACATTTAACATTAGTTTTAACAATTTACAACATTGATTTTCATTCATAAGTTGATTCGATACATATCCCGATTCCATCTCTGCTGTTGTTAAGATTTCAAGTTTGTTGCATTCAATTTTGAATCTGACCATTGTTTGTTATTTTCATTTTTATAATTATAATAAATGTAAAAACATTAAATGGAATAAAAATTTAATTTTAAATTTTATCTGTTTGGAAAATTTAAGAGATCATTAGGCAAGCATGTCGTTCTAGATTGACTTGAGACAGGCTATATTACTTACTAAAATATAAAAAGGAACTCATTTGCTTTACCAGTGGAAAAAAAATAATCCCAGATAAGAGCAAGTATACAAAACAATTTTTGTTCTTAATGAATGTACATGTATTTAAATAAATGTAATTTCTTATACATGTATTTAGCTGAGTATTGCATATATCTATCCCTACAGTCATGTATTTTTGCAAAGACAGTGTTTCTGTGTTTGAATTTTAGTGTGCATGTTTACCTTTAATAATTCCTTTCCATCTTTCAGAGAGTCTTTTGAACGCCTCAGTGTATTCCGTATCTTCTATTTTTGTTGATACACCAGAAGTTGTACTCTAAATTTTCCTCTCTCTTATTTAAGAGTCTTTCAAGAGTTTCTACTTAATAAGTGTATTCTAAAGTATTTGCTAACATATTGTACCCTCAATGTTCCTTTGTCATATTTCAGTGTATATCTGGAAATGACGTTTTTAACTACCTTGGTCTAGCAGACAAAGATGAAGTACTGGAATCCAGTTTCGGGGACTTATCCAATCTTCTGGTGTACTATACCTCGATCGCCAAAAATAACTGCGGTCAACCGGTGACCATCAATACTGGGTCATCCAAGAAATTTTATAGTGACGAGCTTACCCGATTTTTCACAAGAGGTGAACTGTTATTGACGTCATTGACAGCCAAAACTCTACAAGAAGCCATCGATGAATTAAATGATATATACGAGTCTGATGATGAAAAAGATGATGATCATGATGATGATCATTCAGATGAACATCAAGACGGAGACAATGACCATTCTCATGAGCATAATGATGAAATGACGACTAAAGAGTAGGTGTTTAATTAAGAATTGTTACGTAACAGTCATATTAACCAGAAGCACAATACTAGCATTTGTATGGACAATCGTTAACCCATAAAGGGGCCACTTCCTGATTTTCATCTTGAAACATAAAGTATTTACAAAAATTAAAATCACCCCAGCAATGCAATAAAGTTTAACTTCTACAAAGATAAAATTGATGGCTCTGAAGTTTTGATGACACTGCAGGTAAATTTTCAAAAACATCACTCACAGATTGTACTGTTAAAGCGAATGAATTCATAAAATAGTCGTAAATAATATTTTACAAGTTCACCATGTATGACGAAAAGGCTTTAAAGTTTTAATGGGAATGTTAGTAATTTCAGACGCATGATTTTGCTGATAAAAGCCATTTCAGAATAAAAATTGTGCTAAAATGTATCCCTTTTGGATTTGTTAAAATATTAACTTCGAAACAATCCCCAAAAGATTAATTCACCAGTGTCTAAAATACCTCGTATCGCTGAGATTCTAAGAATGATTTTTATGAAAGTACATGGTATTTTTACATTTATACATCTTGTTATCATGGAACAAAACATTTTCTCTGTTTCATAGCAGCCATACTGATGACCATGGTCACCATCATGATGACGATCACGTGACAGCACCTACCACGGTCCATGATGACCAGTCGACTGAGTCAGTTCACGACAGCCATGAGCATGATAATGATCACGATAGCCATGAACAGGACAGTCATGAACATGATGATGATGACCCCAAAGTCAACCTTCATCAAACCAAAGTTAGTGAATTGCATTTTTAGTTCGATGAGTTGAAATGAGCCTATGCCACAGTTCTGGTTTCGGCGTCCCAAGTTTTAATTTTTCAAAGAGGTCCTAAATGTATGAGCTTGACCATGCAAACTTGCATTAAATGATATATCTACGGATGAACACTACCATATTTACCTAAGACCCTGTTCTGACTTACGCTTTTTAGCTCACCTGAGCTGAAAGCTCAAGTGAGCTTTTCTGATCACCCGTTGTCCGTCGTCCGTCCGTCTGTCCGTCCGTCTGTAAACTTTTCACATTTTCAACTTCTTCTCAAGAACCACTGGGCCATTTTTAACCAAACTTGGTACAAAGTATCCTTGGGTGAAGGGAAGTTTAAATTGTTAAAATAAAGGGCCAAGTCCCCTTACAAGGGGAGATAATCAAGAAAAGACAAAAATAGGGTGGGGTCATTAAAAAATCTTCTTCTCAAGAACCACTGGGCCAGAAAAGCTGAAACTTATGTGGAAGCATCCTGGGGTAGTGTAGATTCTAAATTGTTCAAATCATGACCCCCAGGGGTAGGTCGGGGCCACAATAGGGAATCCAAGTTTTACATTGAAATACATAAGAAAAATCTTTAAAAATCTTCTTCTCAAGAACCACAGGGCCAGAAAAGCTGAAACTTATATGGAAGCATCCTTGGGTAGTGTAGAATCTAAATTGTTCAAATCATGACCCCCGGGGGTAGGGCGGGGCCACAATAGGGAATCCAAGTTTTACATTGAAATATATAGGAAAAATCTTAAAAAATCTTCTTCTCAAGAACCACTGGGCCAGAAATACTGAAACTTATTTGGAAGCATCCTGGGGTAGTGTAGAATCTAAATTGTTCAAATCATGACCCCTGGGGGTAGGGCGGGGCCACAATAGGGAATCCAAGTTTTACATTGAAATATATAGGGAAAATCTTAAAAAATCTTCTTCTCAAGAACCACTGGGCCAGAAAAGCTGAAACTTATATGGAAGCATCCTGGGGTAGTGTAGAATCTAAATTGTTCAAATCTTGACCCCAGGGGATAGGGCGGGGCCACAATAGGGAATCCAAGTTTTACATTGAAATAAATAGGAAAAATCTTAAAAAATCTTCTCAAGAACCATAAGACCAGAAAAGCTGAAACTTATATGGAAGCATCCTTGGGTAGTGTAGATTCTAAATTGTTCAAATCATGACCCCCGGGGATAGGGCGGGGCCACAATAGAGAATCCAAGTTTTACATTGAAATATATAGGAAAAATCTTAAAAAATCTTCTTCTCAAGAACCACTGGGCCAGAAAAGCTGAATCTTATATGGAAGCATCCTGGGGTAGTGTAGATTATAAATTGTTCAAATCATGACCCCCAGGGGTAGGGCGGGGCCACAATAGGGAATCCAAGTTTTACATTGAAATATATAGGAAAATCTTAAAAAATCTTCTTCTCAAGAACCACTGGGCCAGAAAAGCTGAAACTTATATGGAAGCATCCTGGGGTAGTGTAGATTATAAATTGTTCAAATCTTGACCCCGGGGTAGGGCGGGACACAATAGGGAATCCAAGTTTTACATTGAAATATATAACTTAAAGAAAAATCTTTAAAAATCTTCTTTTCAAGAACCACTGGACCAATAAAGCTGAGACATATTTGGAAGCATCCTGAGGTAGTGTAGATTCTAAATTGTTCAAATTTTGACCCCGGGATTAGGGCGGGGCCACAATAGGTATATTAAAAGGGAGGAAATCTGGTAAAGAACAGCATGGCCAAAGTTACTCAGGTGAGCGATGTGGCCCATGGGCCTCTTGTTTAATGACCGGTTAAGATTTTTGGAAAATGTTTATTCCCAAATTTTTCGATAAACCATGTACATGCATTAATTTTTCACGGATGATACATCTATTGAATATTCAGTTGCAATAGGACTTTCCATTACTTATAACGTTCGTTTAGATCAGATTCATAATTCATAATTTGATTACCTATGTTTGCATTTCATAAGAATTCAGTATAATTTTGGTTATTATGTTATTATTGTATAATCAAAAAGAGAGAAAGACATACTGGGAAATTCATCAGCATGATAATTAAAATCTGAAAAGGATACATTAATTAATCAAAATATTGTTTTCTCACGCTCTGATGGGTTTTCTGTAGTGTTTGAGTGCAGGTCGGCTATATGACGAGATGTACAAAGATCCACTAGAGGACGCTTTTGGTGATGAGCACGATTTAGAAGCTCTATCTCAACTGCTTCTCTATCACATGTTGTCAGGTATGCATGAGTTTACTTTGCATTTGCATAATGATGTACAACTCAAGAAATACCATCCAGGAATGAACCATTAGGGGTGTACCTCCCCTTCCCCCTTCCAGTATTTAATCAATGCCTTGTTCCGAAATGATCAAAAACATTTTAATTCACTTTCAATGTTTTCAAGCAAAAGAAAGCGCTTTTTGTTGACAACCAGTTAATTAGTAATAATAATAAATAAGTAATAATTTTCACATTTAAAGCTTACTCTGAATATTACTTTGATATAGGGGATAAGGTGATGAGTAACTGTCGTCTGCTACCGAGGAAGAACTACATCGAGAACGGTCTTCTCCAGTACGTCCATGCCTTCAACAACACTATCAAGAAGACGGGTAAGAAACCATTGAAAATGAGACACACATGATCCTAAGTAAGTCATAATTTGTCTGCACTACAGAGCTCTTTATGCATTTGTTTGAATTCATCTGCATCCTGTTGTGCAAATTTGTATCTTGATAATCTCTGGAAATTTCAATGTGAAAAAGAACATACTTTAGTCCCCAGTTCAGATTTTAAAAAATGCTAAATTTTCATTGCATTAGATGTGATCAAATTATTTTGATGAATTTTCTACAAACATCTTTATTAATTTCATGTTGTATGATTCAAATAGCTAAAGTAAATAAATTGTATAAGATGATCAGTCCTCATTTGATAGAAAATTATAATAAACGAAATTGAATTTTGGATTTTTACCATTGAGGCAGTTGAGTTCATATTCACAATTTGTATGAAGACTTGCTGAGTATATAAGTTATTTGAGGAAGGGTTGTAATGCTGAACTTCTCGAAGTAAGAATTTTTCCTCCGTTATCTAGAGCTGGAGAGTTTGCTGACTACTCTCGGTTTGGTACAAGCAAGCCAGGCAATGACAGAGACGGGGGCCAGTCATGATGGACATGACCATAGGAGACGAAAGAGGGCTCTTCCAGATACACCGTCTGTTACATTTGTAAGAAAATAAACGTACATGCAGTTAAAAAAGGTCGTGAAATTTGAATTCTCCTTTAACATTCCTAACCTACATACCAATATCTCTTTTTTTTAAGGCCAAAAAATGCTACAATGCGAATGAGATTATGGCCATCTACAATTCAAGAAACACCGATACCTTGTCCAAACAAAATTTCCTGGACCTATGTCCATCTCTAATATACCAACAAGTAACAAAGGCATGCGCACCGCTTCCCAAGGAAGGGAAAAAACACCATCTGGGAACCGCTGAAGGTTGGTAACTCTGATATGGTTTGAGTTTCTTTCTTCTGTACAGTGTTTCTGTACAGTGAGTCAGTGTTGAATGAAATTGCTTATTTTCAGTGTTAAATCAGTATTTTTTAAAAATCTTTTTTCTTTGTAGCCTACGGGTACGGAACTGTGGCTGTCTTTATCGTCTGTCTCTGTGCAATAGGGGCCATACTCTTCATACCGCTGGCCAACACCATTTGTCTTAACACCTTTGACTATGTCCTGGCTGTCTTTCTCGGACTGGCTGTTGGAACTTTGGTTTCTGATGCTATTTTGCATCTGTTTCCAGCTGTAAGTGGACCTTAAGCTATTAGTGGTAAATTGGAACATCATGGACATTCGAAAAATAAAAAAAGAATAGATACGTTTTGCCCATAAGGAGTGGGAAAAAATTATTGATCATTACAGCGTAAAATGATCTTACATTCTTTTTATCCCTATCCCATTTTAGAAAGAAATGCAGTGCCTAAGACGATCGCTGATGATTTTTTTAAAATCAATATTTTCTGTGAAATATAAAAAATTTTATTTTATATATATATATATATATATATATATATATATATATATATATATATATATATATATATATATATATATATATATATATATATATATATATATTAATTTTGCATTTCTGCTACTTCAGGCGTTTGGTTTACACGTTCATTCTGAGGATGAGCACGCCCATGCTCACGGAGATGAGGTTGTTATGGAGCCCTATGTGGGATACGGACTAGCCGCTATGGCAGGTTAGATATAAAGAACATTTCTTGTTTAGGACGGCAACTTAATGTTTGTTCATAATACCCTTGTATTAATCAACCGTATTAATTTTTTGTATCAGTTGCAACAAGCATTATTTTTTCTTTAAACTTGGTACTTTTTTAAACAATGTATTGGTGCTGTAATAGACTCCCCTGTGAAAATATTGATCAACTATCGTAGAAATCTTTTACTCCAGTAGTACTTAAACTTTACACGACGAAACCCCTTGTCAATATTGGTAAGGTACTATAATTTATTCTCTTCGACCTGTATTGTGTTCGATGATGGCTATGGTTTTGTTGCGTGTCATTATGCTATTTTAAAAGTGATTTGGGTTCAATTCCAGGTCATGGGTAAATGTTATGTATTTAAAGAATTTAACGATCCATCAAGTTCTGTTAATGTTCGGGTTCTAAAGCAGTCAGCTGGTGTTGACTACTTAATTCTTGGTATCAGGTTTATTTTTATTTTTATTTGTACGTACACGTTAATAGTACTGTGTAAAGATATATATTACATAATGTTCATACACAAATGGGATTAAGGTTCGTGTCTATTCAAATTTTCTAATGTTCGAGTTTGTAGGCTTTTCGAGATTTCGAACATAGGCACTCCCCAGATTAACTGGTAAATAAAAATATACTAGTATATGTATATACATGTAGTATAGTAGATATATTTACTATTCTAGTATATGTATATACATTAAGTGTACATGTCGTAGATATATTTTTATTTACCAATAAAGCTTGGGAGTGCATATGATTTCCAATAATAACTATAGAAGTCGATTGAGAAATAATTTACACTGATCACGATAATTTACTTTTCCTATCTAAAATCACATGAAGTTAGCTTTAGCTTTAAAATTTAAATATATGCAAAAATACATTTGTTGTAGAATTGAAAAAAAAAAGAATATCCCTTTTTTATTTTGAAGATGCTTCAGTTGACTAAGCACAAGTCGTCTGAAGTGATATTGAACAAATTCTACAAAAAATTGATAGGAAAATTGATTGAAATTATGACAAAACTTATTAGATGCTGTTGAACACAGCGAAGATTTGACTTGCAATTTCATGTAAATGTCCAGAACAAGATTTATTCATTGACACTCCCTTTGCTGTCAATCGTTTATACAAAAAGACTTTGTTTATTTAGAAAAAAAATGTTTACATCAGTTTTCGTCTTGACAATTATTTGTGTTAGGGGTTATTCTGGAATATGGTTTTCACCTCTTTCCCCAAGATTACTATCTTTTTTTAAATTTAAAATTCTTATTAGAAGTTATACCCGTATTAATTAGTTTAGAATTATTATGTACTTATATATAGTAAATGCCGATGTTTTTCCAATAATAACCTGCTTGGAAAAACATGGATCATATCTTCATATTGAGATCACTTGATGTCAAGGGGTAATATTTACATCAGATCTCTCTATTACAAAAAGGAAATCGGATGCTAAAATTGGTTGTGGACAATATAATGAATTATGGTGAAAAATACTTGTTAAGTGTATAAATATCTTATTTGATGTATATGAGGGTTTTTACCAATCACGCAGCATATGATGATTTTTGCAGATTTACGTTTAGATTGGATTTCACCTCATAAACAAGTTTTCATCTTCACTATTCACTAAAATGTGTGCTTTTCTACACAAACCACGAAACATTGACAAGATTTATTTCATGATAACTTATTTTCAGACAAAAAATTATATATTGAAATTCACCTGTATGAAAGAACGTCTTCTTGTTGATAATACCTTTTCTTACCTGTTCTTTAAGTTTTAAAGGAAATCTGTTTCTACTAAAATTTTTAAATTACATATGGGTTCATTCCAGACACATGCAAATTTGAAATTTTGAGTCAGTTAAATAATATTTTGACACTTGAGATTAAAAGGGGTACTATTAGACGTTAAAATATATTAACGGATTTTAGAAATTAATCTGTTTTTTCTCTTTTGTTCCCCTGAGAAAGCTATAACTTTTACAAAAATAACGTATATTCTGTGTTATAACGTTTCAAAGGACCGTAATATTCTTGAACACGCTATGTGAATTAAATATCATTGCTGGGATGAAAAGGTATAAATCGTAAACTGTGTTTTCGTATAACAGCAGTAAAAAAAAAAGTCTATTCCAGTAATTCACTGAGGCATTGGATGGTTTACATAATGTTACTCTCGCTTGCGTTGATCTTTATTCAGCATAAATTCTGTCAGAACTATGTAACCTTCTATTAACTGTTTTGGTGGTAAATCCCCCCCCCCCCAATACCCCATAACCTTAGTTTAATATAGTGTTGATGACCCGACTTTTTTTGCACAATGCTAGTCCATCCCAGCACCTTAGTTTTATAGTTTATTGTGACAGACTTTTTTTCATATATGTACATATTTGATCACATTATTCATTGCCAGGTATTTACGCGTTCTACTTCATGGAGATGATGTTCAATTTGTTAAGTAAGGGGGATAACTCCGAGGACAGCCATGGACATTCACACATGCCTACCTTGGACAAATTCGAACTGCACAGTGGTGTACGATTTCATTAATATCCTAATAACATTTTCTGAACCATTTAAAAAATCATAAAAAGTATGCTTTAACCTCTAACTTTAATAACTTGTTATATAATGGATGTGCAAAGAGATACCAGGATACGTACGTAGAAAACATTTGTACTAATGTCTAATATATCTAATTTTAGCAGAAAAATGGGAAGTCGGAGTCACGGTCTGAATTGTACGAAGTGCGAAGTGATTCCGATTCCGAGTACAGAACAAAAGTCGTGTCCCGTAAGTAGAGAGTTTGAGTCTTTACCAAATTTTAAAATTCATGTTATTCCACTCTCGCAATAAGGGTTGTACATGCACATCAAAATAAAGAAAATATATATATTTTAAAATAAAACTTAATATAATGGTGCCAGAGGATAATTAGAAGATTTTTTTTTTCTTTCAGCTGGGGCCAAATCCCTAATTCTGATGGTTTTATTTGGAGACGCACTGCACAATTTCGCTGACGGTTTGGCCATCGGTGCAGCGTTTACCGAGAGTCCGTCAGTTGGTATTGCCACAACCATTACTGTGTTCTGTCATGAACTGCCACACGAACTGGGTACATCATTCCTCATGATATCCCCAAATCTAATCTGACTTAGTATTTTTTGATGTATAGACCAAGTTTCAGTAGAATTTTTGTCTTCATATGTAAACATTTATTTAACTTTCCGTTATCTAGTGGTATTATGAAATCTTTTGACTATTTTTATTTCTTTCATTAAAGGAGACTACGCCATTTTGGTATCCAGCGGCATGTCCAGAGCCCGAGCCCTATGTTTTAACTTCCTGTCATCACTCACTGCTTTTATTGGTCTATACATCGGGGTTTCCGTATCAACCGACGACACAGTCCGGCAATGGATCTTCGCTGTCACTGCTGGACTGTTTCTGTATATTGCTCTGGCAGATATGGTAAGAAAGCCATACCAGTAGTTATAAGTACATGAATTTAAACTACTTGATAATTAGCGATTTTTATATTAAGATACAAGTCGCAAACAATGTATATATCTAATATAAAAATAAACAACATTTAGGGGCCGTAGCTACCTTTGATTCTGTCTGTTCTTCATGTTTTTGTTATCATACTAATAAAACTGCTACTAGAGTATATCATAATTTTTTTGTAGTTGCCACATATGACAAAAGGAGGAAAGGGCTCTCGAGGGAAGAGACTCAGGATGATTATATGTAACAACTTTGGCATCTTTCTAGGGGCGGTGATTTTAGTTCTCTTGTCCTTATTTGAATCCAAAATCAAAGTGGGCTGATTGTTGCAATATTAAATAAATAAATATGTTGTGCAATTAAAATTTTATATCCCCTGAATACATATTTGTTTTACAGTTATGTAATTTTTTTTGAATTTTAAAATATCAAAATGGCATTGGAATGTTTCATATGCAATATACATTTGTACAAACATTGATCAATTCAAAAGAAATTTCTGTGCAATTTAATTTTACCATGTCCATTTATGGAGTTTCCTGTATCATTTTACCTTTTTTTTTGGTCTTTTTCCATTAATTTTATCTAATATCAAAATGTACCATATGCAATGTAAAAAAAATATAATAATCACCCCCCCCCCCCCCATGAAATTTATTCATGAAAGGAGACGTGAATAGCAATGTGCATAGTGTTTATTTTGCGACACATTATACATAATGACAGTGCTTTGTATCAGTCCATAGAACAACTACATTAGATGTTTTTAAAGGTAGAAACCGTAGTAACTGCATTTACCTTCTCTAATTAATTCCTATTTGTTTCTGTTTTCTGTCTGTGATATACCACTAAATATTTTATTGTATTATATCAATTAATGAACCATTTTGTTTTTGCTCACCTCGACGGAGTAATTGTACCCTACATGGACAAAACCTTTTTAGTTGAACTCATTCATCTGGTGTGAGACTGCTTACTTATAAAACGACTTTCGTCGAGGCGAGCTTCTTTATTATTTTATTATCTGTTTTTCCTCCTGTTTCATTTGCCTGAGATTTGAATATTTCATCACCGTGTGTACAATTCATAATACTCGCTGATCAGTTTCTGGGCCGACTGGGGTTTCCAGTGCGCAATATTTCGCGCAGCAGAGTGAAATCAAACGTTTTAACACTCTTTGAGCAATTCTTTTTGCAGAATTCATCAAATTTAACAAAATTCAGAAATCATAGGCTAAAACATTTAATAACATTGTTAAGGAACTGATTTTTTAAACGATTTTTTCAACTTATAGGTAGATGGACGTCGTAGAAGTATGTTTTTGATGTTATGATAAACTGAATTTCTCGGGGGGGGGGATAAAAAATGCTTCAGAAGAAAAATTATAAAATAAATATTTTGTATTATTTTAATTTTTTTTTTATTAAATCCCTAGTTTATGTCATATTTTGTAGTACCAGAGGGGGCATCTCAAAACGTCAAAATTTACGAATTTTTCCGTTTTTATTGAGTACTACGAAATATGTTTGTGCAATTTGCCTTGAAGTGTGAAAGCATTTTATTATTAAAAAAGCTATTTCTTTCTAGGAACAAGGCCGAATATTGTTTGGACTAGCCATGTAACATGTTTGATTATGAATATAACACTTGTATATACGTTTCTTTTTTGCATTTCTACAGAAGGAATAAAAAATGTCAAAGTTCTGAGTTAATCTTTTCTCTTTGATTACCAGTGGTATATGGTATTCGTTTGGGTCACTCGCACCTTCGAAGATGCGAGAGTGCGAAGGCGAAGGAGCGATACTAATACATGTATCGCACTTTCGCCTTCACATTTTTAGCATACTTGATTCTGACCATTTGGCGCGCCCGGGTAAACCGGCGATGACCGGCTACACACTTGATTCTGAGCCGGTATTGCGCACGCATCAAGCCGGGTGAGCCGATTGAGCCGGAAAAATTTGATAGGCTCGGGAGGCTTCAACATGGCGTCCTTGGGGATAGTAGTGTTGAAAGTTGTTTATTTTAAGACGTGAAGCTTTTGATCGAGGTACGCTTGTGAAATGAACGCATATGCAAAATGTGTAGTCTTTTTCTATGCTAAATAATGTTTACGATAGAAATACAATATTTCTATTACTTTACATGAGCCTGTTCGCTTGATTCTAAGAGAGTACCGGGGTTTACCCGGGTTCGGCTCGGCCGCATTCTGTCACAATCAAGTATGCTATTTATTTTTGTGGAACCCTTCAGTTATCGTTATGAGCTAATTTTAATGGGCTAAATTCAGTGAATATTATACAGTTATGGACTCTTTCGGTGGCGAATATGGTTTGTTATTCGCCGAGGTCAATATTGATATTTTTCTGGTGAATAACAAACCATATTCACCACCGAAAGAGTCCATAACTGTATATTATCATATAGTCAGGATTTGAATGAATCAGACACTGAAGGCTGCATGACGATTCCATGTTCATTAACTACATGATTGTAACTTCTGTCGTAGAAAAATAAAAAAAAAAATGTCCAGACTACAACTTATAACTTCCGTGTTTCCCTTTCGGTGTGTGTAAGACATCGAAATTTCTGGAAAATAATCCTGCGATAAACCTGCCTAACAATTTTCCTGCTCATATATACAGCTCGATCCGGCCGTTGCAACCACTGATTTCAACGTTATTTGAGGTATTAATTGTGACGTCACAATGCCTCTGCACGCGCACTGATCCTCCGGTGAATACGGCTTCAAATCCAGTGAATATGTAGTATTATTATACCTCTATTAAGAATTCTCAAATTTGATTGGCTTGTTAGAAGGCTTTTAAACTCAATAATGACTCCAAAAAGTACCGTTTACAGCAATAATGACCTAGGAATCATTGCACGTGGGGTATAATGACCGGTCAATAAAATTAATGACCGCTAAAAATGACCTGTTAATCCAAATTCCATTCAAATTAAAAAAAAAATATGCATACAGTAATGATTGTACATTACAAAAATTGCCGTTATAATAATATGTAAAGTATTTTTAGGATACGGAACACGATTGGCCTTTAGATGCGTCATAACATTTATCGTTTTCATTGAAATTAACTTTCGTTACAATAGTCTATACAATGTCAAATTCAACGAACGCAGACTCGGCTCTCTTGTACAGTAAAAGTCTGCACCAGATTGTCATTGTAGTTGGGAATGGTATCTGTGAATTTATATAAATGCAATGTTACTGACAATCACAGAGTGTTTTAATAAATCGGCGTTGCAAAAACTTACGAGACTGACAGCCGAAAAGTAAACAACTTCACTAGCGAATCCCGATCCCGATGGAACACTGATAACAGTTCGTAGGTCTTATACATGTAATTGATTATTTTAGTAATTAAGCTTACAAAAATTGCCTTAACTTATATCGGTATAATAAAACAATTGATTACCCCTTATGAGTTCAACATGGTAAAATAAGGACCCTCGACCTGGCCCACTCGCTGACCTGACCTGACCTCGGCCGCTACGCGGCCTCGGTCAGGTCAGGTCACCTCGTGGGCCAGGTCTCGGGTCCTTATTTTACCATGTTGACTCATAAGGGGTAATTAATTGTATATTATGAACTGTTTGCGTATGTATAGATTATATAGGGACTATTTATAGACTATATAATAATTAGAGTTACTGTGTGTAGGTCCATTAATCTACCGCACTCTCGCCTTCGCACTTTCGCCTTCGCCTGTTTTTTTTTTCTTTTCTTTTTTTTTGCGCCAGTATTTTTTCTCGGAAGTTATTGGTATGCATGCGCTGCAGACGCCATTTTTTTTATAACTAAAATTATCTTCCTACGACAGAGAGCTCCAAAAAAAGCACCAGTCGTTCCTTCGCTTTCGCACTTTAGCCCTAGCACCTTCTTCGCCGCATCTTCGCACTTTAGCTCCTTAGTTCGCCTTCGCAACTTCGCCCTAAAGTAGAAGCTGCGAGTACTAGTGGCCTCAACAGAACACCATAGTGGTACTAGTAGCTATAATGTATAAAGATAGATTATCACATACATGGGATGTATGTTAATTCCTTACAGAGGGCTACCATTCAGTGTCTCTCAGGTTATAGCACTGATTTATAAAACACAAAATTAATCTCCTTTTCATACACATGAAATTACACAGTTCATAGATTTTACGGTTTCTAGGATACTGTTATTATGACTGAAAGCAGTATATTCAGGTAAATTAGTTTTTTTTTAACTCACCTGAGCCGAAGGCTTAAGTGAGTTTTCTGATAGAAGGATATACGACGCCCGTCTGGCATCTGTAAACTTTACACATTTTCGACTTCTTCTCAAGAACCACTCGGCCAATTTCAACCAAACTTGCCACAAAGCATATTTAGGTAAAGCGGATTCATGTTTATTCAAATGAAAGACCGTATTCTCTCTCAAGGGGAGATAATAAAGAATTGTGAAAAATCAATGACATCTTTTTAAAATCTTCTCAATAAGCACTGGGCCAGTAAAAATTTAACTTATATAAAAGCTTCATTACATAGTGTAAATTCAAGTTTGTTCAAATCATGACCCCCGGGGCTAGGGTGGGGCTACAATCGCCAATCAAAGTTTTACGAGGTTGTCCAAAAGTAAAGTCACAACTGCCAAAATCTTTTTTTTTAAAGAATCGAAAGTTTAAAATTTTATATACTAAATAAATACCTCTATCTTTTACTTTTGTCCTTAAGGTCTTACAACACATTCCTCAAATATCTGTTTTCTATCTCTTCGTAATATACAACAAACTAATCATAATTATCGTTATCTTGGGATTTCTAAAGTGTTTTCAAAATGTACCGGTATTAAAAATAAATACATGTACATGAAAAATTGTGATAATGGCAATGGTAACGATTTCCATTAGTATAATATAAGAAATATCACCCTCTTGTATCTTGCAAAAATGCCTGGTAAGGTACCTCAATTTTTTGTGTGAAAACTTGTTGAAGTAGCAATACTTCATTGAAAAATTCTTGGGAAAATTATATGTTATTGAGGAACGTGTCATCTGATCTTAAAGGAACGCTTCTTTATAAATGGACCTTGGGCCTATAGGACCGGGATTGGTTTTATTCTTTACAAAAAGCTTGTCGATTACTGTTCTGGTCAATGATTTTAGGCTATATAGTATATACATATAGGAGGAGTATCTGGGTTCTCTGGATGTATTGAACATACTAGCATCATAACACAACTAATCCATGAAGCGAAAGTCAGCAAGAAAGATCTCACGGTTGTTTGGTTAGAGTTAGCAAATGCAAACTGAACGATCCCACATACGCTAATAGAGGAGGCCCTTGATCACTACCATATACCAGAATACTTTCAGAAGATGGTCAAATGTTACTTCAGTGGGATACACCTACGCTTCACAACGGCCAGCTATACAACATCTTGGCAGAAACTGCAGAAGGGAATTGTGACAGGTTGTACCATCTCAGTGATCCTGTTTGTAATGGGTATGAATATGATCATCCAGGCCGGAGAGAGAGAAACCAGAGGTCCCAAGACATCAAGCAACATCAGGCAACCACCAAACAGAGGGTTCATGGATTATCTTACAATAACAACAGATACCCATATCCAAGCAAGATGGATACTAAAGGCTCTAGAAGAAACAGCTTTATGGGCAAGAATGACCTTTAAACCTCAAGTCAAGATCCTTGATAATAAAGAAAGGGAAAGTTACACAAAAGTTCGAGCTAACAATCCAGGGGGAGAATATTCCATCTATCATCGGAAACCCTATAAAGTGCTTAGGCAAATGGTTTGATGAAACACTTGCAGATAAAGCCAACATTCAAAAAACAGAACAACAAGTAAGAGAAGGGATGAGGAACATAGACAAAACAGGATTACCAGAGAAATTCAAGGCATAGATTTACCAACATGGCATCTTACCACGCTTAGCCTGGCCATTGATGCTGTACGAGATATCAACATCAACAGTGGAGAAAGTGAAGAGAATCATCAATAAAGAGATGAAAAGGTCCTATTATCAGGAGTAGAAGTACGGACAGGGCGGAAATGGTCAGCAACAAAGGCAGTAGAAGAAGCGGAGAGCAGATTGAGACACACAGACATTGTAGGAACGGTGGTGGTGGGAAGGCAAAGTTAAGGGACATCCAAAGGCAGCTTTTGGAAGAAGGCTGACACAACGGAGAGATGTAGTATGGTGCAGAAAGAGATCCGAGCCAGAGAGGAAGAAAACCGACAAGATAAGGCAGTGGAGATGGGAGTCCAGTGGGCTTGGACAAGTTGGGGAAAAGACCAACGGACACTATCATGGACAGACGTCTCTAAATACCCGCAGTTCCAACTACAATTTCTACTACGCTCAGTGTACGATCTGCTAACAACACCAACCAATCTCCACAGATGGGATCTCACAGAAACACCAGAGTGCCCCCTTTGTGGAAAAAGAGGAATCCAACGGCACATTCTATCCTCCTGCCAGGTGGCATTATCACAGGGAATATACACATGGCGTCATAATCAGGTTCTAAAAGAGATGGCAGACACTATAGAGAAAGAGCGGAAGAATAAAAGCAAACAGACAACAGTGAAACATACACAGATTTGCTTTGTAAAAGAAGGTGAAACAGCGAAGAAGAGAGAAGAGAAGACCTCTGGAATATTTATCAAGTACAAAGAAGATCATTGTCATAGAGCTGACAGTTCCTTGGGAAGATGCGATGAATCCCATGATAGAAGAAGACAAAATATGACCCATTGCTGGCAGAATGTAGGGAGAAAGGATGGCAGACCTGGAACTATCCAGTAGAGGCTTCCCTGTCAGTTTGGAGGATGTTTTCTGGGCTAGGAGTGACAGGGAGAAGCAGGAGAACAGCAGTCCAAAGGATGGTCCAAGCAGCAGAAAGATCATCATGCTGGGTTTGGATAAATTAAGAGAGAGACTAGTAGCTGGATACCCACCACCAAAGCGCAGCGACTGATCATCACTGTGGACCCCCCATCTTGAGAGTGTACCGAGCTAGGGGTCGAAACACTCAATGAGGGATGGCCTCGGCTGAGGACGTTGATTGTGCAGCAGCAGTATCATCACAGCTGTATGTAACATATCCTAATTTGTTTTTCAGAAATATTTATTTCAAAATATTTACATTTGCTGTGTTTTTCTACTAAGCCAACTGTGAAATTGATTTGAAAGTCATTTTTGTGTATACTCACGCGTAGAAATATACACGGTGAAACTCGCGCTAAAGTGACGTCACAATGAGGCTACAGAGACGTTAATAAAAATGTAACGATATAGGACAGCAGGAAATTCAAATATTGAGTATATTATTAGTGCTTTTAAACTTGAAAAATGTAAATATAAGGAATGTTTTTAAGTTTAGTGTGAATTATTGGTGTGTAAATCACACAGACTTGCACATAGGCATATTTTTCATGAAGCGCTAGCGCGCTTCATGAAATATGCCTACGTGACAAGTCTGTGTGATTTACACACCAATAACTCACACAAAACTTAAAAAATTCCTTAAATGTAGAGATAGGAGAAACCTTTTCATAAATATTAACTATGAATCATGATATTTTCAACACATTCTGAGTTTGTTATCTCGAAATGTTATTTGGTATTTTTCTATATTTACATTCAACATGTATTTTGCTTAGAAAGTGTAAGGAAAGCTACGGCATTCAAAACACCATAACACGGACAAAAGGTTAAAGTATGCGTTTTATTTTGACGTCACAAACGTTGAACGCCGTGTAAGTGCAACGTCATAAACAAAAATCAAAATCCACGCTCACATTGAACAGAAGCTGTTGCAATAATACAGGGATTTTGAAATATAAATCACATTTGCAGTCAAGGCAAGGAGTTAAAAATGTAAATATAAGCATTAAATCATTATTTTTTGAAAGATATAGTCTCGTAATTTCAACGGTGTGTGCAAACAAATTTTCATAACGCGCTAACGCGTATTTTATTTATTTATGGGGAGGGGGGGGGGGTTCGACCTAGGACATGGGGTGTCCCTAAAAAAATCTTATCTTAATTTATTCCTTAGATCACAACCTATCAAAATATCATAATTTTATTTAGGGGCAGGTCTGCTCTGAAAGACTTCTAGGCCAAACTTCATGGAAAAACCGGTGCTTTAACGGAGAAAATGCCGTATTAACCAACTTTGGAGGTTAATTTTAAAGTTGCAAATGATTAAATTTAGGTTTAAATGCAAATTTGAAAAATTTAGATTAATATAAGGTAGAAAATAACTAGTGAACATTGATTTTTAATTATGACTTTTCCGGGAAATTGCTCTACCCTATATATGTCAAATCTTTTGAAATTATGAATACGTCCTTTCATTCAGATATATGCAATACTTTATAAAATATTAAAATAAACACAAAATTGGGTCTCGTCTGTCGTTGCACGACAAGATTTACCGACGTTGTTTTGACGTTTCTCTTAGACACTAATTTTAATTTGAATCTGATGGTACATAACATTTACGCAAAAAGAAATGAATTTAGAAATAATATGTGTTAAAAAATTTAACAACAACTCAAAACATGACGGTTTATAGCAAAATGGCAGTAAAGATTATTAAAAATAAGCATGTGAGAGATTAAAAAAAAAATATGCGGATGAACTGAAAATGAGTCCCGAAAAGTAACGTCATGACGTCGGTAACATTCTTGTCGTGCGGCGATAGACAAAACCTAACGTTGGTTTTATTTTAAAAAGTATTTCATATAATCAAATGAAATTTTAAGGCAAAAAACAAAATAGATAGGGGTATTAGTATGTCAAATTTTTGAAATCTTTCATTATCAAATACATGTATTGTCAATTTTTGTTGATAATACATGTATTTGATTATGACAAAACTCTATAGTAGTTGTGACACTACTTTTAGATCAACCCTCGTACACAGGAATATACAGGGAAAATTTTCTTCTCAAGAACAACAAAGCCATGATTAGTCATATTTAATATGAAAGCATTCTCGGATAGTGTAGGTTCAAGTTTGTTCAAACCATGACCACTTGGGCTAGGTAGGGGCAATATTATATTAGTCGATCAAAGTTTTAAATAGGAATATAAAGGAAAAAAAAATAAGCATCTTCTCAAGAATAGCGAAACCTTGATTAGTCATACAGTGTGTTTAAATGGAAGCATCCTCAGGTAGTGTAGACTCAAAATGTTCAAACCATTACCCCCCAGGGGTAGGATGGGGTCACATTGGGCGATCAAATTTTTACATGGGAAAACATAAGAAAAAATTTCTTCTCAAGAACAGCAAAGTCATTTTTAATCATATTTATAAGGAGGCATCCTTGGGTACTGTAGATTAAAGCTTTTTTAAATCATGGGGTAGGGTCACATTGATCACAATGGAAGATCAAACTTTTACATAGGAAAATGTTTCTGCCTTTTTCCAGCCAACAGGCTCAGGTAAGCGATGTGGCCTATGGACCTCTTTTTCTAATTTGAATAGAACTTGATGATATAAAGTTAATAACTAGATCAGAGTACATGTGTCTTTGTTAATATCAATTTTGATTATGATAAGAGGTGCCAGTTTGTTAATTACCTTAAAAGAATGTCGCTTATTTCGAAATGTTGCTCCTGAAATTTTCAACCTGCTGTTCCTCGTTGTTACAAATACAGAAAAATTGAAATAGTATACTGCTATAAGCATCTTTTTCAAAGTTTTACAGTACTGCCAGATGCTTCGATCCGGTTTAAAATAATGAAAATTCTTTTTAAAAGTTAAAAGGATATAATTCTCAAGAGATAAACAATTTTATCAGTTTATTTTTTTTTTTCGAGAACAGTAATTAACCATTCAAGATTAGTTAATCAGAAATATTAACATGCAGCAAAAAAAATAATAATAATGATAATAAATAAATAAATAAATAAATAAATAAATAAATAAATAAATAAATAAATAAATAATATCAGCCTGTAATATACAAATGTAAATTCACAGTTGTGATTTACATTGCTACATGAAATATATGGAGATAACGAACATTATTTAAGCTCAAAAGTCCATTAAACAATACAAATTTCGGAGCAGAGCAAACACGGACCTCTAAAACATCAGAGGTGGGATCAGGTGCCATGGAGGAGTGAGCATCCCCTGTGTTCCTTGTCATGATCGAGAAATAACGGGAAAATCCGTCGACAATTCAGTGTGTAAATAATGGCCTAACAATTGGTAATAACCTACCCCGTTTTAGAAATTGGTCATACGTAAAGCATGCTCTTGCGTATCGAATCAACTTTGAGATATAAACCCCGTATGCAGGTGATATAAAGGTATATTGCTGCATATGTAAGGGAAGTTGACAATTGAAAAGTTAAAGTCATCACGTTTATCATAAAGCTTTGTTGTTAGATTACCATTAACGTCTTTTTCTAGTAAAATATCCAAATATGAAACAGATGTGTCAGACTCTGTGGTATCTTTTAAAAACTAGTTTTAACAATGAAAAAGAAAAAAAGGGGGTGTTGATAATGCTTCTGTTTCAAAAGATAGCAACATGTACTTTTGGTGCAAAATGTGTTAAAAACTTTGCAACAAGCAAAATAATTCATACTCATTGTTTCAGATTTGCATGTACATCTAAACTATTAGGCGCGGATCCAGGATTTTTTTTAATTTCGTGGTGGTAATGGTGGGGTCAACGTTTTCTAGGGGGTTCAAAGTCATTTTTTATTTGCTTCTGTATAATCTTTAAATTCCGGGGGGGGGGGTCCCCCGACCCCCCTCTAGATCTATGACTATTTATTGTTGACTGAAGAATTGCATCTGAAATTGTTGGCGTCATTTGCATGGAAATAACAAAACAACTCTTACTGGTTTACCAATGCAAGTAAAAAATAAACTATGCAACTTCAGAATGTCAAGTGTAGAGGAACGAATATCACCAAACCTTGACATAGTGAAGATGAGACCTGTAGTAAATGTCTAGCGAAGATTCGATGGTGAACTCACTTATTTAACCCCTGTTTAAATCTCTTAATTTAAGAGATTTTCTTAATGCTTTTTAAGAATATCATTTTGGCCATAGGCCACAATTTGCCTTGGACCGAAGTGCCGTATTATATTATTATTGCGTTATGTTCGTTTAGCACTGAAATAAAAAGCTATAATATGCATGCCGATGTCTCAACTAAAACGTATGGAAATAAAGTAGAATAAAAGTTGATCGACTTAATGAAATAGTAGACAAAACTGGTTCTCCAGAGATTGGATACCAGACAGATTGACCTTTCCGGCCGACGTTTAGTGGCGTTTACAGGGTTTACCTGTTATTATTATTATTTTTTAAATACCATGCCCCGATCGTAGAGGATATATCCAGAGAATATCAAGGTTTTTATATTTTGATTACATTTTAATTAATACATTAGGATTTTTTTGAAAGAAAAATCATTTTGGTTTTACATAATGTTTTCAGCTCGAATTGCCTCAAAATGAAAACCACAAGAAGCAAATCTACTGTACAGTGTTGCACTAAAAATAAGTTACAAATCAGTGGCAACGAACTTTTTGAAATGTCCAACTTTAAATAACATTGTAGATACTAGCAGAGACGTTATATGTCTCTGGTAATGTCTAAGGCACAACATATTTCTCTTTTTTTCCCCCTTGGTTCAGCTTATTGGTATTAAAATAATCTAATTGTGTCCTGGAACAAGCCCTTACAACAGTTAGAATCCGGTCCTATATAGTTGCAATGTAGCAAAGTGGAGCAGATTTGCTCTGAAATGATCTTGAAGGTTACAAAAGAGGTTACACTGAAAGTAAAGTTCTATCAAATTAATCATAACAAACCCTTTTGAGGTTGTAAATGCCTTCTACCCTAGAAAATAATCCATATTAAGACAATAGTTCACCTCATTTTTCTTGCTTCAAATTTACACGCCATGTCGTAATTCATAAGTGTTTGAATTATTCATAGTAAATGTCTAGATAAGAATTACCTCTCCATGTTTATTTTGCTACATTGACAACACAAGAAACAAATTTTATTGTTAAACTGGATCTGTAGGATAATATCATTTTAACGGTAGAACATTCTATCTAATTTGGCATGTTTGGGGAAATCCATTTATTTATACATTTGTAGAGTCTCCTCTGTTTATAATTTGCTACTGTGTAACAATTTGGACATTTTCTTTTATCATGTCAGGTACAAAAAGCTAGATCATTTTAGCATGTTATACTGTATATCCGTTTTTTTTTTTCGTGATGATCTAATTTTCACATTTTTAATTCGCAAAAAATAAAACATGCAGAAATTATATCGGTTATTGTGTGCCATAAAAACGTTACCTTTTTTTAATTTGTTTTTTTTAAATCGCAAAAAATAACTTACGCAAAATAAAAACTGTACAAATCTACCCCTTTTTTGCAAAATTTGCAACACGCGAAAACCCCCCCCAGATAAACAGGTTTTTTGATTGAGGTGGAAAACAGCTGTACAGTGTTGAATACCAATCAAACCATTCGGATTATCAATAATGATATTCGTTTTCTTACTTTGACAGAATCACGTAAAGGATGTCTTCCTTCAGACAATTACTTCCTTTGCGTCATGCAGTCAGGGGTGTGAGAAGGTGTGCCCAAGGATTTCCTCACTTCCAGAAATGGCAGCAGCACCATCTTCAACCCAATGCCATTTTTTGTTCTATATCTACAGAGGTTGATAAAAGTAGTTCTTCTGATAAAATCAAGGTTTTGTCAGAGTCTTACAATGAAGAATCCATTGAAAAACAGATTGAAAAGTCAGGTGAAACTGACAAAGTTCCTGCAGCATTGGATGGAAACACATCAACTTCAGCCTGCGAACCTGAGACAGATCCAACTTTCCTCTGCATTTTACATATACTTGAAAGTAACAAAACAGGAGGGAAAGCTGAAGCAAGGGAATTATATGATGCAGTTCTGGAGGCATATAAGACAGAAGATAAACACAAACATCTAGAAGTTTTTATTAACATACTGAAAGCTCTCAATTTGAAAGGAGATGCCAATAGTTCAAAGCAGGTACAGATTCTGCTTTATTGTAAGGAAATCAAAGGGCTGTTTGCAAGCATTCTAAGTGCTTTTACAATTTACAGTGAACATGAATTGATGAACATACTAGCCTGTGATAGGAAATTTCGATTTTTAAGTTTCAGTCAGGAAAAAGCTCTGTGGGAAAATATACTTAGTCATTTAAACAAACTTAGTATTTTGACTTTAATTAGATTGTATGATATGTCCAAAAAAAGAAAAGCATGTCCTGATGCTAGGGCAAAGATTATCAAAAACATTTCAAGGCGTTGGATGGAGGTCGAAAAGGGGACTGAAATTTTATCATTGATGAATATAATGTTACAAGAAAGTAATAGGACATCTGACACCTCAATGCTGGATCGTTTGGAGGAGAAAGCTCTACAGAAAGTGGAAACATTTAGTTTAGATGAAAACATCAAAACTTTGTATACTTTGTCCAAAGGCCAAAGAAGAAACTTACCTTTAATAAAATCGCTGGCCTACTGCATCAAAGAGAAAATGACTGACCAAGTTTCCCTCAGTTCATTAGCATCAGTTATGACAAGCTTAAGTATTCTGAACATTCAGGACTCCACTTTGCTTGGGCTTCTGTCTGACCGAGTTTCAAAGGTGTCAGGGGAGTTGAGAGATGACTGGACTCCACAGGATTTGAGACACCTATCTTCAGTCCTTATGTCCTGTGCACACCTGAGGTGGTTGAAATCTCCCCTGGAGAAAACCTTTTTGTCACAATTCCAAAAATTTCAAGATCATTTGACCCCAAGTCAGCTTTGTCATGCAATATACAGCATGAGTAAACTGCAGTGTTTCACAAGCCAAGAGAAAGATGTGATAATGCAAATGGTGGAAAAGTTGAGAACAACAAACATAATAAAAGAAAATCCCAAGCTGTGGCTCAATATGGTATTGGCACTAGGATGGAGTAACTGCTCTGATGAAGGGCTTCTGTCTACTGTGCTTCAGCAGACTTTTGTAAATATCATACAAGGTAATCAAATGTATATATATACAGTACATGAAAAGATGTGTAATCCTCCAATGCAGTTCAGGGTGAACTAGGGGGGATCACAATTCAAAAGGGAGAAATACTTAGGGTTATTTTTTACCTTTCATAAAATCATATAGGTGACAGAATATTCACCAAGTAAACGTGAATGCATAACATATACAAAATGCAATGCAAGAATTATTGTATGTATGTATAAAAATATGGTATACTTAAGAGGTTGATTTCACTGTATTGTCAAGATCTGATGAAAATAATACTGGTAATTTTTTTTTTTCAATATTTTCATACAGAGAATTTCCCAGCAATGGTGCCAAACATTAGACAGCTGGAATATGAAACCACCATAGCATTTCCTAATTTCCAGTATCCAAAACCTAATCTTAGAAGTCTCAAACCAAACAGGACCTCCTCCAAGGTGATCATTTTATACTAAATATGGTGAAAAGTATTCTGTATACAGGTTTACTTTTTGCCCCATTTTTACAAACAATTTATTAAGTTTACTCAAACATAATTGTGTCATAAGAGATATTACTCTGTCTCATTACATTTAATCAAAGTTACATTTGCCCTCTGACAGTGTTCAAGAGGGGAAAATGAAAAAAAGAAGAAAATTTCCCTGTATACAATTCTGCACATTGCATTGATTATATGAAGATATCTAAAGCACAGGTATTTTCAGTGTATTTAAATCTGGTTAAGCTACATGTTTATATGGCAGAAAATGAAGGGAAAACAAGTTTTGGCATTCATAAAGAAGCATGCTAATGAAACTAAGATTAGAATGTGCTTCTCTTTCAGCCTGATTCTACAGTAGAAGGTGTGATAGAAATGGCTCATATTTTGGATCGTAACATGGAGGACGGTGTTCAGACACGCGTACTTACTCCTCAGGGACATGAAATAGGTTAGTGTGCCCTTTATTCTTTATGTATTTGACTTCAGCTTCAACTTTATTGTCACGTTACGACCTAATAGCAAACCATTTTATACCAATTCAGTGTAAATGATCTACCACAATTTCCAAACCCATAACTTTTGAACAGTTGGTGCTAGGGCTTTTTTCATATTCCACACATGTATTCCTTGTGACAAGACCTTTCTTTGGGTACTAGCATATTTGATCTCTTGACCTTGGAATGTTACCTACTTTTGAAAGACTTACCAAACTTTTAACCTTGACTTTTAATCTTAACCTTTTGAACAGTTGGTGCTAGGACTTTCATACTTCACATGTATATTCCTTTTGAGACAAGACCTTTCTTTGGGTACCTCATGACAGACCACATATGACCACATTTGAATCTACATACATACATACACCTCATTGGGATGCTGGTAGACCTTCTGTTCTTGAAAAAAAAAATGTTCCTTGGGATATGATTTGAAATAAATTGTATATACCTTTCACACAGATGTTTATATATTATACATGTAGTATGTCTAATGACTATAATTATAATCTTTCTGTTCTGGAAAAAAAAATCAAAAGATTTTCATTGTCAGATTTTGACCTCCTGTTTGGACCCCAACCTAACCAAGGGGGAAAATAATTTGAACAAAATTTACATGCACATTCAGTAATATATATTAGGGCTGTGTATTGAGCCAAATATTTTGATATGATACAATACAATATTTTACAATGCGATATATTGGATTCCTTAACAAGTCTATCAAAAAAGTCTTATACATGTATATCATTTAATGCATGAATTTTATAAAAACTAATTGTTTTTGCAATAATATATCATTATTGATCAATTTTAATTCAAAACATTTAAATATAATCTTTGGTGATTGAAATTCTCCACTTTTTCACAAAATTATATGAAAAACTGCTTGTCCGATACGTATTGGAAGTTATTTTTTTGATACGATACATTTCTTGAATATCAATACAATCATGTATATTGATACAGCCCTAATATATGTATACATGTATGTGTAGCATTCCTGTAAAGTTTATCTTTTCTAGCATAATAGAAGAGAAGATTTTTAAATGATACCTTCCTATTTTCTTTATTTCCAAAGGGGTGAGGCCTGAATAATATTTGAATTCTTCAAATATATGCTACCTTTTTAGCTCACCTGAGCTGAAAGCTCAAGTGAGCTTTTCTGATCATATTTTGTCTGTAGTCCGTCTGTCTGTCCGTCCGTCTGTAAACTTTTCACATTTTTGACTTCTTCTCCAGAACCACTGGGCCAATTTCAACCAAACTTGCCACAAAGCATCCTTGGGAGAAGGGGGTTCAAGTTTGTTCAAACGAAGGGCCACACCCTCTTCCAAGGGGAGATAATTAAGAATTTGTGAAAATTTTGTGTTGTGTTTTAAAAATCTTCTTCTCAAGAACCATTAGGCCAGAAAAGTTGAAACTTATGTGAAAGCTTCATTACATAGTGTAGATTCAAATTTATTCAAATCATGACCTAAGGGGGTAGGGTGGGGCCACAATTGGGGATCAGAGTTTTACATAGAAATATATTGGAAAATTCTTTAAAAATCTTCTCAAGAACAATAAAGCCACAATTAGTCATATTGATATGGAATCTTCCTCAGGTAGTGTAGATTCAAGTTTGTCCAAATCATGACCCCCGGGGCTAGGGTGGGCCACAATTGGGGATCAAAGTTTTATATAGAATTATATAGGAAATATCTTTAAAAATCGTCTTCTCAAGAACAAGAAGGCCATGATTAGTCATATTGATATGGAATCATCCTCAGGTAGTGTAGATTCAAGTTTGTTCAAATCATGACCCCCGGCGATAGGATGGGGCCACAATGGGGGATCAAAGTTTTACATAGAAATATATAGGAAAAATCTTTAAAAATCTTCTTCTCAGGAACAGGAAAGCCCTGATTGGTCATATTTATACGGAATCATCCTCAGGTAGTGTAGATTCAATTTTGTTCAAATCATGACCCCCAGGGGTAGGATGGGGCCACAATGGGGGATCAAAGTTTTACATAGGAATATATAGGAAAAATCTTTAAAAATCTTCTCAAGAACAACAAAGCCACAATTACTCATATTGATATGGAATCATCCACAGGTAGTGTTTATTCAAGTTTGTTCACATCATGACCCCGGGGGGTTGGATGGGGCTACAAAGGGGGATCAAAGTTTTACATAGAAATATATAGGAAAAATCTTCTTCTCAGGAACAGGAAAGCCCTGATTGGTCATATTTATATGGAATTATCCTCAGATAGTATAGATTCAAATTTGTTCACATCATGACCCCCAGGGGTAGGATGAGTCCACAATGGGGGATCAAAGTTTTACATAGGAATATATAGGAAAAATCTTTAAAAATCTTCTTCTCAGGAACAGCAAAGCCCTGATTAGTCATATTGATATGGAATCATCCTCAGGTAGTGTAGATTCAAGTTTGTTCAAATCATGACCCCTGGGGGTAGGATGGGGCCACAATGAGGGATCAAAGTTTTACATAGGAATATATAGGAAAAATCTTTTCAAGAACAGGAAAGCCATGATTAATCATATAAATATGGAAGCATCCCCAGGTATTGTAGATTCAAGTTTGTTCAGGGCATCCTCCAGTAGTAGGGTGGGGGATCAAAGTTTTACAAAAGAACATATATAGGAAATATCTTTAAAAATCTTCTTCTTAAGAACAACAAAGCCATAATTAGTCATATTGATATGGAATCATCCTCGGGTAGTGTAGATTCAAGTTTGTTCAAATCATGACCCCAGGGGGTGGGGTCGGGCCACAATGGGGGATCAAAGTTTTACATAGGAATATATAGGAAAAATCTTTAAAAATCTTTTCAAGAACAGGAAAGCCTTGATTAGTCATGTTGATATGGAAGCATCCTCAAGTATTGTAGATTCAAGTTTGTTCAAGGCATCCTCCAGTAGTAGGGTGGGGCCATAATGGGGGATCAAAGTTTTACAAAAGAACATATATAGGAAATATCTTTAAAAATCTTCTTCTCAAGAACAAGAAAGCCATGATTAGTCATATTGATATGGAAGCATCCTCAGGTAATGTACATTTAAGTTTGTTCAAATCATGACCCCCCCCCCCCCCCAGGGTGGGGTGTCAGACACCTTTAATGAAGAAGAGCAGAGCCATGACTCAGGTGAGCGTTGTGGCCCATGGGCCTCTTGTTTTTTTTACTGTTCCTTGCCGTTATTTGCATTTTAGATGTGTTGGTGTTGGTCGACAACAATGGGAAAGTAATTCCATTCTCAAGTACTCAAGGATCCAGTGTTCAGAAGTATGTATTGTTATACTACATATCTTCACTCTCTGTTAAAGTTACATGTAGTTCTTTCAACATAAAATATATTGCTTTTCTGTTTTGTTTGTATAAAACTATAATGGTTAACCATTTCACAAGGTAAAATGGATACATGTTTCCAGTCGGTTTTATTTGGTTCCTATGTAAAATATAAAAATAATTTAATACATTTATGATTTCAACAGGGTATACAATATAATAGATAATTTTAAGTAGTCCATGGAATATTCAGATTGTGTTTAAAGTACAAAAAATAAAGTTGCAGAGTATTTAAATGAATGTTTTCTATGAAATATAATTGCAAAAATAAAAGTTGAAAAAGTTTTTGTGTCACCTTCTATGGAAAAAAAAATGAATTGAAAAAGGTACATGTATAATGAAAGTTATACCCCTATGATACAGGTGATAGTTAAGTAATAGCTTGACTCGCACACAGTGATGGATTATTGTGCATTATTAAATGGCACTGTGTGCATTTTCAGGGTTGCCATCAAAGTTTTGAGGTACCAGAATACAATTAAACCTCTACTGAAGCCCACTGGGGATGTCACTATGTGTTTACGACATCTCAAGTCTCTAGGATATAAAGTGGCGGTGGTATGTATTTCCTTACAACGCATGGTTTTCCATTAATACATGTGAACATGCATATGTCTTTCATCTGCAAGGCATATTGTAAAATTATAGTGAATATTTAAAAAATACCAAGAAAATTTATTGGTTTCTGCATTTTTTTTTTCCCAGATACCATACTATTCATGGGCAACAATCCAAGGCAACTCTTCAAAATTAATGTATCTGGAGAGAGCAATTTCAGACAGTATGAAACAATAAAATAAAGAATATGATTGTATTTATAATGTAAAATTTTAATTTAAATTGTGTTGAGAATAAAAATATTTTTAATTTCTTTCATTCGTTTTTTCTGTCACATCAGGAACTTTCTTTTGATCAAATTCTTAGGAGGTGCAGTCAGAAAAAGTTTGTTGGAAAGGATTTCTATAGCAAGGTTTCATTTCTATGGCCAAGGTTACAGTTTTTCAAAATAGGTCGAACTCCAAGGTCAAAATCAATGGTGCACAGGGGAAGGTCTTGTCACAAGGAATATTCATGTGAATATGAAAGCCCTAGCACCAACCATTCAAAAGTTATGGCCAAGGTTAAAGTGTTTCAAAAGTAGGTCTTAACTCCAAAGTCAACGACAAAAGGTCAAAACTATTGGTACCTTAGGAATGGACTTATCACAAGAAATACACACATGAAATATGAAAGCCCTAGCACCAACTGTTCAAAAGTTATGACCAAGGTTAAAGTTTTCTCAAGTAGGACAAACTCCAAGGTCAAAGGTAAAAAGTTGTTGGTACCCAAGGGAAAGTCCTGTCAAGGAATACAGATGTGAAATATGAAAGCTCTAGCATCAACTGTTTAAAAGTTATGGCCAAGGTTAAAGTTTAATCTTCGATTAGGGGAGCATAAAAAGTTCTTGGGACTTCAAACTCACTTTGATATATCCACGATATTCAACATATTGATGTGTAAGTTACCACAGTATTCAACATATTGATGTTCAAGATACCATGGTATTCAACATATTGATGTTCAAGATACCATGGTATTCAACATACTGATGTTCAAGATACCATGGTATTCAACATATTGATGTTTAAGATACCATGGTATTAAACATACAATGTATTGATGTTCAAGACACCATGGTATTCAACATATTGATGTTCAAGATACCATGGTTGTTCAAGATATCAAAGTACAATTGTAGATCATATATTTGGAATATGATTGTTTAAGGCTTTTCCAGACCGTTCATATGAAATATGTCATAAAAATGTCTTACAAAAAAGAATTTATCAAACAAAATCCAAAAGTTTAGGGGGTGTACATCTAGCAGGGAGGGAGGGGTCCTGTCCACAAATACCTTTGATAATGGAGGGCTTTCATCCTTAGAGAGCAATAAGAAAAGCCTGTACATATGTAGGATGTTTTATTTGTTATGATGTACACGTACTAAGTACATAACATACAATATGCAATTTAAACATATAAAAAATGTCACAAATATTCATGCACATCAAGTCCGATTTTATGCATTCTTAAATGATAGATAAAGTTCTTATAAAACTTTTCAATCATAATGACCAATTGACCATTTCTGAAAACATTTGTAATACGTAGTAAAATTATATGCAGTTAATGCTTTCCTTTCTCCCTTTCTTAAAATCACTGAATAATCACATGATCATTAAATATTACAATCAGTCATAATATTGAAACAACTGTAAAGTTTCCCTTATTAATGATATTTTTTATGATTACAGCACCAACCCTGAGGCATAACATTTTGAATTTAAAGAGGATAAAAGAGAAATATGATATACATAAAAAATATTGAGCCTGCAACAGAAGGTAGATCTGAATTTAAAGCACATAGCAAATTTAGATGAAAGCACAGACAATATTCCAGACTACCAGCTAATTGCAGCCATAATTGTAAAAAAAATAAAAAAAAAAAGCTTTCCAAAGCTTTAAGAAATACAAGCATGAAAATATAAGACTTGTAAAGAAGCTACTATTAGTATTTAGTTTTTCATGGGAGTTCAAATAGCATTAACATTTGAATGACCCTTTTAATGGGTATACTGGGTTTTGATACTGAAATGTTTAAATACCCCAAGACAACATAGCACCTGCAATGGGAAAAAATATTCTTCTGTACATTTGAATGGTTCTAGTTCTCTAGTTCCTACTTTGTACAAAGCATTCATATTTCCTCAAGAGAAAAGCCATCATTTTTCACTCGTAACAAATGGCCAGACATTTACACACAAGGGCTACTCTATATGTATACATGTAGCTTTGAGTATTATAAGAAGCTCATTTCTAGTCTTGTTTACACATTCTCCTCTATATATTTCATTGGTTCAGCCCATTCGACTAATCTTCTTTGATTTGTCGGCAGGTTTATTTGGAGGAGGAGAATCAGCTGCAATATGGCGGCCATATAAACTGAAACAGGTAAATTAAATAATTCAATCCTACAAGTCATAAGCTCTGATATTTTACAAGTACAGTACAATAACAATGGTAAAGTAATGAACTGTCTCTTCAGTTTAACTTAAATCTTTTGAATATAGACTGAGACATTACAAGTGACACTTACAATCTATATGTTTCTGATCGAATATAATCAAACACATGGGAAACGCCCACTTGGTACTGGTCAGCTATTGGTGTCACCCAAGGGTTATTTTCGCCACGGAAGACCTGTTTAGATCCCACTAGATCTAAATTACCTGTAATCAAACTTCACATGGTTAGAAAATACATGAGTAATTAAAACTATACAATTAAATTCATAACTAGAGAAGAAGGGCAACAAAGTTCACCTGACTCTGACAAATACACCTGTTTATTGATATTACTATATACCAAATATATGTTTCACAAGTTCTAAAGAAACTTAAAGCTATTATCAGGAACAAAAGGGACAGTTGTAATACCCAAACTTAGTTGTTTGACTCATTAAATTTACTATGACACCTGTAACTTCATAAAAGCACCTGCAAGATCTTAAAAGCAGAAACAGTATGAAAATTACTGTAAAATCATTTTTTGCTGGGTAAAAATTTGTGTGGTTTGAGGAAAAATAACTTGTTTGAGGGGATTTGATTTCATGATTAAAGGAGAAACATTATACTGCAGAATGGAATTTTAACATTTTGTGGGGGATAGGAATTAGTGGGTCTCTTCTTCATACCAGGAAAACAATGAAATTCCCCCCCCCCCTCCCTTAGAAATGACAAAATACCAGTAAGTGATTTCACAGTACTCTGGGGAATTGTGATGAAAATTGCAAAATAAGGCTCAAATTCTTCCTTGCCATTATTCCCTGCTAATCCTATTCAATACTTAATTGAAATATCGATAGAAATAAAATAGAGGTTATAAATTCCCATAATTTTACTTGGATATTAATTCCTTGCATATAAGGAATCTACAGTACAAAATAAACATTATCAAATATAATCCCACTTTCACTGAGAATTTTAGACACATACCTATTTCTGGTGGTAACACGGTCAGTCTGTTTCCCTGTATGTGTAATTCTCTAAGGCGAGGCAGATCTCCTACTTCCTTTGGTAATGCTACTAAATCATTCTCCCTCAAACATAACTGAAATCAAACAGGATGAGACATAGTTAAAAAGGAATCTTAAAGCCACCACAAAAGAAAAAGAAGCACAATCTGAGATATAAAAGTTTCTTTATACAAGTATTAAATAAACTAGAAATCTGACCAGTCAGCAAGGGCCCTGCTGAGGGATAGAAATATAAGGGTGCAAATTAGGGAATACAAAAATTAAAAAATATATGAAGACAAATAAGCAACAGCAACTGTATTTATAAAATTTCAAGATAATTCTTAGATATCCAACAACCTGTAAATAGTATCCTTGTATTTACATAAGGCAGTAAAAAAACATCATATCTACAATAACTCAATTAATAAAGAAAAATGAAGCATGTGTTTTCTAAAATGCCAGCCTTCAGTGAATGCAAACATCACCCAGTCTTGACCTTTAACTTCAAAACAAACATCAGCTGCAGACAAAGATGTTAATTAATCTTAAAGTTTTAGTTAAAGATAATCCTCTAAAATGTTCTGCAACCAGCAAGATAAATAATCCCAGGGGATTAATTGCACTGCTCTCTCATCCTTTTCTCCTAAGTTTACAATAAGAACTTTTTTTCAGCAATGGTAGAATGAGGTTATTATCTGACTACCTGTTAAAATTAATAGTATTCTTGAATTTACATAAAGCAGAAAAAAGAAAGAAAGAAAAAAAAAACCAACAATATCTTTATCTATATCTTGTTTTTAGAATTCAATAAAATCATAAATCATTGTGTATTTTACCAAAATAAAGTATGAACATTATTTAAATCTACATTTCAGAGAATGTAAGCATCATTCAGAATTGACTTAACTTCAAAACAAACGTCATTTGCAGACAGAGGTGTTAATTAATCTCAATATGACAGATAAAGATAAATGCTTTGGATTTTCTTCTGGAGGAAAGTTAATTAATCCCAAGAGACTCATTGCAGCTTTCATAGTTTACAATAGAAACATTCTCAGCAGGTATCTCTCTTTGCCCATTCATTCTTATATAAAGTTAAGGAATCTACCCCACTACCCCAGCTCCAAACTGGATGACATAGAGAACCAAACTTAGCATCAAAATATGTCTTACTGCCTATTCAACCAACATACTAAATTTGAACTTAATTGGTCAACCCTTAAAAAAGTTATTAGAAAAAAAAAAGAAAATTAGTGGACAGAAGAATGACAGATGGACAGACAGACAGAGTGATTACTAAAGGGCACCCACAAATCCTTGCAGGGCCCTAATAATTTCCTTACTGGTTTATGTTATTAAAATCATGTAATACATGTATATATGTTATTAATTATGATGTTCTGCTGTACTTCTTTGTAAATACTTACAATTTGCAGATTCTTTAGTTTTCCTATTTCTGGTGGCAGATATTCAAAATCATTGTCTCCAAGATAGAGAGCCCTTAGTGTGTCTGGAAAAAACCCAAGATTTTTTACAAGTTCTTGGTCTACTTGTAAGTACTATATTCATTATAATTAATGGACTACTTTTGAGTACTGTATCACCTATTAGGTTAACTTTATTAAAGCTATATATGGCATAGCTAAGCTAAAAAATAAAAATACAAGATTGAGTGTAGATGAACATGATATTTGTTATTTACCTTCAAATTAAAATTTCACCGATTTTGGACTTGAATAACCCCAGGTTTCTATCGTTAAATTGACTTTAAACTGTGTCTGATATTTAAATGTGGAGTTGGTAAATAAATCCATTATTAATTTTTTCTAACATCTATAAAATGTGATTGATTTAAATTGTGTAATTTACAGGAAAGTCCTACTCCTATCTTTATATAAAGTAATAAAACAAATAGAAAGATCTCTTTAATTTTAGTTAGTCTGAACTTATCAAAAATACCCCATATATGACTTTAAAGTTTTTTCCTGCACTTATGCGTATAGATACCACTGATATATTATAATTACATGTCTGAGAGATCAAAATTTAAAAAAAAATGTATACAACTCATAAATTTGTAGTCCCAGTAGCATAACTGAGAACATTTGTACTTACCCAAGCAAAAGAAATTTCCTGGGAGAGATTTTTCACTTAGGTTGTTATACGTCAGATCCAGAACCTCTAGGGCTGGGAAGGCACCAAATCCACGAGGTAACATATTCAGTTTATTCATTCTAAAATACATGTAATAACCCACATTATTAGTAAGTTTAACATAATTCATACACATTCCAGTCAACTAGTGTCTACAATTAAATCAGAGTGATCTGGTCCATTAAATATCAAAAACTTTTTATCTGCTTTATACTGACTTCAGAAGTAATCAGATGAATTTTCAGGACTCAAAAAGTCCTTCAAGAACTTGTGTGATACTATTTTTAAATCTTAGGATAGCACATTATAGTGACATTACAAATGTATAAAAATAGTCACAACGTACCCAACATTAAGTATTTTCAGTTTCATTAAGGAATTTAACGTGCTGGGCAGCTCCTATTATAAAGAAAATATGTCATCAATTGAATTATTTTAAATATTGTGGCTCTAATGCAGTTATCTATTCTTTTATTTATTTGAAGCAAAAACAATTTTTCAAAACCAAATTTATTTACTGATAATATCATTACAAGTGTTATATGTGACAATGTTTCTCAAGGTAATAAAATCATATATATATAAAATGCAAAGCTCTGATAATACATACCTTTATGTGGTTTGTGATAACACATATACCTTTGTGTGTTTTTGATAATACCTTTATATGGTTGAGATAATACCTATATGTGGTTGAGATAATACATACCTTTGTTGTGTTGATATTTACATACCTTTATGTGGTTGTGATATTTATATACCTTTATGTGGTTGTTGAATAAATTAAGGTGTTCAAGATTTGCCAACTCTGTTATATTGGCTGGAACCTCTGAAATTACATTTGGTTACAAAAACAAGTCTTTTTGGCAACTTCATTCAGGAAGACAGCATAAAAAAAAAAAAACTTTGGAAATCTAGGAAGTTATGAATTACTGGATACATCACATGTATATACTTAACTCTTCATATATTATATGTTTCATGTATTACTGTATCACAATGTTTACACATAATATTTCGCTCATGCAATCTACAGAACTTTGGGGCAATTTAACTCTCGAAACTGATAGATCCTTAAGAATAAACAAGTACATCGCTGATATGAAGCTGAAACCGTACATACCGCTGATTTTGTTGTGAGACAGTGTCAGTCTTGTCAGGTGCTTTAAGTCCACTGGAATAATATGAAAAATCAACATCAAACGTTACAACGACACATACATAATATGCATACAATCATGTATTAATACAATAAAGCCCAGATCAATATAAAATGACAATTAATAGAAGCTGCAATATAAAGATATCTTATGCGATTTTCCCCTATCATCTACACTATTATATATTTGAAGAGAACAAAACACAGAGGACCTATGGTTTCACTTACAGAGGCCAGGTATATTTAGACTCGCAATTCCTTTATCAACCAGGTCAAGTTCTGTATTGTTTTGGTCTCCTCTACATTCATCAATATATTTCTTAACCTTGCTCGACATCTTTATGGAACTCAAAAACACTTAATGCTGTTGGAATTTACAGAATGCCAATTTAGGAAATATTTACTCCGGAAGTGCCTAACAACACCCAAAATTCCTCTCATGCGCAAATAAAATAATTCTAAAAATATGATTGATACTTGGATTATTTGATGATTTAATTTCAATATTTATCTAAATATCTGAGATTGGATCTATTATAAATTTACATTGCTTCCTGCAAATATTAAGAATGTTTTATCAATATCAGCGTAGGGATATAAAACTATTTTCAATATGGCTGCGCCCATGACAAGAGTGAGTCCACTTCAAGAGGCACTTGACTAAGTATTTTCTTTTACTGTTGTCTTTGTGTTTTGACATTTTTCGGTCAATTGTCAACTTGAAATGAATAAAAATCTTTTTACCATTTTGATTAAATGTTACACCTGGTGCAAATAATGAGATCTGCATGGTGATCCACTGACACATAGATAGTGGCACCAGAGACATAACATTTTATGTCTCTGGTGGCACTGTTAAGCCTTTGTAAAAATAGTACAAAAAGATGCAATGGTGGGAAGGGGGCAGTCATTAGTGGGGACCAAACATCTAGCTGTAATATTGCTTTCCATTGTGCCTCACCAGGTCCAGTCCAAAGACTATTTCTACCTACGTACATGTAGCTATTAATAGCTACCTAGGTATTTAAACCTACCCAAAGTAGCTATTTTCACCTACTTTTTGCATTACTTGTCACTATTGTCACTATTACTAATTCATAAATTAACAATTTTGCATAGTAATAACTAATTAATGCAAAATTGTTAATTTACGAAGTAATCATTTTTTGGCCAAAATTTTCTTGTATATTCATCAGTGTGACTGTATCAAGAAATTTGGAACTCACCATGTTGCGCCATTTGGCCACAAAATGCAAGTAATGCATGGCCACAAAATGCAAGTAATGCAAAAAGTAGGTAAATATAGCTACTTTGGGTAGGTTTAAATACCTAGGTAGCTATTAATAGCTACGTAGGTAGAAATAGTCTTTGGACTGGACCTGCTCACATCTGGGTTGCATTCAAGATTGTAGCTGTTAGCCTAGCTGCTAGGTTAGATATCTATGTCATATTGAACAAATGTATGAAATAAAGCTTGTTATGGATAGGCTAGCATATCATTCAAGATCCATGTAACTGATACAATATTGAACAAAGCCCAGGAGAAACTTTTACAATGAAATATATGGAGATAACAAACAGTATTCAAGCTCAAAAGTCCATTCAAACAATACAGATCAGGAGCAGAGCAAACACGGACTTCTCAAACATCAGAGGTGGGATCAGGTGCCATGGAGGATTGAGCATCCCCTGTCGATCGGTCACACCCACTGTGTGCTCCTTGTCATGATCAGGAAATAATTAAAAATCCATGGACAATTCAGTGGGTAAATAATGGGACATACTAAAACAAGTCCCACGGGGAAAATAAGTCCCACATGAGTCCCACAGAAAAATAGTAAGTCCCACCAGGAAATATGATATTTTAGTAATGTTTAAGAATATATCTTTATAGATTATCATTGTTTAAATATATTTTGAATAAAAAATCATTTTAAAAAAGTGTTTAGAAGCATATTCTGATTGGATAAAAAACAAAGAATGATAACTCTTACATCCTCACATAACTTGAGTGCAATATTCCAAGTCCCACTAATAATGACAACAATTTAGTAGTTTTTGAAAACAAATATTTATAGATATTATTATTATTTAATAATAATTATCTTTCTTTTTTTATTAAAAAAAAATGTTAGAAGTTCAGGATGTTTATTATGATCTTTTACAAAGAACACTCCTACACCTACTTCAAGTAACAAGCCATCTAGCATGTCTAGTGTCAGACACTCAGAGTAACAATTTTCATTTCAAGCTAACATAATTATTTAATTATTCTTTAACTCTTATAATTTTTCTTTAAAACAAAACTCTAACATGTTTAATAGTGATTTTTTCCATATAAATTATAACTTTCCCTCAAGAAATACAAACAGAATATCAGTATACAGTCATATTTCTCTGGTTCAAAAACCTAATTAATAGATTAATTATATTAAAGTACATATATTCTGTATTGAAAGAAAATATTATAAGATTTTATGAAAATTCCATTCTCTATGTCCTCGATTTATATGCTTCCTTTCTAATGACTTGTCAAAATCTAAAAACAGCATCTATATATAATCGATTTTGATCCTGATCGAATTATAAATAAATAATTTTACAATATCAACATATGAACTTCTTTTTCTTGTGTATAATTTATATATATATATATATATATATATATATATATATATATATATATATATATATATATATATATATATATATATATATAAAATTCAAGTTTTTCTGAACCAAAGGTTTTTTATTGTTTGCTCTTGAGTGCACTAGCTGGTCAATGATTCTTTGTTTATAATATTATATATATTTTGTGAAAAATCAAATTTACTTATTAGCATGATTTGAAATTAGAATTAAGTGATAAATAGCTGTCAACAGTGATATATTTCAATGATATCACAATTCTTTTTTTTTTACACTAAACTGTATGTATTTTATAACAATTGAAGTAAAATGAAGATTTAAAATACTGCAAAAATTCAGAATGCCATTTGATCACTTTCACAGCTATATAACATGATGAACTTGAAGAAATAGCATGTGTATTATATATTACTTTTTATTATATAGTCTATCTATAGTCCCTATATAATCTATACAAACGCAAACAGTTCATAACACTACATATTCACTGGTTTTGAAGCCGTATTCACCGGAGGGTCGGTGCGCGTGCAGCGGCATTGTGACGTCACAATCAACACCTCAAACAATGTTGTAAACAATGGTTGCAACGGCTGGAGCCAGCTGTGTATCTGAGCAGGAAAAACATTAGCCAAGTCGCAGGATTATTTTCTAAACATTTCGATGTCTTACAAACAGCAATAGGAAAACACGGAAGCTATAACTTGTAATCTGGACATTTTTCTTATTTTTCCATGACAGAAGTTCATAAATGAAAGTGGTATCATCATGCAGCCTTCAATGTCTTATTTATTCAAATCCGGACTATATAATAAAACAATTATGGACTCTTTCTGTGGTGAATATGGTTTGTTATTTACCAGAAAAATATCAATATTGACCTCGGCTTCGCCTCAGTCAATATTGATATTTTTCTGGTGAATAACAAACCATATTCACCACCGAAAGAGTCCATAATTGTATAATGAATTCAGTGACATTCAATAAAGTAAATGCAGAATTTCAGAAACTGATGAATGGACTACCTAAAGTTTGGCTCCTGCTGTCTGTATTTCAAAGTTGTTCATTAAAAACTCAACTTTTCTTTCTCATCAAAATTAAAATCAACATCTAAATTTGTTGTTAAAAATTTGGCTTGTACATATAAATCAAGATGTAAGTCACTATAAATTTCACAGTTTAGTAAGAAATATTTCACATTGCTTCTCCAATATTGACAAGTTCTACACGTAGGAGTGTTAGTGGATTAATTGATTTATCTTTCCATTTCTATATTTTTTCCTCAATGGATAATGGACAATTGTCAAAATTGGACATAGAACTCATCTGGTATCTGTATTGCAAAATCTTTATCATTTTTGTCAGGTACAATTAGTGGCTTTCCTAAAATCCTTTATTTAAAAATTGAAAATAACTGTACCCTATCTACTATAAAAATTATTGTAATAGGTATACAAACAAAACAATGCAATTTTAGGGAGATGGAAAGGTGTGAATAACAACCCCCAGGTGTTGTGTACAGGTATATCAGGGACGTATCTCTATAGGTCTCTGTGTATATACACAATAAACAATTGGGTCTGTCATGGGTGTCGGGCAAATTAACAAAGTTGTTGTTAAAATAAATAAAACCAAAGTAAAACTTTGATTTGTAAAACAAAACAATATAATATTAAAATAAAAATGAAATATTGTACGTATATACATTTAATGAATATTTTCAAACAAATAAAAGTCTCGAGTTAAACAGAAGAACAAATTAAATTCAGAAATAACTTCAATTAACTACCTTTTTTAAAAAAAAAAAATTTAGACACACATCAATATGACTTATTTTCATGGAAAAAAGTTCCAACCCAAAAGTTGAGCGGTTTAGCAGTGCCAAGATCTTGACGAACTGTTCTTAACCATTGTTTACATGAAACAGAGTTATCGTTCTTGACTGTGGTCCGACAGTTACAATCCTCTATTTATCACACCAAAGTACCTTTTATCAGATTTTTTTTGATAGATGATCAAATAAATGTCATATTCTTTCAAAGTAAACCTTTATTATATGTATTTATTAGCTCCTTAGCTGTGGGACTCACGTAGGACTCATGTGGGACTTATTTTCTCTGTGGGACTTGTTTTAGTATCAGCGTAAATAAGGGACTAAATAATGGCCTAACAACTAGTATGAAAAACATCAGTCAGCATTTGACTTAATGATAGATTGTTTTTGCTGACAAGGTCATTGTATCAACCATAGAACTTATGAAATGATGACTTTAAACGAGCCTGTTGATATTCTTGTTTCATCAACTTGTTTGTCAATAACTTACCTTGTTTTAGAAATTGTTCATATGTAAAGCATGCTCTTGCGTATCTAATTAACTGAGAGATATAAACCCCATATGCAGGTGATGAGGGTATATTGCTGCATAAGGGAAGTTGACAATTGAAAAGTTAAAGTCATCACGTTTATCATAAAGCTTTGTTATTAGATTATCATTAATGTCTTTTTCTACAAAGAATTCCTGTAATAACCCAAAATATATTAGAGGCACAGGGCATACACACCCAGCAACATTAATTAAAGACTTAAAAACCTATAATTTTAAAAAATCATGGCAATTTTTTTTTTTAACATTCTTAAATAAGTACATGTCACTAACATCTCTTTGATTTTTGAATCATTATTTTTCTTTTTTCAGATTTTTCATGGCTAAAATACAAGAATTGTTGACTCTGTCTGGTCACCAAGACCGGGTTTGGTGTGTGGCATGGAATCCATCAGGAACATTGTTGGCATCCTGTGGTGGAGACAAAGCAATAAGGATATGGGGAAAAGAGGGGGACAATTGGGTAATATGCCTTATTCCAAGACTAAGAGCTTGTAAATATACATGTACTGGTTTTTGATTTTTCACAGCTAAGTTTTTCTCATGGTTCATACAATATATAACAAATACAAATTTCAGGTTTGTAAGAGTATTCTTGCAGAAGGACATCAAAGAACCATCCGTAGTGTAGGTTGGTCTCCTTGTGGCAATTACCTAGCTAGTGCAAGTTTTGATGCTACCACCAATATTTGGAGCAGAAAAGAGGGAGAGTTTGAATGTATTGCATCCCTTGAAGGTCATGAGAATGAGGTCAAGGCTGTATCCTGGGCACCAACAGGGTCATTACTGGCCACCTGCAGTAGAGACAAAAGTGTTTGGATTTGGGAAGGTATGGATTGATTTTTTTAAGGAATTAAATTTTATCAAATGTTATGGTACATACAAATGTAAGATAAAAATTCTTCTTTTTTTTTTTTTGAGATCACAAGTTTTTGTTTTGTTTGATGTGATTTTCTTATACAGTGACAGAAGATGAAGAGTATGAATGTGCAAGTGTCATCAGCAGTCACACCCAAGATGTTAAGTATGTTGTATGGCATCCAACAAGAGAAATGTTAGCATCCTGTAGCTATGATAATACAATCAAAATGTTCAAAGAAGAGATAGATGACTGGTCATGCTGTAACACACTCGAGTCCCATACCTCCACCGTATGGAAGGTCAGCTTTGATCATACTGGTCACCGTTTGGTGTCGTGTAGTGATGATAAAACATTAAAAATTTGGCAGGAATATTTACCTGGAAATCCAGAGGGAATAGACACCACGGGGAAAGAATCGACATGGAAATGTGTGTGTACATTATCAGGATATCATACTCGAGTGATTTATGATGTTAGCTGGTGTCACACAACTGGTTTGATTGTATCAGCCTGTGCTGACGACAGTATTAGAATATTTAAAGAAGAAGATATATCTGACAAGAACCAACCTTCATTCAGCCTGGTCTGTTCTCAAAACAAGGCTCATTCACAAGATGTGAATTCTGTGTCATGGAATCCTAAAGTTCAAGGACTTTTGGCCTCAGGCAGTGATGATGGTGATGTAAAACTGTGGAAAATGATGCTTGATTAAATCTTACGAACAGAACATGTATTTAATTTTTTTTCATAATTAATCTGAGCCAGATGTTAAAATGAGCTTTCTCATCAAAGTTTGAGCCACATATTTATGTTCATTATAACATATGCATCTTTTATACATGTCAATAGGTAAATGTACATACTCTTACTTTAAAATTCTTATCTCTGGGGAACCAACCAAGCTTGTAACAAAGCATCCTTTTTGGAAGGTGAAATTTATGACCAGTGGTTCAGACCAAAGATGCATGTGGTTAACTTGATCATATATATGATTATTATAAAGTCTTCCTCTTTACTCCTGGACATCAAGGAAGCAAAATATGACCTGATTATAATTAACAATGAGCCCTTACCCAAAAGTGTGAAATTCATGAATTCCTAGATCAACTAAACTTGCCACAAAGCATCCTTTGATGAAGGGGATTCAAGTTTATTCAAAGAAAGTGCCCTATCCTCTTGAAAGGGGGGAGATAATTGAGAAAAAGGCAAAAATAGGATGGGTGTTGGAGAACTACTGGGCCAGAAATATATCTTATCGATACAGTTTAAGTTAGCTCAAATCATGCCCCAATCCCCTCCCAAGGAGTTCACAAGTATAAAACAATAATATACATGTAGAAAGTGTAGGATTTATGAAATAGTAATAAACATGTTGAAAGTGTAGGATTTATAAGAGCAATACTGTTTTATGAATCCTTCACTACCTATATATTACTGTGTTATAAATCCTACACATTACTCTTATAAATCGTACACTTTCTGCATGTATATTACTGGTTTATGAATTGTACACTTTCTGCATGTACAGTATATTACTGTTTTATAAATCCTACACTTTCTCCATGTTAATTACATAGTTTTATAAATCCTACACTTTCTCCATGTTAATAGCGATTCTCTGTAACCACTTAAACTTCTTTGCCACGCATGGTCACCGATTTTGATGAAACTTTCCCCATTATTACAACTTGACACCAGAAACATATATCAAATAAAATTTCGTTGCTATGTGTCTTGGTTGCCATGGTAACAGCCAGAAAAGTTGGAAAAATTGAGATTTTCAGCTACTTTGAATCTTTATTAAGCCTTAATAAAGAATAAGAATAACAAACAAACCATTCTCCCCAAAACCTGACACCTTGTTGCCACTTATGCTATAAAGAAACTATTTAGAATTTATCTCTAAGTAAGTGGTAACCATGGGTACATTTGGAATACATTCTAGATGCTGAAAAATGCAGAAAAACGCTCAATATTCACTAATGATAGGTGTTAAATGATCAAACTCAATGAACAACCTAAGAAAAAACAATAAAAATATTTGACCTTAAGTAATTAGGTATTGGCAATATTATTCTAAAAATAACTTTTATGGTTGCCATGGTAACACAGTGTTACCATCCAAAATGTGTTGCTAAGATTGGGTTAATGCTACTATCTTCAGGAAAAATCATAAATTTCATGACTGGCACATATACATCCTTAGGACCTTGCAACACCGACAACATAAGAAAAATTGGGATTAATTGTTACTTTGCAGTGTAACCATGGAAACAATGTACCAGTAGTTTAAAGTGATATTTTTTTGCTGCCTTAGGAATTTACTTACCTTTTATTCAAGAAACATATTATTTGACTCACCTTGAGTAGTACTTATCTGGTAAAACTAAAGTTGAATATCATATATTGATAACGTTTGTTGAAAAATACAACACTGTTGCTATGGTAACCAAGAAGGGAAAATGTCCGATTTTGTTAATTTTATATCAATATTAAACCCTATGTGCCAGCTTTTTGCATCTAGTTAGAGATTGGGTGGCAGTCAAAATTGAAAGTCAGGTTAGTTGTTCATATTTACCAATCATAAAAGTTTTGGGAATCTACATACAAGGGTACGTATCCAAGGAAACAGGATATTTTTCAGATTTTTATGCATATTTTTTCGGCTTATTTCCATAGCAACGCTCTATTTAAAGAATTGAATTTGCATTTTTTGAAATGTGAGAATTAGGGTCACATGAACATCTTTAAAAATTGATCATTTGTTATATAGAAATATGCTTTTTAAAAAGATAGGATTAAATTTAATCACTAAGAGAGTAAATTTAAAATCCTTTCTTGGTATTAAAACCATGGCAACCATTGCCGACCTATAAGAAATATCATATTTCTTCCTTGGTATATGTTACAAGGATCTTTTGTCTATTATTTGCTTGCTTTTCAACCTATAATTTTTTTATTATTATGTGTATGACTTTTTAAAATTAAATGAACAAAATTATTACTTTTAAATACTTTGTTTCCATAGTAACGTATATAATAGCTGGTTTACCAAACTTGTTTATCAAATATTTAAGACACCAGGCCTTCAACTTTCAGAAACAATCATTGCCACTTGTTTGCTTTGCTGCAAACGTTAACTGTGGGACTCTGAACACGTTGAAAAATGCCATTTTTCAAACTTTAGGACATGTTGCCATGGTAACCATGACACGTAGCAACCAATTTCTGTCTGATTTGAGTTTACGGTATCAAAGACTTTTATCATAGAGAGTTTGGAGAAATTCTGAGACTATGCGTGCCACAGCTTCTATATAAAAGTTCAAGTCGTTACAGAGAATGGCTCTTAATTACGTACTGCTTTATAAATCCTACACTTTCTCCATGTTAATTACGTAGTTTTATAAATCCTACACTTTCTCCATGTTAATTACGTACTGTTTTATAAATCCTACATTTTCTCCATGTATATCTACCGTTTATCCTACACTTCTTACACAGTTCTATTAATCCTACACTTTCTATTGCTTTTCTTTTTATATATTAGTTTTTTATAAACCCTAGCTACACTTTCTAGTTTCTACATACAGTAAAACTCATTCAGTACAAAAACAGATATAGCAAATTCATGGATAAGTTTTTTTTGGAATCCCAGGTAAACTTAACAATTCTTTGTAAAATTTTACAAATTTAACAAAATCAGATATAGCAAAATTACGGATATAGCTGATTTTGTGTCCTCTTGAGGTTAACTCGATTTACATCTTTTATAATGAATTTTTAAAGATTTCAACCTACATGTAAATATATAGACTGGACATTTTTTAAAGTACTTATATTTGAAATTCATTTGAAAACTTTTTAAATCCAAGGTTTCTTTTGCATTTAATACTTCCCAAAATACACTTGGTAGTTACACTCAAAGGAAAATATCTATAATGTAAATTAGCTATATAAACTTTAAGGAATTCATTATACAGATATAATGAAGTAAATTCACAGGTCCTCAGGACCTCACAATAACTGAGTTTTACTGCATTGTTGTCTTATAAATCCTACACTTTCTACATATAACTGGTTTATAAATCCTACCCTTCTACATATTGCTATCCTATAAATCCTCCACTTTCCACACATTGTTTCTATTTCCAAAACTCAATTTTGCATAGTTTTATCATGTTCTGTTTAAATACCAATTAAAAATCATTATCATTTTAATTGCTTTTCTTGCATTTATTAAAATACAGAAAGTTTGGCACAATTAAATTGTCTATTTGGACATTGGAAATAACATGTACATATCAAAATTTCAATAAACACGTCAAACATCAAATGTAAAAATATCAAACATTAAATGAGAAAACAAAATATGCATGAATGAAGATGGAAACAATTACGTAAAGGAAATTCGATATCAAAATAGCATTTTTCATATACATTGCATATTGTCCATTACAGTATTTATGACATTTTTTTCTCTTTCAAATTTGTAACTGTCAAAATGCATTTATCTACAAGTTGTTACTGTATGAGCAAATTGTGACATTTGGACTGAATAACTTGAAAAGATGACGCTTTTTGTTAACTAGATTAACTAACTAGACTAGAGTGTCCTAATGGACATGTTACCCGAAACATAATGGATAGAACTAGTACATGTACTGACCTATTACAACTAACAAATATGAGCAAGCTTGATTTTTATATCACTTGTGCAACAATCTCAATGCTAGTCTCTGGATTTTAAAATATGTCAGATGCAACCATTTGGTACGTGATAAAAAAAAATACAATACAGATGAATGAAAAGGAAGAAAAATGTTTATGAAATAATATTCATAAAAAAAAACCACTCTTGAAAGTACTGCTACTTTCCTTGGATATCGAATAACATAACAATTTTAAAACAAGAGTTATGCCTTATGAACACGTTTTTCTTTACCTGAGAATCGAGTAAAGTTTTTAAAAATTAAAATCAATGGAACCTTGTAAGTTCAATTTCAAAGATCTATTCTACAGTAATGAACTTGAACCAGATTTACTACAGTAATGATCTTGAACCAGATTTATACTACAGTAATGATTTTGAACAAGATTTATACTAAGTAATGAACTTGAACCAGATTTATACTACAGTAATGATTTTGAACAAGATTTATACTAAGTAATGAACTTGAACCAGATTTATACTATAGTAATGATCTTGAACCAGATTTATGCTACAGTAATGATCTTGAACCAGATTTATACTACAGTAATGAACTTGAACCAGATTTTTACTACAGTAATGAACTTGAACCAGATTTATACTACAGTAATGAACTTGAACCAGATTTATACAGTAACGAACTTGGACCAGATTTATACTACAGTAATGATCTTGAACCAGATTTATACTACAGTTATGAACTTGAACCAGACTTATATACAGTAATGAGCTTGAACCAGATTTATACTATGTACAGTAATGAGCTTGAACCAGATTTACTAATAAATCAATATTGCTAACATCCCTACCCTTACTTTATAAGTTCATTACAATATACACTGTAGCATGTGAGTGTCTCAAGTGACCACAGTATTTGATTACTTTAGGTGTAACATCTACTTCCTCTATTACAGGGACAATGGTTTTGTATTCAAATATATCACATGACTGTCAGCCAAAACTGAACAAACATTAAAGGATTTATGAATTAAAATTTCTTCTAATACCTCCATGGCTCCCTCAACTAAATATTTCACAAATTGGATCCAACCATTTCTGAACTTTGTACTAAAATTTATGTACTGTAAATATTCATGTTTTTTGCCTAAATCTTGTTTTTTTGAAAACTGAAAATAATGAACTTCTGTTTTGTAAATGCTGTATGTCATTTTCTTATCCTACGTAGCATCCTCTTAAAAAGAGAAGGTACTAGATTTATTTTTTGGATTCTTTGTTATCCTCTTGCACATCTCTGGATGGACTTTGCTGTATCACATGTAATTATCCCGGAACCAAGATAAGGGATTCCTGACTAGAGACTCGACTTGATGTGTTGCTGCCTCTCCCACTGGTAGTGCTGGATAAAGCGGTTGATTCCTGTGCTAGCCCTTGGTCAATCAATGTACGAGCAATGCTAATGTCCTCCTCTCCAGAAGTATCAAAAAGCTCAATCCAGGCACACCCACTCCAAGACCTAGAGAAAATAATGCAACTATTTTGGATATATCAACAAAACAAAAAACAAAACAAAAAACTGAAATCAAAATATACTGTTACACTTTATTTCATGACCCAGACATAGAACAATACACAACTTCTCCAGGACCTAATTAGAGAGAATGTAAGAAAATAAAGAGTACTATACATCTCAAGGACCAAGAGATACAGGAAATGATTATCATTATTCAACCAAACAAGAACCATGAGATACATTTGTATATCAGGACAACCACTCTAGATCAAGAGACACTGAAAATAAATAATGATTTACAGTACAACCTATACAGGACTTTTAAGATGTCTACAAAAATTCAGGACCTACAGACTTAGAAAAGAATTTGTACTACACAATTATTACAGGACCTACAGACTTGTCAGAAAAGAATTTGTACTACACAATTACTACAGGACCTACAGACTTAGTCGGAAAAGAATATGTACTACACAATTACTACAGGACCTACAGACTTGTCAGAAAAGAATTTGTACTACACAATTACTACAGGACCTACAGACTTAGCCAGAAAAGAATTTGTACTACACAATTACTACAGGACCTACAGACTTAGTCAGAAAAGAATTTGTACTACACAATTACTACAGGACCTACAGACTTAGCCAGAAAAGAATTTGTACTACACAATTACTACAGGACCTACAGACTTGTCAGAAAAGAATTTGTACTACACAATTACTATAGGACCTAGAGACTTAGTCAGAAAAGAATTTGTACTACACAATTACTACAGGACCTACAGACTTGTCAGAAAAGAATTTGTACTACACCATTACTACAGGACCTAGAGACTTAGCCAGAAAAAGAATATGTACTACACAATTACTACAGGACCTACAGACTTGTCAGAAAAGAATTTGTACTACACAATTACTATAGGACCTACAGACTTAGTCAGAAAAGAATTTGTACTACACCATTACTACAGGACCTACAGACTTAGCCAGAAAAGAATTTGTACTACACAATTACTACAGGACCTAGAGACTTAGTCAGAAAAGAATTTGTACTACACCATTACTACAGGACCTACAGACTTGTCAGAAAAGAATTTGTACTACACAATTACTATAGGACCTACAGACTTACTCAGAAAAGAATTTGTACTACACCATTAGTACAGGACCTACAGACTTAGTCAGAAAATGTGTACCTCATGACCACTCCTGGATCTACAGTCATGCAGAAAGTAACATGTATCCAAATATACAGAATATTAATAGACTGGTTCCAGATAAACAAAAGCTATATAAATGTTTTTATAGCTTCTATCTTTTACTGCTGTAAAGGGGGTAAAATAACTCCCGGTGTTAATTTTCATTGTATTAGGGACCTCAATAAAGTTAGGAATTCAAAGAACAGTGAATTTATGTGTTTGTAATGGTTTGGGACATGGATATCAGCCTGGGTAGCTCAGTCGATAGAGCACCTGACTAGTGATACAGGGGTCCTGGGTCTGATTCCTGGTCCAGCCATACATTTTCTCCTTTCCTGTTACAGATTTAGTGCCATGACCAGGATCAAATCTGTCACAGGAAAGGAGAAAAAGTATGGCTGGACCGGGAATTAAACCCGGGATCCCTGCATCACTAGTCAGGTGCTCTACCAATTGAGCTACCCAGGTCGATACCCCCAGCTCAAACCATTACATGTTAAAAGACCAAGAATTATGCACTGAAGACTTAATTCATATTTAAGCTAATTAGGATGCCAAAAGCAATCTGAGAATTCTGCATAAGTGATAGTTGTCCCCTACTGAGTGAGTAGTCTGGTTCCCTTAAAAATTCGGGGCACTAAGTTTAAAGGCTGTAATTTCATCAAAATCATTGAAGGGAAATGATCATCTGCAACTCAAGTAGACTCACATACCAAGACTCAGCTCAGTATCTGCTTCAAAAGTATTCCATGACATCTAACATGAATTTTTAATAAAATTAACATTGAAAATGAATTATAAAATTTATTGCACAAATCTTATACAGTGTACTGTGGTCCAAGTTAAAGAAAGTCTGAATTAACCTGACACAACCGAAGGTAAACAAATGGATTTGCCTGGTTCCTTGTCCTTGTTTTTGTGTGTTTTTTCTCTCTAGGGAACCAGACTAAGACTACAAACTTATGCATCTGAGTATAATTTATACACATTTTAAAATTTTCAAATCATTATTTACCATAGATGCTTATTTGTTAAGAAAATTTTTTGTTTTGTTTTTATTTAACCAACATTTGTATTGTCTCAACAGCAGTTGAGGCCAAGTGCTCTGTATTTACATGAAAATTTGATTTGGTGGCAGTCCGGTTCAAAGAGGCTGACAATAGCCAGCCATTGCTCAATTAGCTATACAACAGTTTCAAAAGTGAGAGAGGGCTTTAATATAAGCTTATTTTCCCACTCATTCCCATTTAATATAAGTCTGAATAAAATACAATTTAAATAGTTCCAAGTTTATAAAAAAGATTATCCTGTACAAACCTTGACTTGATGTAGGCAACCAACGTTTTTCCATCGACTAGTTTTCTAAATTCCATTCTAAAAAAGAACACAAATAATTTTCACTTTACAGCTGAACTTCTGATATCACGAACACGGATATCTCAAATACCATGGATATGCCAAAGTCATTTGAAAGCCCCAAAGCCTTTTTTTTTTTTTAGTATTTTACCCTCAATATCTCAAACCCTTAGATATCTCAAAGCCTTTTCTCAGCCTCATCGAGTCTGAGATAACAGGGTTTTACTGTACTTATCCTCTTGAGTAAATCTGTTCTGTTCCTCATATCAATACATATATACCTGGCCTCTTGACTAAATCTGTCAGTTCCTCCTACAGGTTCTATGTCCACTAGGAAACATTCCAGTGCCTGGAGGGGTAGATGGAGGAACTGGGGGTCAATGTTACGCACTGATTTGTCAGACACAAACTCCTTGTTGCCAAAGTCCACATAAAACACCTGTATGTCAAAAGGATTATGATTCAATAACTGTAAATGTATTACATTAAGTGTGTACGATATTTGGTGGAAATTGATTTTTGAACAAGTTAAGGAAGATTTGATTTAGCGCATTTACTTATGTTCCTATTTATGTCTATATATACAAGACATTTAGCATTGTACTTGAATAAGGGGAAGTTGCTTTTGCGAAAGGCACTAAAAAGAATACACAGCTAAATGTAATATGTTTACAGTACTTCTACACTGTAAAAATTGTGTTTAGGAAATAAACACTTCTATTACATGTTTAGATCTAAACGTGTATAGTATTGTGTTTAACAACTAAACACTTATGTCTTAACATGTTTTATATCTAAACGCGTTTAGCAATTAAACACATTTTACTGTAAAGTGCAGAGTTATCTTCCCGGAAATGACACACATATATTTGAACATTAATTTGAGCGGCTACCTAAACAAAGAAAACACAACAAGCTAAGGTGATGTATCAGTGAGAGTTATGACAACCCAATTCAAGGGATAACCATGACGAAATAGTGAAATACGTGAAAGGGCATCTTGTTACTGCAATACATTAAAGGTTTGTTTTCTTCTTCTTTGCATTAATTAACCACGACGAGCAACGTAAATAAAGTTGACTTGGGATATCTTGAATTCGTTCATAGACTTGCAGGAGAGGAAATAATATTAAATGTCATTATCTATATTTATATCAGTGTAGTTTCACTAAAATTTGAACAATTTTGTTTTTCTAAGTAATGTAAAATATCAGTGATAGTGTACTTCTTCTAAATCTGGCTTTCTTTCCTACAGGCACCGTACGTAGTCCAGATCGAACTCAAAATACACGTATCAGAGTACCTGGTGTCATCTTCAAGTGATTGTTGTTGTTCCATAATCAACACTTTGAAACTTCATTTGTTGAAGACTACTGTGTTAATTCGGCAGTGTTTACAATTATCCTCGTGCATTCGAAATCGGTTACTTTCTGGCAGTTATTGATGGGATATTGATTATAATATGTGGTGCTTTGGGACTTGCTGAAAGTTCATAAAATTTGATATTTTTTGATTGACATGAGGAAAACTCTGCAGCCGATTCAAATTATAATGATTATAATAAATATATATATAAATATACATTTTGTATTTTTAGTTTAACAATTCTTTAATAAAGCCTTTTAGAAATTTTCAATGAAGTTTTGATATTAAATTGTCAGCTTAATATTATTTTCTTAATAATTTTGAAGATAAAAAGTTTGTTATCTATGTGTCGTTATTAATTATGTGTCATTCTGATTGAATTGTTGAGACTAATCAAATCTATTCAGTTCTATCTCCTACATTATTAGTGTAGATTAAGTACATGTACATCGCACAGTGTCCATTGTATTGTATAATTAAATACATATCCCAGAGTTCAGTGGCTTTATCGAAAATAATTAATATTGGTTACATATTTTGAAAATTTTGACAATTATGCGCATTTAAAAAACATATACTTTCTGTGCCTAAATTTACGAGTGTTTTGTTTTTCTGCAGGTACAAATTAAACTTATGATGTGTTTAGATATTAAACACATCTGCTGTTATGTGTTTAGAATTTAAACACTTGTGTTCATGTGTTTAGATATGTTTAATTCCTAAGCACACAAGTGTTTAAAATCTAAACACTTTCTAAGACATGTTTAGGAATTTTACATGTTTAGAAATTAAACATATAAAAAAGGAGGTGACAAGAAAGTGTTTAGAAAAGTGTTTGAATTGTAAACACATTTTTTACAGTGTACATACTGTAAATCACTTTCTATTTGTGAGAACTTTATTTTCGTGTAATTACACAAGACCCTCTGCTCGTGAAAATTTTACTTTTGCATAATTTTTTTTTTGGAAAAATTATATACAGCTGCAAAATAGCCAGAAGTCATGAAAATTTCATCTTGCTTATAAATACTAAATAAGTAACTCACAAAATTTGGTGTACTGCTAAAAAAAATCTCTGATGAAATTTAAGATTATTTCTGTACTATTAAATACATGTATGTATATGTGTGATGTGTATTAAAACATTGCATTTAAAATTCGCACTTGAAAATCTCTCTTTGAATACATGTATCTTCATATTTCCAATTTTTTAAAGATTTTATCTTAGGAGAAAGGAGTGGTATTATATCATTTTTAAACAAACTTCATATTACATGTATAAAGTTGGTGACTTTTATAGTCTGTCCCACATCACCAATGTCATCATTTTTTTTTTTTTGCACTATATCAAACTAATTTGATAATCAGACAATTTTTTTCTCAAACTTCCTGCTTTAAAGGACTTATCGCATGTTTCTAAATTATTTAAAATTAAAAGCGTGAAACATTCACTATGACCACAGTTTATAAATTTTGTGTTTCTACTGCGGATAAACCGCGTTAATTAATCAATTATTGACTCAAATGAAATCCCCTGATTTAAAAATCTAAGTTAATTAGATAGCGATCACGTGACCCTGTGACGTCAAAGGCGACAATGGCTGATCACCTCTTCATGTTAATCTTACGAAAATATACGCCTTACAACCTGCATTTTCTGCGTTTTTGACGATCAAATCGCTTTTTTTATCGATATGAAATTGAATATCCAACCTTATATTTTAGTACTGCCAGCAAGAAAAAATCTGAAAAATCTGTTAACATTGAAAAAATAGCAGCGACGATAGCGAGGGAGAAGCGGCGAAGACGGAGAAACTCGCCATCAAAATACGATTTGATTTGTCATCTTATCACATGTATTTACATATTTGATTCATAAATTTAACATTATATAACTTTGTTATTCTTCGATGTTAACATAATATTAATTTATGCAAGACTTCATTTGTATTTTAAAGGATGGCGATCTTGAAAAATAATTTCCCGATCACGAAATATTGCCGTAATCAGAGCTACAGATACTAAATGTTTGGAATAAAAAAACGAAAATATCACATTTTCCTTATACCTTAGAACTAGTTAATGTTTCTACAGTAATTGAAAAGCACATCACGAATTTATTTTTTCAGCATTTTTCGTAATTAAGCTGCATTTGTCGTTGATAACTCCGTAAATAGTGTGTATATTCTCATCTCTCTATCACTGAATTGTCGCCTATGACGTCAGAGCAGTATTTCGCCGAAATCCGACTGAAATATGCATATTGCCGTATTTGAATTTCAACTCCCAATATCTCTTAAAATATGCTTTCAACAACGTTTATTGTATTCAGTAATTTAATAAACAAGGTTGTAGATAATATTTTTCATAAAATTACGATTTTTGAAAAATCATGCGATAAGTCCTTTAATAGGAACTCTGGAGTTCAGTTGGTATATTGACACAGCAGCAAAGTCAATGTCTACAGGGATTTAACATGAGGAAAATGGTTGCCACCTCGAAAAGATCCGTCACTACTGATGACTTTTTTTTGCTTGTCGACAATTACGTAATGATGAAATGCTTGTTCAGAATCAAGTTTTAGGTCACACTTAGATAATCTCTATGAATAATGACAACTCTCTTGCCTGCTTGCAGCAATGGCTGAAATTTACACTGTAAACTCTGTAGACTTTGATAAATAGTGTTCTACTCATTTGTTTCAAATTGTCTGTATCCAATATGACTAAATGGGTTTGGAAAAGAGAAACTGTAGCGTTTAATGATATTTTCTCTGAAATCAAAACAAACATATTTGATATCGTTTGTGGTAGAAGTGTTATGTGGGACAGACTTTAACATGGATTTCGGTCCCAATTCAAAATCGGTTGGATGCCTCTTAGTCTTTCTTCATCCTAGCTATACGATATTTTGTGAGATGTGAAGGATTTAATATTATGATAACTAGAACTTATGGTATCTTTTCGCACCTCCACTTTCCTGTCCCCCGAGCTGATGACTCGAGCTCTGTACCATTGCAGATCTACACTGTAACGTGCCACCACCATTTCTCCAGGAGCATAATCTACATAACTCCCCTCAAACTGCTTCCCACCATAGAACTCTCTATCAATTAAGGGAAGCATTTAAAGTTAAATCAGTCAAAAGTCTTAACTTCAGTTATTAATCTAGGCAAAATAACCATGTTACTACAAAAAGCCTCCTATATAGTCATGCTAGAAACTGAAATTTCCAATCATTCTGATGAAAATACAAATTCCTACCAATACAATACAAACCTTCATCAAAGAAGTACATGTATATAAAAATGCAATGGTTTTAGATTGAGAACTTCATTTGAATCACTTACTGTAAACTTGCCATCAAGTCTTCCAATGTTTCCTGTTGAAAACTGCTGTAACCCTCTAAAATACGAAAAAGAGAACCATGAGTCATAACACTCACATTTTCTTTAATTTTTGACAAATTAATACATGTATGTACGTATAGATAAATCTTCTCTTACTGTGTCTCCAAAGTGTATGATTTCAGAAATTTTAATTTACAGTATTTTAATGCAAAACCTGCTTATTCTTATGGATGTCTACATAGCTCTCTTCCCCAGTTGTAGCCAAAACCTGGTATTGAGACCACGCTTTGATCAAACATGAATCCACCATTTTTCTAGTTAGTGAACATTCCAAGATCAATATCCATGCCAGTTTGGTTTAAGTAGGACTTTTAGTTACTTGGAAATAGACCTGCTCAAAAACTTTTAACCTACAGTAAACTTCTTTCATAACGTACTCGGTTATAAAGTATCTCCGGATGTAAAGTAGCCATTCGGTAGTCCCGGCAAAGTGTCTATATATAACATTGGAAAAAACACTGCTTACAACGTATTTGTATATAACGTAGTATCGCTTATAAAGTATTAGAAATTTGGTCCCGTTACATAATTACATCTCTTATAACGTATTCTGACACGTGGTTTCACACCTTTTCTATCAGCTCGGACTGCAGATTAGTCACGGTTTGTTGACTTCATAGCTTCTCCGTAATGGGTGTTTTTCTAACGAGGTTTCTTTGTTGTTTCAGGAAGAATTTATTTACAAGAGGCCCAAGGGCCTTAACGGTCACCTGAGTATAATACAACAATTTAGAGGATCCATAGAGTATAAAATGAACTGAAAGGTGAAGCTTTGTTGCCCAAAAGCAAGAAAAGTAGGGTGATCAGGATCAACAAAATAATTAGTCTAGTGTTCATTAACAGTATATAAATTAGGTTCTAATCTGTTCCCCATTTATCACTCTCACCAGACAGTATATAAACAAACTTATAATAAGTGCTTCTGTACTCTTTTAATTCCTTGTTGAAATCTCTTACATTGGCCTCTCTTGGTCTTTGATGAACATTTAATAAGACAAGTTATTTTTGTCTCATTTTTATTTATCTGTTACTTACAAGTCTACCTGATCATTAAAACTATGAAAGTACTTTTTGTATTTTACAATAAAAATTCTTGCATAATTCTCCTATTCTATTAACCTTTCAAGTACATTATTTACAGTGATTAATTAACACAAGTAAATGGCAAAGGGGAATAACTCCTCTCAATAGAATAAAAATTAATAGATCCCTGGCCTGGACCAGAACACTTGATCAAATGGTTCCAATGTTCAAAAATCTGGTAAAAATACCCTTCCTTATTAAAACTTTTACTCTTTTTGCCTCTGATATGCCCAGGTGCAGAGAAGATTTTTAAAGCATTAATGCATTTTCACCATATAATAAGTAGAGCCCCGCTCTAATATCAGAACCTCTGATCCAGGGGTCATAAAATTCACAATTTTGGAAGAGGCATCCTTGCTTATCATAACCATGTATTTGTTTAAATAATACCCAGGAGAAGAGAAGATTTTCAAAGAAATAATGCACTTTCATTATATGATCTATATAGCCCCGCCCTAGCACCAGAACCCCTGACTCTGGGGCTATGAATTTCACAATTTCGGTAGAGTCACCCTTGCTTATCATAGCTATGTATTTAATTTGTTTAAATAATACCCAGGAGTAGAGAAGAAGATTTTCAAAGAAATAATGCACTTTCATTATATGATCTATATAGCCCCGCCCTAGCATCAGAACCCCCGACCCTGGGGCCATGAATTTCAGAATTTTGGTAGAGTCACTCTTGCTTTTCATAACTTTGTATTTAATTTGTTTAAATAATAACCAGGAGTAGAGAAGAAGATTTTCAAAGAAATAATGCACTTTCACTATATGATCTATATAGCCCCGCCCTAGCACCAGAACCCCTGACCCTGGGGCCATGAATTTCACAATTTTGGTAGAGTCACTCTTGCTTATCATAACTATGTATTCAATTTCTTTCAATAATACCCAAGAGTACAGAAGAAGATTTTTTAAGAAATAATGCACTTTCATTATATGATCTATATAGCCCCGCCCTAGCACCAGAACCCCTGACCCTGGGGCTATGAATTTCACAATTTTAATAGAGTCACTCTTGCTTATAATAACTATGTATTCATTTTGTTTCAATAATACCCAGGAGTAGAGAAGAAGATTTTCAAAGAAATAATGCACTTTCATTATATGATCTATAAAGCCCCGCCCTAGCACCAGAACCCCTGACCCTGGGGCCATGAATTTCACAATTTTGGTAGAGTCACCCTTGCTTATCATAACTATGTATTCAATTTGTTTCAATAATACCCAGGAGTAGAGAAGAAGATTTTCAAAGAAATAATGCACTTTCACTATATGATCTATATAGCCCCGCCCTAGCACCAGAACCCCTGACCCTGGGGCCATGAATTTCACAATTTTGGTAGAGGGCTCAATGCTTATTACAATCATGCCAACAGTTTGACTGCTTGATGTCCAGGAGTAAAGAAGAAGATTTTTAAAGATTGCATTAATTTTGATGGTTTTGGCCCCACCCCTCAGGCCCCAGGGGGGCAGGGGCCACGAATTTCTCAATTTTTGTTCCCCTTCACCCATAGATGCTATATGCCAAAATTGGTTGAAATTGGTTTGCTGGTTCCAGAGAAGAAGCTGAAAATGTTAAAAAGTTTACGACCGACGATGGACGAAAAGAGATAGCAATAGGTCACCTGAGGGACTCAGGTGACCTAATAATAAATTGTTTGAATAAAATTCATCGAGTAGATGTATTCATAATAATTTTTTTGAATAAAAAATCATCTTTGAGTCAGTAAATAGTAATATAACCGAAAATGATATAATTAAACAAGTGAAAGGAAAATACAGTGATTCAATATCAGTAGACCGCGACGACAGCGAGGACGACGAGGCCATGCCTGACACGTGCATACCATCTACCCAGACAATCAAAGGGCATCAGTCCAAAGTTTTCGCGACTTTGGCAACTCTGGAGACTTTTGTAAATAAATGTCCTCAGGCCAAACATTACAGACTTTTTATATGATCTGACGATAAATAAATAAAATGTTACTGAATATTAATCTTTCTTAATATAAGAAACAAAACCAAATATACTTGTAAATCATTTACAATGTATACATACTTTAAAATATAAATAACACACTAGAAGTTTGAAAACTGTTTACGGTAAAGGTGTACTGAGTACTTACGGTCTCCGCTTCTAGCGTACACCGGTTATAACGCAGGATTTATCACAGTCCCCTGAGATACGTTATAAAAGATGTTTACTGTATTTACTACTCAAGAATATTTTGGTCAGTTCCAACATCCAATGCAAAGAAATGGAAAGAATTTCAATATAAAATTTGGATTCCCTATTGTGTCCCCGCCCTACCCCCGGGGGTCATGATTTGAACAATTTAGAATCTACACTATCCTAGGATGCTTTCACTTAAGTTTCAGCTTTTCTGGCCCAGTGGTTCTTGAGAAGATTTTTAAAGATTTTTTCTACATATTTCAATGTAAAACTTGGATTCCCTATTGTGGCCCCTCCCTACCCCTGGGGGTCATGATTTGAACAATTTATAATCTATGCTACCCCAGGATGCTTCCACATAAATTTCAGCTTTTCTGGCCCAGTGGTTCTTGAGAAGAAGATTTTTTAATGACCCCACCCTATTTTTGTCTTTTCTTGATTATCTCCCCTTGGAAGGGGGCTTGGCCCTTCATTTTAATAATTAAAACTCCCCTTCACCCAAGGATGCTTTGTACCAAGTTTGGTTAAAATTGGCCCAGTGGTTCAAGTTGAAAATGTGAAATGTTTACAGACAGACGGACAGACGACGGACAACAGGTGATCAGAAAAGCTGAAAATTGTTTATCTTTCTTTGGAGTAGGTGAGCTTAATAATTCATTATGTTCATATAGCAATAAATATAAAACATTCAAAGAACATTCCAGTGCAGAATTGTATAGAAACATTCTTTTATATAATTATATAGATTTTTGATTGACTTTTAAATTCAGCTGACATTTGAATCAATTTGTAATGGTACATGCAATACCTTCTTTTTTGGCTGGTTCTAGAGATGCCAAGGGCTCTTTACCAAAAGGCAAGACTATATAGAAGTGGGAAGGGTTTAAGATGGTGGATACTTCACAGGCAATCCAGGAGCCAGGATCAGGAAGGTCGTCCTGATGGTACTCCTCCATCACATCACCGTACACATAGTCCACATCTCCTGTCAGGGCACCTGTTACCAGCAAAACATGTATTAGCATTCAGCGAAATTAGCATTGTCATTCAGCGAAATATTTTGAAGGTACCTTGAATTTCCTTATATCCTAAGTCCACTGTAATAAAGATGTGTCAAAACCAGTGGAAAGTCAAACCACTTTTTCTCAATGTACTGTAGATCATTTAATTTTCATGACACCTTTTAATATTTGCGAGATTTTCATTTGGTATTTCTAAGCAAGACGAAATTTTCATGAATTTCTGTCATTGCTATGCATAATCTTTAATAATACTAATACTTGTGATGAATGAAATTTTTGACAGTCTCACATAATAATGCGCAAATAAAAAGTGATTTACAGTATTTCAACTTCAACATATCAAATCCTCAGATATCTATTTTCAATGACCTTGGGTCAGAGAGAAATGCCCAGAGGTAAAGCTGGAAAGAAGGAAACAAGTTTGATTTTGTTATGAAAAAAAACCAGCCCATACATGTACACTCAAACTCACTTACATTGACCTCTCTGTATTTGAAAAATCGGTTAGTTTGAAATGAATTTGGTCTCCCCTAAAAAACTAGTACAGTTTCTTTGCAATAAATACTCGTTTAGATTGAAATCCATTAAATTGAAAAACCCTATTCATTTGAAGTGATTTGTGGGAGTCCGCTGAACACAAAGCTTATTGTTTTGATAATGGTAACATTGAAGTCACCGATTGCGATGCATAGACACAGGTTACTGACTGACTATATATGAAGTCTAGCACATGTAAAATTTTCACTCATGTGATCTGATGTCAGTGGACCTGTAAAAATTTAATTATGTCTTATATAAATAAAAGAATTGAGCATTTCTTACCGGAACATATTAGTTGCCATTTTTATTTTCTAACTACAGCATTAAGACCTACATGGCTAAAATGCGCAGGGGTGTCGTGTGTAAATTGGTATGCAGAGAAAGTGCTGGTGTAAATAAATCCACTGTAATTAAGTGACTGGAAAATAAACTTCTTGAATCGAAGTATATGAAGCATATGTTTTCAATGCTGATGAAACAGGGTTGTTCTGTAGATGTGAACCTGACAAATCATTGTATCTATGCTGCAATGTTCAAAACGAACTCTTTTGTGTGTAAATAGTCTTGAATAGTTTTCTAACATGAATCAACAAAGAACAGTAGAAAATTAAAGACTTCTTTGAAAAACAGAGATACGAATATTTCTCAAACACTGCATGTAATGTTAAGTAAAAAACAATGAATCCTCACACGTATATTTTTTTTACCGTATCTACATTTTATATGTAACTCATGGCACATAGATATGTGTAGAATGAAATTCGGTTAATTTGAAATAAATCTCAAGGTCCCTTAAATTTCAATGTAAACGAGTTTGACTGTAGCTGATTTTATATGGACATTGAAGTTACATGTCATAAGATATACCAAAGATCTGATGACCACCTTATCTCTCTAACCATTCAGCATAGCTGCAACTTAGTTAGAACTGGACCTATTAACAGTTTAAATCGGTCTCTTTAAGAAAGACACATCTCACCTTCTGCCACGATGACATGTCTGTATGGACACTTATCCCCTCTCCAGCACTTGTTCTTTTGGTAATATTTACAAATCCTCTTTTCATCCTGGACCTCTGTTTAATACAACAAAATAAATATGACACAACAGAATGCTTTTAACTTTCTGTGTTTCTCTGATCTACATGTTACAATGAAGATGGTCCGTACTAATGCCTATGGTGGCCACTCCGGCATCATCCACGTCCACTTTGTAGGAATTCCTGACATCCATGTAATCATCCAGCATTGGGTTCCAGTCCTTCATTTCATCAGGAGAGGCTACTGAAAACAGTAGGGCACAATAACTACACATACATATAAAGAAAACAGTAGAGCAGTTAAGAGCACAATGACTACACATAGTTACATGTTAACAAAGAAAACTTTTATCAATTACAAGTAAAAAACAAGATGTGTTTGTGAAACACTAATGCCCCCGTATGGGAACTTTTAGCAAAGGTTAAACTTTCTCAAATGCAAATCAAATATGTTGGTACCCAAAGTAAGGTCTTGTCTCGAGGAATATACCTGTGAAATATGAAAGCCCGAGCAGCAACCATTGAAAAGATATGGAAAGGTTAAAGTTTTTCAAAAGTAAGTCAAACATCAAGGTGAAGGTCAAATGGTCAAAATTAATGGTGCCCAAGGAAAGGCCTTCTCATAAGAAATACACATGTGAAATATGAAAGCCATAGCACCAATCATTCAAAAGTTATGGCCAAGGTTAAGTTTTTCAAAAATAGGTCAAACTCCAAGGTCAAGGTCAATGGATTACAATTGTTGGTATCCAAATGAAGGACTTGTCACAAGGAATAGACATTTTAATATGAAAGCCCTAGCACCAACTGTTAAAAAGTTATGGCCAAGGTTGAAGTTTTTCAAAAGTAGGTCAAACTCCTAGGTCAAGGTCAAAGGGTCAAAGTTGTTGGTATCCAAAGGAAGCTCTTGTCACAAGGATTACATATGTGAAGTATGAAAGCCCTAGCTCCAAGCATTTAAAAGTTTTGGCAAAGGTTAAAGATTTTCAAATGTAGGACAAACTCCTAAGTCAAGGTCAAAGGGTCAAAGTTGTTGGTATTCAAGTCAAGATCTTGACTCAAAAATTACTTATATTAAGTATGAAAGCCCTAGCATCAATTGTTCAAAAGTTATGGCTAAGGTTAAAGTTGGATAAGATTTTGCAAAAGTAGGTCAAACTCCAAGGTCAAAGTCAAAAGGTTAAGTATGATGGTACCAAAAGAAAGGTCTTGTCACAAGGAATACACATGTGAAATATGAAAGTCATAGCTCCAACCAATCAAAAGTTATAGGCAATGTTAAAGTTTTTGCGGACAAACAGACAGACAGCTAGACAGACAGACAGACGGACAAGGCAAAAACTATATACCCCCGAATCATCGATACGGGGGCATAAAAAGATACTTTGCTTGGGCTGATAGTAATTTTCAGTTTTTGTATAGCTAAAAATCACATTTTATTCATGAGAATTTTATTTTCATGCAAACTAACAAGAATGGTCTTGATACAAAAAAAAGTTTCTCATGAATATAACATAAAGTACTTATTACTAACATGTCACTCATCAAAATAAAGCCATGATGACTATATTTGAGTATAATTAGGTCTTCCGTTTTCAACGGAAGACCTATAGTGATTCTACTGTTTCTTATTATTATTATTATTATTCTTATTCTTATTTTTTTGACTTTCTAATTTTGTGCACGCGATTTCTCGAAGACTATTGAATGGATTTACATGAAATTTTCAGGAAAAGTGTGTTGTAACATGATCTTGATCTATCTGAGAGATTTTTTGGAAATTCCCTTCCGGTGCCAAGTTACAGACCATTTTCTGATTTCAAAATGACATTTTGTCCGCGGATAATCTCAAGAACGACAAGAGATATCAATGTGAAACTTTCAGGGATTATAGTTCGTGATAGATACTAGCCGGGACGCTACTTTTCGTTCGTCGTCGGCACTTCCGGTCGCCTACGGAAGTGATCAAAGGAATCATAAAATTTCAACTTTCCTTATTTAAATCAATACTTACATCACATTATTGGATCTCTTTTGTAGTTTCGAAATATGTTAGTCCCACCGGAAACAAAAACGTCAACTTCCGGTTATAAGAGAAAAACTACATAATTTGAGTATTTTTCTTTCCCATTAATATCTTTTGTAGATAAAGTATTTGAAATGAATTTTAAATATGTTATTCAGACTAAAAATGTCTAGAGTAACGTCAAGTATCTTTCTAAAATTCACTTCCGGTCGCGTGTTTTCCTGTCCTCAAAATGAGAAGTTGTGTGAGCAAGATCTCGGAAACGGTAAGAGATTATGACACCAAACTTTTATGAGCAACAGACCTTAAGATGTAGGCAAAACCATTTGGGTTAAGAGCGTCAGTCGTCACTTCCGGTCGTCACAGGAAGTGATCAAAGAAAAGGAAAATTTCAACTTTTCTTTTTTGAATTAAAAATTGCATCACTTTATTTTATCTTTTTCGCAGATTCGAAAGATGTTCGTCCCACCAGAAACAAATACGACAACTTCCGGTTAGAAGAGAAAAGCTAAATAATTTGAGTTTTTTTTAATTTCCCGTAAATATTCTTTATAGACAAAGTATTTGAAATGAATTTTAAATATGCTATTCAGAGTGCAAATGTCTAGAGTAACCTTCAATATTTTTTTCAAAAATGCACTTCCGGTCGCGTGTTTTCCTGTCCTCAAAATGAGAAGTTGTCTGAGCGAGATCTCAAAAACAGGTAAAAGATTAAAACACCAAAATTTTAAGAGTAATGGACGTTGAGGGGTAGGTGAAACCATTTGGGTTAAACGCGTCAGTTGTCACTTCCGCTTGTCACAGGAAGTGATCAAAGAAATTAAAAATTTTAGCTTTTCTTTTTTAAATTAAAACTTACCTCACTTTATTGCATCTCTTTTGCTGTTTTGAAATATGTTAGATTCAACCGGAAACAAAAACGTCAACTTCCGGTTTTAGGAGATAAAGTACGTTATTCTTATATTTAACTTTCTCATAAATATCGCTTATCGATAAAGTACTTGAAATGATTTTATGCATGTTGTAGATACTGCAAACGTCTAGAGAAAAGTCAGAGATTTTTATAAAATTCACTTCCGGTTGTGTGTTTACCTGTTCTCAAAATTAGAATTAGTCCCACAATATTGTTCGGCAACAGTAAACGACTGAGGACGAAAACTTTCAGGACTAATATTCAGTCATCAGTTTATTTGAATCGTGAGAAAATCTTGCATCGTCGTTACTTCAGGTCGTGACAGGAAATGATGTAAAAAAGTGAATGGTTAATGGATAGCACATTGGATTTTCACGCTGACGATTAGGGTTAAATCTCCAGAGTGTCTGAACTTCTTTTATCACTTTTTCAGCTTGAATTTTCGTTTTTATTTTCAGAATCGGACGGAAGACCTCTCATTGCTCGCAATGAGTTTCTAGTTTAAAGTATTATATTTGTATCAATATGATATAATTAACCAACAAATATTTACAATAGGGAGGTGAATTTAAACATTCTATCCAAAACTAGCAGTTTCTCACTGCATTTCATCTTCTGTCAAACCATAGCTGTTACTACATTAAGTATTATCAGAAAAGTAACATATGGACTTAAAACACTTTTTTTCCTAATTTTACTTGTACACTCTACGTACAAAATTCTATATCCTTATGTTTGATATGAAATTGAAACTGTACTAGGTGTAATATTTTGAAAGATTTTCACATATCATTCTTTTTCTAGTAACTCATAGCTATGGCAACACTGATAATAGACTACAGGAGGAATAAAAAACAAGCATTTCAAAAGAATTCAATAGAATTTCTGTTTTTAGTAACCATGGAAACATTTTTCATTAATATCACAAATGATGTATCTCAGTGTGGTTAGTTTGTAAAACAGTTTATTTAAATCAGCCCAAAACTGTGGGATATATGTTTTGAAAGAATTTCATAGAAATTTCTATTTTAGATAACAACAGCAAGATTGTTGAATTCAAACACCAATATAAAGATTTATGTTTCTTTAGTGTAGTTTAGGTTTTTACTGAAATCAGGAAAACTGTAGGAGGAATTGCATTTTGAAAGAATTTCGCAGAATTTTTTTGTAACCATGGGCAACACCATTTGCTGAAATTAAAATATTGTAACAAAGAATAATGCATCCTAATGTAATCTACTTGTATACCAAGTTTCAACAAAATCATACTACAACTGTTGGAGGAGTAGCATTTTGCAAAACTGTATGCTTAAAACCACAACTCACCACTTGGTGGTTCACTTGTGGGGGTATCTTTTGATGGGTTTTCCACGGCACAAAGCCTGGCCAGACTAAGTCTGATAAGGTCCATGTTAACACATACATCTTCCTCCTCTATTGAGGTATCTACTAGTAACACTTGTAATGGAGGCATCTCTACCACCACACTTGGGTGACTGGAAATTCAAGAACAAATCATACTGAGTTTGGCATACTGCCGCCATAGTTTTTTCAGCGGGAAATTATTTTGGCTATGTACGCAGTCACATATTTTCCACAGAAATTTGTCACAATGTACTAAAAATACATTTAAGAAATACAATGACAGTCCAATAAATCTGTTAAATTGAACACCCAGAATTTGTGATCCTGCAAAATTATAACCCCATGGAAAAAGTATGTTTACAGTTTTTTATTCTTCAGGTACATGTATATACTAAATAACTTTTAATAATCTATTTTATTTCTTAATTAAGTAAATTTTGTTTTTTTATCTGATTAAAGATTGTACATGTATATATGCAAACCAAAATATGTGTACTGTACCACTTACTTTCCCAGCATTTTCTGAATATCTCCTCCCTCCACAATAATCATACTCATAGCAGAATCAAACCCTGTAATAGAAATGAACTTCTGCACTGCTTCCTTTGACCATTGCTCCTCCTTCTTTGGAGATCCCCTGGAAACATAAGGTTGGATATAAGCCAGACTGACATGGACAGCCAGACTGGGTAGATCTGCATACTGTTGAGGTAGAGGGAATAACTTTCGTTTGGGGACAACTTCACGGTTACCAAAGTCTATGTAAAATATATGAACTTTTCCGACATATTCTGGACCTGATGTTTTGTTCCCTGACGCCTTGGTGGGCGAGGTCATCTCTAGCTTGGTTACTAGTCCTCTATAATACTGATTATCCTCAGAAAATAAGACACAACATAAATCTCCCACAGAGGGCTGGAAAGATTTGCTCATCTTCTGCAGCTGCTTCCTAGACATCTGCTCCATTGTCTTATTCAAACTTAGATGCAGATGATCAATAGTTTTAGCACTCAATTCAGACACAAGATGGACATAAAAATTGGATGGAGACTCAACATGAGAAAGCATTACCATCAGACCGGATTTGTCTACATTAATCTTGGAGGGGAGATTGACGGTCTTGTCTACAGTGTATGTTGTAATCTGGCTCTCTGACTCTGAGGATGATTTCACTGACACTGAATCATCAACCACATTCTGTATCTTTATTTCTGTAATATTCTGGACTGATTCCTGTACTGTCTTCTTGTCTTGTGTCTTCTCAGCATTAAGATTATTATGGTCTTCATCTTTATCATTGGGAGTAGAACACACAGGTCCAGCAGAATCAGAAGTCTCCTCTACCTGTCCTTTGTCACGGTGTTTTTTCACTGAGGATTTTGAAGCCTCTTTTGAATTAACCTCTTCATTTTTCGATGGTTTGACTTGGGACTTGTCCTGGCATTCTTTTCTTTTTTGTTTAGCTCTGGCCTCTCTTCTTTCCTTCTCTGCTTTTGTCTTGCGTTCTCTCTCATCCCTAGTAGAAGACTTGGGTAGGCGTGGAACACTGTGTGTACTGTCAGACAATGTCTCCACACTGCTCCCTATGTTAACCTTAGATTTACACTCTACAGACATTTTGTGGCCTTCACGCTGTTTCTTGCTGTCCTCGCTGTCACTTGATGGAAGACCTTTCCAATCCTTTTTCAAACAGTCTTTTGGTTCCTCCTTTACAGGAGAGCAATTTAACAACTGAAGCTGATCCTCCAGTGATATGGACTTAGCTAGACCCTGTAAAAATATACACGTATCTTTTGCATGAAGAGTATGAGTTTTAAAGGTTTTGCATCAAATAGGGAAAATGAACAGGTGTTACAATCTTCAAAATATCAAAGTATATGTACTATAACAATTAACATTTCAAACCTTTTCAATTATGTATTCATGGATACTGATTTGCTTTGGTCCCGGCTGCAAAACAATATTCCCATCTTTTATAATCTGTTCTGGGATATTAAAGAATAATCCAACTACAGAGGGGAGGAAAGGTTCCTCTGACACATAGTAAGGCATGCAATTAAATCTTCTCCCTGACACAAGCTGTGAGAATAGAGTCATGGCTTCCTCAGTCCATATCTTGTATTTATTGTCTGGGGCAACCTGGAAGTAAACACAAGTACATCATTATAAAAAGTTATAAATATTACAACATACATCCCATCAGTTCCTTAAACTTAAATTTGCCAACAAAGAAATAGATCCCGTGAACATTAGTAACATATTCTTAATCATACAAAAGTTCAGTCTTGCATTCCACCATATTTCAAGTATAAGTCTACACCCTGCATCTCCTAGATATCTCTCTACTTCTGCCAACAATAAAATCTGATTTTTATGTACACTTGTCTTCTAAAATCTTACATAACCCACTTGTCCATGCATAAATAGAGGATATTCAATGTTTTGTAGATGAATATGGAATTTATTTCATGAGTGGGACAGGATTTTTTGATATTTTCACGAATGCTAAGCACAAGTGAAAATATCAAAAAATTCTGTCTCACAAGTGAAATAAATTCCATATTCATCTACAAAACATTGAATTTTCTGTTTATTACGTTTTCTTAGATTTTCCCTTTGCCTCTGTCTTTTCATAACACAGTGTCATAAGCTGTGACATCATGGTTGAGCGGTTAAGACGTCATAGCTACATGTGATTGCAAGATTGAAAAACGTTGTAAACGTGGATTTTTAATGACATATTTGGAAAAACTTTGTCAGTATATCTATAAGTCTCTGTCAGGATGGCTCATTAACTCTATCTTATAACAGGTCAGGGATTTAAAAAAAAAAAAAAAAAAAAAATTTGTGAAGGGAAGGAAAATCGTAAGTTTTGCAACACTTCTGATATTCTCACATTGTGAGAATACCATTTTGATACCCTTTCACACTGTGTCAGAATATCACTTTTATTCAGTAAATAAATTACAGTATTTCACTGTTGAAAATGTAATAAAAACTTTTATTTTCTGCTTTATGAATGTCCTGGTATAATTTTATATCCATAGGAAACCATCACAAATTGTTTCTAGCATCATCTGATTTTCAGCGGGAAAGGGACACCTTATACTTTAAGGTATAAAATAAATAAAACACAGTGAGTTAATTTTCTTAAAAGTTTTACACTGTGTGAATAATTCACAAAATTAAAGATAAAGCTTGGGGAATATATTAGTGGAAAATAAAGTCAAATAACATGTAATCATTTAGTTTTGGTAATGGCATTGAAAAACAATGGACGCTGTCGTGTCTTCCTTGTTACCCCAACTGTGTTAGTCATGTCATTTTGAATTCTTTATTCTTAACCTGTAGATTAGGTTCAATGAAAATAAACCCCAAGACACAGAGGTACATGTAACACTAACTGACTTCATGTGCCGTTGCATTATTTTCTTGCTTTTACAAAAAGTTGCATGGGATACCCGATTTCGCGGATTCAATGATAACCCTGATATCGGGGACTAATCAAGATTTCACAGATGATGCCTGATTTCGTGTATTCTCTCCAACCTGACAAACTTGCCTGTGTTAAAGCACACAAAATACCCTGTGCTGGCAGACTAGCACACTTCTGTGGTAAACTCCTAAGGTGTGACTGCTTTCTGGATTCCCCATTTCCATAATCAACAAATAATACTTCAACTGATGGATCAGAACCTACAGAATACAACAGAACATCAAGTCTGTAATAGCTTTCAACAAATTCATTTCTCTCCACAGGGCTCTAATTATGACTAATTTAGTTGCCATGGTGCTTAAAATTTTTCACTAAAGTCTAAAATTTCTCTGTAAGTCACCAAATTGACCATTTTACTTTGACTGGTGATCATTGAATTCTGGAACTATAAGCATTTTCACAAATAACAAATTTAAAAGAGGATAAAACAAAGCAATGAAGAAATCTTGTTTTCTGTATTATCTTGTTTTTTCTGTAAGTTTGAAACGAAATTTGCATCACTTCGGTGTACACATAGTTCCGGTAGGCCAGATAAGACAAAACATGTAGCAACCCTAGGGAATTTTTGGTGGCTTCAAAAATCACTGAGAAATACAGTATGTTGGACGGGTGCTATGGTCAGTTGTTTGTTAATAAAATAGTCACTCATTAGAGTTATCATCTCCATGCATATAAGTGTTAGGTCATTATGGTACATACCTGGTATTAGTATAAAATGTTAATCATGTAAACAATCCTCAATATAAAGATTATTGGATAAGAAAACAGATATTCCACTTAATTTTAATATAAAAGAATACTTATTAGATCCAAGTTTCTTAAATAGGGGAAAAGGAATGGGTATACATGTAAAGTTGTCTTTTGTCACCAAATGAAAAGAATGCTTGAAACTTTAGAACTAAATTTATGCCTTTTTTCAGTTGTATTCCAGTAAAAATAACCTTCACTATTGTAAACACTATTACCTTGGGAACAAATCTCCACTACTTTTGCTCTGTAATAACAAGAGTCTTTAGAAAACTTTGCCAGGCACACCATTCCTTGTTGAAGGTTAATAACAGGATCCAAGTCCTGCAAAGAACTGAAAACAAAAGAAAATTATACACAGCACATCATATATACTTTATAAATCTTTACTTGCTCAACAAGAATTATTCACTGATATTTTACTCAGACTGTTACGTACCGTAAATCCTTCATAAGATCATCCAAGTCAGACGTGAACTTTTGCACATAAAACGACCAAGGACTCATGGCCTCACTGACAATAACACTGTGTATTTTACTATTCTCCAGGACTTCATAAGAAAGATCTGGTCCATGGGTGGAGTCTTTCTTAGCTTTGCTGTCCTGAGATGAAAGATTACTAGGTTTACACACATCTTCACCACTTGCTCCATCACCGTCAGGTTTATTTTGACTAGATTTTACTTGTGTCTCTCCAGATAAGTCATCATTACTGACACACTTTACACTGGTAGATTGTTTTTCAGAGTCAGACTTTGGTGATATAATTTCACTTTCCTGACTTTCTTCTGCCTGGGACATCTTTGTAAATTGCTCTAAAATCACCTCATTGTCCTCTAAAACAACAGTTCTACTTTTGGACTGGCTATTTTCCTGGAAATTTGATGATATCCTTTCATTTTCCTTTATTTCCTCATTCACCAGTCCTGAGCCTAGAGTCACTATTTCCTTCTGTTTTGTATCACCAGACTTCTCTGTCTCCATACTAGTATGTTGTGGTTTGTCTTTACTATGTTCTGTCTCATTATTCTTCTTTGTCTTATAATGATGCTCCTCTGATTGAGAGTGTTTCACTCTAATGTTATCATTGTCAATCTTACTTGTACTAGGATCCAGCTTCCGAGAAAAGACAGATGACCCCTTTGTTTTGTCCACAGAGATATTACTTTTAAGTGATTTGCCCACAACTAATTCCTCTTCTTTATCTGTTCTTGAATCTTTTTCCTGTTTTATTTCTGAAGATCTCTTATTCTCTAAAACATATGAAATATTTCATCTATGTAAGGCCACATAAACTAAATTCTCTGGTTCTCAAGCTAATTTTCTTAAAAATAGATGAGGGAGGAAGACTTTATTTAATTTCATGTTCACTGGCAATAAAGTAGAAGTGAGAGGTATTTATTTGATTTTCAGATTTTCTAGAAAATTACAATAAAATCTCTTCATTCATTAATATATTATAATTAACATGTAGATCTATTAAATATCTCACAATTTGACCAAATGCATCTATGTATATTGTTGATGAAACTTTATTGCCAAGACTCTATTTTTTTGCTCTTATCAATAAAATCACTGTTATTTAATAAAGAATGTCAGCTCTAAACTGATTGCCCCATTAAAAATACTTACTGAAATTACAAACATTTCACAACATTCATCTGACATATTATTTTAAAGGGACATGGACATGTTTTCATTTGGGATGTAACAATACATGGATTTATTAATGTATTCAGTACTGTGATGCATCTTAAAAGATGCCAACAAAATTTTTACCATTTCTTAATTAAAAGAAAGTATGGTCTGTTATTTGAACAAAAAAGAACTCCCTTTTATCTATGAATACTCTTTGGCATGTGTGGTTCTGTGGTTCTAGACAAGGAAGTTAAAATTTGTCAACCCAGAAGTCACAGATGGACAGATGGATAAACAGGTAGGCAGGGTCCCAGACAACAGGTGATTGGAAAAGCTCATTTGAGCTTATAGTACAGGTGAGTTAACAATCAACATCCATTACATAATCCATGTTATAAATGTAGTATATACCATATAACAAATTTTCATGTGAAGACATACATTTGATCTACGGTATCTCAAACATCAATAAATTCAATACCATGATATGTTAAAGTGAGTTGGAAATCCCAACCACTTTTTTCTTTTAATTTTTTCCTACTATATTTTAAAGACACACTAGTATGTTGCTCTAACTTGCATCAGTTAAAAAAATAAAAATGGAAATTTATTTAATTTGTTCACCAAATAAAGTTACAAAAAATTACTGTTACTGTAAATTACACAATTAAAAAATGAACGCATTACAGAGATGTCAAATTGTAATTTTTTATTTTCCTGCCAGGAAAGTAATGCCTCTATTTAATTTCAATTTCTCAATCCCTTGAATATTTTCTTCTTTCCTTGGTACCATCAAGTTCAATACAAGAAAGTCTATTAGCCAATGCTCACTAGTAATACCCCTGCTTTTACCGGTATGTGAATATACACTCTGATGTGAATGTACACAAGTTCAGTTATGGACAGACACAGGGATGAACAGGAAGTTGACATCAGATTCATACAAAAATGAATCCCACCATATGGCATGCCTAAACAAAGAGTGTGCTAAAATTTCAAGCATCTGCAATGAGTAGTTGCTGAGAAAACTGAAAAAAATGTTACGGACAGTCAGACAGACACATACACAAGGGTAAAACAGTACTTGTATGATAACAAGGTCTGACGGTAGTTCTAAACCAAGAATATTCTCATGAAGGACCATAAAATCAGTTAAAACACAAATCTCATTGGTGACAATTAAATCTGATCTTCAGAAATGACCTGGAAATGATATACAGTCCAGGCCACGAGTTTTCCCGTTGTACGGTGGAAAACACACCGTGTGAAATGCTCTGTGTTACACCGTGTACACGGTGTAGCGCAGTGTGTGTGGATTTGAAATACACAGGTAGGCACACCGTGCCGCACCGTGTCTAGAAAAATCCCAGCTAATGCATCCCGTGTCGAACCGTGCCCAGAAAATTCCCTCCATGCTGCACCATGTCCATAACATTACAGAGAAAAATCATTTTGTTCTGATAAAATATTTTAAGATTTTAAAACAATTGGCACATTGATTTATATGTATAATTATTGTTTTCTAATCTAGAAGACATTGACATGTGCTCTGAATTGTACTAATGATACATGTAATATGATTAAATATCAGTAACAGAAAAATTAAATGGAGTTGAATTTACCGTGCGCCAAGAAGTTCATATTTCGTAAAGTTGTTTAGTTACTTTTTAAAATTATTACTTGGATTGAAATTTTTAATGTCTGAAGAATTTTAATCCCATGTAGTCACATAATGAAGAAATGGCATGATCAGTGTTACATGTGGTATATGATCCGAGCTGCATGTATTTGTTTTAGTGTACAAACCAAGCATTTATATTCCTGTGTAGAGCACATTTATTTTGTTAATCTTATATTATTCTGAATTTACAAGCGAGAATCGAGAGCAAAATTCCTGTGTACAATGTGCACATTTTTCGTAACAGAATAAATTCTTTACATAAACTAGTAAGTATAAATTCTGTTTTAAAAATCCTTTCAGTGTAAGAATTTAATATGTTTTTTTTCCCCTTAATTATGTAAAGAAACAATGTCAGAGAGAGAAAGGAGAGAGAGAACGATGCTCTTAACCCCCTTTTACATAAGTCTGAAGAAAAAAAAATCATTTTAATTTTTCGTTTAATAATGTCGAAGCGTATTTCTCGTAACAGACTTTTTTTTTAAATAAACTAGTATTTATGTTTTAAAACCCTTTCCGTGTAAGTATTTTATAAGTTTTTCTTTAATTGAAAGGTGTGTAAAAAAAAAAAAAAAAAAAAAAACAATGGTAGAGAGAGAAAAAGAGAGAGATTCTTTTAACCCCTTTCACATAAATCTGTAAAAAAAAAAAAAAATAATAATATGAATTCTTCGTTTTATTTACATTAACAAAGTCACAATTAACCATTCTATAATATTATTTAAATTCTGTAACATTGTTTCATAGTCAACCCAGTTGCAACATGTTATTCTCAGTTACACACGACATCCTCGTGCTATACCGGTCAATCAAAATCTCTTGACGCTAGATGGCCCAGAAAGTCTGTTTACGCGGAAAGTCTTGTGATTTGAAACATTCTTATGGTCAGTTCTGAGTTCACACCTTTCTTAAAAATATATATTGGGGCACAGCCGGAGGGTCAAGGGTGCTGTGTGTTTATCACACCTTTCAAATTCTTTTGTCCTTGACCACATCAAGTGTATAACACACTCAACTGACATCTACCGAGTTACGCCACCACACGTGTACTTTGGCTTGATTACAAACTTACTTTGTAAATTATTCCTTTTCAGACACATATAAACATGTAACCTGTTAGATTATGGTTGTTTTATTTCACAATAGTGTAACATAAAAAAATCTTCAGACTCTCAATTAATTTAGAAGGGGGGGGGGGGGGGGGTAACAAACGTAATAGCTTGAAAGAGGCCAGGGATTTTACTAACTACATATTTTTTTTTCTCTAAAACCATGATAATAACTTTTTGTTACAAAGACTTTGATCATAAGAGAAGCTTTATTCTATACATGTACATCTCCGAACTACATTTGCTACATGTAATTGATTTTTTTTTTTTTTGCAAACCGTTCAACACATGCATTTTTCATTAAATAATTTCAGGATAAGGTAATATTTGTACAGTATACCAAAACTCGACTTTTTTTGTGTGTGATATATATTTACCTCCATATTTTACAAGATTACAGATTGCAATAATCCTTAAACTATCAGAGAGTTTATGAATTATGTGCGTGTATCTGACACGTTTTAAATTTTATTTTAGATACATTTTTTTTTTATAATTCTCTTTATGTAGAAATGATTTATAAAATAAAACATGCATCTGATAAATACAACATATGAATGCATACATGCGGCAAAAAATATTTTTTTATGAAAACAACTGTAATTAAAATGAACACAGTTATAATCGAAAGAAAAGACAACCAGGTAATTTATTTACGGAAGTGTAACCTTTTAAGAATTATAATATTTTACCGAACATATTTTTTCTCTTGTATAACTAGGTTTTGAAACATGACTTACAAGGATGTGCGTACACATTTGAAGACTTTGTCTTTTCAGTGATGGGCACGAGCACGATGATCTTAGATTTTAGGACATCTTATTTGTTCTAACATCTGTATATCGATAATGAAGAACTAATATTCAAGAAAAAAGTAAAAAAAAAAAAAAACTTATTTCAAAGGAAATTGATATAATTGATTAAACAAAGACAATGAGTTTTTTTTTTAAGTTCTGCGTGATATCGTAATGGGACACTGTGATACACCGTGCGCACACACCGTGTTACATGGTGCGCAGACATCCTAACTTTAAAGACGCCGACAATGATCGAGGTCCACACAAAAGCATGTACTTTCGGTCCACGGGGCCCCATGTTTTTCGGGAAAAACTCGTGGCCTGTATTGTATGGCCTTGACACAACTGGGTCTTGAAAGTTATTGTAACGTCTATCTCATCCAGTTCAAATGACTAACCAATCATGGATAAATTAAAGTTGTTGATGCCCAAAAACAATATACCCATAAAACACTCTCTTACCTCGATCTAATTTTAAGTTGTCCACATTAGCCTGGTGAATGACACCTTGAAGGAAGCGCCTGGCCACTTCAATGTCCAGCTTGGGTTTACCTGTCCTCATTCCCTCTATGGAATCAGAATCTGCAGATGGACACAGAGGACCTTTTTTCTGTGTAAAAAGTCAGCAAAAAAAAAAAATAGTTATAACATAGGTAATGAAAAGTTATGAAGCTCACTTTGAAGCTTATAAGTTAAAAAAAAAACTTACCTCATTAAAGTTTCCAAATCTTTCAGCTGAATGGTCATCGGGATCTGAAAATAATTTTTTTTAAATTTAAACACAAAACAAGAAGCAAAAGCTGTTCAATACAAGTCAAACTGGTATTAAGTACATACATATACACATGTTTACTAAATGTAGTGAAAATGAAATGTTTCCAGTAATAAGATGCATATACTAAACCTGTTTTTGTAGTCTTGTGTTCTGGCTTGACCACATTAAATACACCCTTCACACATGTAGGTTTATTCACCTCTTTGTTCAGATTCACATCACCATCATCATATACTTCACCCAAGGTCTGTGGCACATCTAACGTACTTACTGTATGTGGATTGAAAGCTGCAAAGTCAATGTTTTTAGATTCCATTATACCAACTTTCTCAACTTCTAATGTACCATCTCCCAAGATAAGTTCTGTCTTCATGTCTTTTTGAACAGATTTATCATAACTTGTCACATTCTTGCTTGATGAATTACTGACAGTGTTTGATGGTATGGATAGATTGACATTGTTCCTGGTTAGAGAATGGCTGTCAGTTTTCTTGGGTTGAGACTGACACAGAGTATTGGTTTGAAGTTGACACTGATTTGTGCCTTGTTGAATCTTCTTTGCAGTATCTGTCTGAGGACCACTATTGGACAGTGATGTGGCACCGGTTAGAGCATCATCAATTTCTTCATTCAATCTGTCATTTTCTTCCTTGTAAAAGCCTCCACCACCTGCAAATAGACCCATGAGCCTAAAAGTCACTAATCAGCCATCTTTATGTCATACATGCATATACTTCTAATGTTTATATTGCTGCAAATTGATTGACCATCCAAAAAATTTCATATTTCTCTTCAAGTGAACTGAGAAATTCTCTTTTCCTTTGCTCCCCTTTATACATAAATTTAAGTATCAAAATTGGTTACAACTAGCTGTTCAGCATTTTCTGAGAAGAAGCTGCTTTGTTCAAAACCTTATGACCATGGACAATACTGTTTACACTAAATCAAACGGCAAAAGCTATGTCACCCTAGTAAATGGTTCAGAGAGTGAACTGGTAAAGGTATGTACAAAAAATCATGACATGGAAATAAATTTTTTATGGACACTGCAGAAATAAAATGACAAAAGTCAAAGATCTATACAAACCAAATTACATTATTCATTTCATTTCAGTTTTAGAAAATATCTGAATAATGTACAAAATACCAAACCTTTACCAAGCATTATCAAAAAATTAATTTGTAAATTTTAGTGTTTCATCACTTTGAATTTTATATTATAATTTTAGAGTCTGCATAATAATGACACAAGCTACATATGGATAGGATACATACCTATTTTTTCCTCTGCCTCAGCAGACAGAAGAACAAAGGTGTTATAACACCTGTCCAGGTGCTGCATGACCTCCACATATCTCTGATTGAATTGACCAGTGTCTCGCATGGATAGCAATGATTCTGCTTTAGACTCAGCCTGAAAATATTATCTTTTTATTCAAGATATAAAAAATAATCCAATCAAGTAATTACTGTGATTGGTCTACATTCCTTCAAGTATAAATCTACCCAAATTTTTCCCATCTTAGGTTTTATATATATAATCAGTTCAGACACAATCTCTTGATAATAATCTATAGAGCTTGAATTAGCTACAGTTGACCTTTGTTGTCTCAAACACAGATATCTCAAATACTAGGAATATGTCAAAGTGAAATGGCAGTCCAAGTCACTTCATGTTTTTTTAAACCTTGTTATATCAAATCCTTGAAATCTCAAAGTTTAATCTTGGTCTCATTGAGTTTAGTAATGCAGTTTGACCATATACTGCTTTAATATTAAGCTACTGAAATAGCTTGATTTAGCTATATAAAGGCAGTTTTTCACAAGTATGCTTATTATAAGTATCTGATAATTCTTATTTGTACTTTGTATTATTTAAAGAGCAAAATATATAGTTAAAACATTGCTGCTTTCGAACAATTTAAATCAAAAGATGTATCTCTATTATTTGGGTAGCAGTGCAGGAGCTTGTGTGAGGCATGGATAAGTATGATTACATTGTACTGAATTATTACCAATCAATCATCTTGTCTAACAGAATTGGCTCCTTTTTATCATTTCATTTAATAAACAAGAGGCCCAGGGGCCACATCGCTCACCTGAGCACTGTGGCTAGGAAAAAAGGAAAAATCAGTTTAGTATTGAAAAGCTTAAATGCATAAGTGGTCCCAACCTACCCCTAATGGGGAGTGGGGGGGGGGTATGATTTGAACAAAATTAAATCTACATTAACTAAGGATGCTTACATATTTTTTTGACTGTGTGACTTTTTTCTCTACAAGTTTGAACTTTCAATGTGGCCCCACCCTACCACTGGAGGTCATGATTTGAACAAACTTGAATCTTCACTATCTGAGGATGCTTCCGTATAAATGTGACAAACCGTGGCTTTGCTGTTCTTGAGAAGATTTTTAAAGATTTTTCCTATATATTCCTATGTAATACTTTGATTGTTCATTGTGGCCCCACCCTACCCCCAGGGGTCATGATTTGAACAAATTTGAATCTACACCACCTGAGATGCTTCCACATAAATATGACCAAACATAGCTTTGCTATTCTTGAGAAGATTTTTGAAAATTTTCCCTATGTACACCTATGTTAAACTTTGATCGTCCATTTTGGTCCAACCATACCCCTTGGGGTTAGGATTTGAACAAACTTGAATCTACACCGCCTGAGGATGCTTCCACATTAATATGACCAATCATAGCTTTGCTATTCTTGAGAAGAAGATTTTTGAAGATTTTCCCTATGTACACCTATGTTAAACTTTGATCGTCCATTTTGGTCCAACCATACCCCTGGGGTCAGGATTTGAACAAACTTGAATCTACACTGCCTGAGGATGCTTCCATATAAATATGACCAATCATAGCTTTGCTGTTCTTGAGAAACAAACTTGAATCTACACCATCTGAGGATGCTTCCAAATAAATATGACCAATCATAGCTTTGCTGTTCTTGAGAAGAAGATTTTTGAAGATTTTTCCTATATATACTCTATGAAAACTTTGATCGTCCATTGTGTCCCCACCCCCAGGGGTTATGATTTGAACAAATTTGAATCTACACCACCTGCAGATACTTCCATTTAAATTTGACCAATCATGGCTTTGCTGTTCTTGAGAAGAAGATTTTTGAAGATTTATCCTATATACTCCTGTGTTAAACTTTAATCGTGCACTGTGGCTCACCCTACCCCCGGGGGTCATGATTTGAACAAATTTGAACCCACACCACCTGAGGATGCTTCCACATAAGTATTACCAATCATCGCTTTGCTGTTCTTGAGAAGAAGATTTTTCCTATATACACCTATGTAAAACTATGATCGTCCATTGTGGCCCCACCCTACCCCTGGGGGTCATGATTTGAACAAACTTGAATCCACACCAACTGAGAATGCTTCCATATAAATATGACCAATCATAGCTTTGCTGTTCTTGAGAAAAAGATTTTTGAAGATTTTACTATATATTCCTATGTAAAACTTTGATCGTCCATTGTGGCCCCATCCTACCCCTGGGGGTATATGATTTGAACAAACTTGAATCTACACTACCTGACAATAATTCCACATGAGTTTCATCTTTCCTGGCCCATTGATTCTTGAGAAGAAGATTTTTTAATAATGCCATTAATATTTTGCTATTTCGTAATTATCTCCCCTTGGAGGAGGGCATGGCCCTTCATTTGAACGAACTTGAATTCCCTTCACCCAAGGATACTCTGTGCCAAGTTTGATTGAAATTGGCCCAGTAGTTCTGGAGAAGAAGATGAAAATGTGAAAAGTTTACGACAATAATGAAGACGACGTCAACAACTGACAAATTTCGATCAGAAAAGCTCAGTTGAGCATTCGGCTCAGGTGAGTTAATAGATGTCTGGTCACTAAATATATATCTTTATATAGCCCAGAACTATAATTGCAACTTCCCTTAACAAGATGCATTCAATTTGAAAAATTATGTTTTCAGAACAGAACAAAGTTGAAAACTATCATGTTGCCTAAGTGTGACTTTTTCACATTCTGAACAAATTAAACATTTAAGATAAAAGTATGATAAAATAGCTAATCAAGCTATAGTTGAACTTCGATATCTTGATAAAATATAGTTTTTTCCAATTTTGTACACATTTGAAAATTAGGTGTAGAAAAAATGTGTGCAAAATTTAAATTTGTCCAGGTTAGACAATTACTTAATTGCTATAGTCTATATTATAGAAACTGTTAAAATAAGAAAATAAACAAGATGTGTTTGTGAAGTCAATGTCCCTGTATGGCAGCTCATGGCGAAGGTTCACGTTTCTCAAATGCAGGTCAAACTCCAAGGTCAAGGTCAAAAGATCAAAATTGTTGGTACCCAAAGATAGGTCTTATCACAAGGAATACAACTTTAAAATATTCAAGTAGCACCAACCATTTAATAGTTATGGCCAAAGTTAAAGTTTTTCAAAAGTAGGTCAAACTCCAAGGTCAAGGTCAAAAGGCCAGAATTGTTGGTACTCAAGAGAAGTACTTGTTACAAGGAATAAAGTTTAAAGTTTAAAGAATTAAAGTTTTTGCAAACAAACAAACAGATAGAAATACCAAAATCTATTCACCCCCAAATCTTCGATTATGGGGGAATAAAAATGGAAATTTCTTCCTCCAAAAAGTGTAAGCATGAATCTCATTTTTTCTATGAAATGATTATGCTTCAGTTAACATTGTAGTTATTTATCAGTTAAGACATTTTAACGCCTGATTTTTTACTTTAGTAACATATTTCTTATACTTTCATGTTAAATACTGAAATTTGATTGGTTTAGAAGCATTAATCAATTTTAAATGTTATGCTAAGCATACTCAACAAACTTGGCAACAGGTAACAAAACGATAATGTCACATGCATGTAATTTATGCACGTACAGTTTGATGTAGAATTCTCAACATGTCTTTTGTGTGTTTGAAATGAGTGACATTAACACCAAATAAATAAACGCTTGGTCTGAGTAAAACTGATTGCAAAAACAACAAACGGTAGAAAAATGTTTGTGAGTGCAGAAATAACAAATTTTTGAAGAATAAGGTCTTTCATAGTACCAAACAAACATTTGAGAGGTTAGTGAATCATTTTTGAAGCTTTCTCATAGAGAAACAAGATGTGTTTGTGAAACACTGATGCACCCGTATGGCAGCTTATGGCGGTGGTTAAAGTTTCTCAAATGCAAGTCAAACTCCTGGTCAAGAGATAAAAAATGTTGGTACCCAATGAAAGGTCTTGTCTCGAGGAATATACCTGTGAAATATGAAAGCCCTAGCACCAACCATTGAAAAGTTATAGCCATGGATAAAGATTTTTAAACGTAAGCAAAACGTAAAGGTCAAGGTGAAATGGTGCCCAAGGGGAGGTCTTAATACACAGGTTCATGAAATGTGAAAGCCCTAGAACCAAACTGTTCAAATGTTATGGGAAAGGTTCAAGTTTTTTAAAAGTAGGTCAAACTCCAAGGTCAAGGTCAATGCCAAAATTGTTGGTATCAATAAGAAGGTCTTCTCACAAGGAATATACATGGGAAGTATGAAAGCTCCATCACCAACTGTTCAAAAGTTATGGCCAAGATTAAAAGTTTTACAAAATTAAAGTAGGTCAAACTCCAATGTCAAGGTCAAAGGTCAAAAGTTGTTGGTATCTAAAGGAAGGTCTTGTCCCAAGGAATAAACATGTGAAGTTTGAAAGCCCAAACACCAACTGTTAAAAAGTTATGGCCAAGGTTAAAGTCTCATAAAATTTTGCAAAAGTGGGTCAAACTCCAAGGCCAAGGTCAAAAGGTCAAATATGATGGTACCCAAAGAAAGGCTTTGTAACAAGGAATACACATGTGAAATATGAAAGCCATAGCTCCAACCAATTAAAAGTTATGGGCAAGGTTAAAGTTTTTGTGGACAAACAGACAGACAGACAGCTAGACAGACGGACTGGGCAAAAACTATATGCTCCCAACATAAGTGGAGTGTTTAAATGGCTTTCAAAATGACATCTGATGTAGAAAGACAATTTCCAACTTTTTAAACTATCAATTAGACATTCAGTATAATAAACTTTATAGTGCATGTTCTTGAGGGTAACAGTTGGAATTGACACCAGAAGAGAAAACTATTTTCAACCTCCAATGACGCGTTGGTTGACAATAGTTTTCTCTCAGGGTGTCAATTTCAACTGTTACCCTCCAAAACATGCACTATTTATACAATATCAAATACATCATAAACAGTCAAGTTATAAAAAGTAAAACATTAATTTCCTTTCATTGTGCATTAGCAATTTTGTCTGGTGTATATTAACCTCGACATTTCGAATAAAATAAAATAATTTTAAGTAAATTATTATTTTATTTTATTCGAGATATCGAGGTAAATATACAAGTATATAAGTTTACTGTTTAAGTAACTTTATAAAAAGTTGAACCAGGGACCTATATACTAACGTTTGTATATAGGTCTCTGGTTGAACATATATGCCTCTGATAAAGAACAAAAATTGTATCTCCAAGTAATAAGGTAAATGTATCATACTTCTGCAACAAACTCATCTAGGAAGGCAAAAATCACGTCTCTCTGGTTCTTAATATCTTCAATCTTCTCTCGGATGGTTTTCTTCAATTTTATGGACATTCTTGTTGCTGCAACAAACTTTATAAACATTCATAAAGATCTCTATCAGATTTCTGCATCATATACAGCCAATATAAACACCAGAAGAGGACATTCATGAAATATTTTTACATTTATTATGTGTTATGATTTATTTTACTTATATCAATAGGTTTTATTTTACAATCTAAACCGATTCATAGCAGGGACCTATATACTAATATAAGTATATAGGTCCCTGTTCATAGTCCCTGATTTTGGTAAATGTTGCTTTGTCTATGTACTGCAGGAAATGCTAGTTCATAATACATCATTTCTGTCATATGCTGAGATCGTGCAAATTTAGATTTATTGATAATTTTACCTTAAACTTTATAGATTTCACAAATATACGTTGAGCACGTGTGACAATCGGCGGGAGAAAAACATGCTTAGTCACGTGACATTTCAAAACACAAACAAAGTCAATTCGTTCTTAAAATGTTTCGCTCAAAAGCCCCCTGTACATATATAGCTCCTGTCAACGAAAGAGAGAAAGAGAAAATGCACATTTACTAACCGCTATTGCTAATGTTATGCTTCGCATTGTGTTTTGTTTTATTAAAATATTTGTTTCACGAACCTCTTGAAAATTACTGAGCAAATGGATAATTAAATAAATGATTACAATTTTAAAATGATAAGGATAAACAAAAATAAAACAAAAAGAACTCATGAATATAAAAGTGGCTCACGATCGCGAACTAAGTAAGAAAAGAGGCCCAATCGCCACAATTCTTTTTCTGAATCACCATTTTCCAAAGAGGGTAAAGAATTCTTTCGCCTACAAGTAGTATATAGTGACGGGCAACAGGATTTTTTTTCATAATTGATTATCGGAAAATCACTATAACGCACTATATGCACTATAATTAAATAATAATTGTTCCATTTCCAGTATAGATTTGTTCATTTTTCAAGGAAGAACGAATTGGTAAAAAAAATTCTGGAGTGATTTCTAAAATGCATTTTTGATGTATTTTGTATCTTAAATTAATACTTAGAAATTAGTTACATTGAAAGAAGAATGAATCCCAAAATCAGAGGAATGATTTGCTTTAAGGTCAAGATCTAGTAAATGAGTTTAGTCTGTCTTTTGGTGCTAGATCCATTATGACATCATAATTGATTAAAAAAATTATGCCCCTATACACCTCAATTTATTTAGCTATAATTGTAATGGATTATTCTCAAATTTGAGAAATCTGTAGGCACTCTTCATTTACTAGATCTTGACCTTAAACTAATATTTTAATTTCTCGATTATCAAAATGATAATCGATTATCTACATTCAGGAGCCATTTCGATTAGATTATAGATTAATCGGTACATAATTATGATTATATTACCCCCTTTTTGGCTCCACCCTAGCCTAAATGTGCAATCTATTTTGAATTTGAAAACACAACATAATGATTATTCAATAAAAGCATGACTAACAAGGCACTGCTGTTCTGGAAAAGATTTTTTAAGGTATTCAATGTATAACGACCATATTTTGTATCTAATAAATGAATGGTCCTATATATATTTGTAATTATGGTATCATTTTGAAAGTGTTATGAAATAAAAATACTCCACCAAAGAAATTTACAAAATTTTGATTATTATCCAATTAATTGCACCTTGAATTTTACATTGAAGTCTATGGACAATGCACGTGTTATTAAGATATTGTAAAAAGTAATTTGAATTTTATAAAAAGCTCTTAGTGAAAATATGCAAACACTCTCTCTTTATTAAAATATGAAATAAAATTATTAATTTACCACAGATATTTTGATGAAATTGAAATTTCCTTCTTTGCATCAAGGACAGATGACTCTTAAAAAAATTTTAAAGTGCAAAATGACCTGTTTCTTATATGTTATCAGTCATGTGTATTTGGTTCATTTCACTTTCATCGTTATCTAGCAATGCATTTTTAATTAGTTTAATGATTCAAAATTGTTCAAAATCCCTTCATTATACATTGAATACCTTGCAGATTTTTCCCTTGTATACATCAGTACATTATCTAAAATTTCATCCCCGATTTTAGCCGGTGTAAAGACGAATAATGACCCCCATAGAATGATCGTGGGTCATTTTTCGACGTCGAATAATGACTCCCGGTCATTATTCAACGGCGAAAAATGACCCCCGGTCATTATTCGACGTCGAAAAATGACCCTTTTGCCCGTAGAAAAAGTGTCATCACCCTAAAAACCTGCATACCCCACGTGAAGAAAAATGACCCCCGTAGAATAATGACCCCTTGTGAATTAAAGCGGATTAAAGTTGAAACTTTTAGGGGGCAAAATAAAAATAATAAATCAAGAGACCTGTTGGCCAAAATGCTCACTTGGGCTTCATTGGGAATAAATCGATGATATATTGATCTCATTACATTATACAACCATTTCTGTTTTTAAGGTCAATTCAATGATTCAGAATCTAGTGGAGTTAAAGATTTATCGAGTCCAAAGGGCGAGGAGAGCATTGTTTTTCGATGGTGGAAAATCACTGATCGTCCTGACAGAAAAAAAACAGCAATAATTGTTTTATTATATGATTCAACGATTAAATTGATACAAACTGATTAAGGAGACATGTCAAGTTTCTTGTTTACATTTGCTCAACTCCTAACCAAACACAGTGAAAGAATAGGAGTTAACATAAGCATAACCAGTATTAATTTTGCATTTGAAATCTAGTTTTGGTGCAATGTAGAAAAAATAAATGTCAGGCATAGCATCGGAAGGGGAAATGGCGCATTATAAGAGGTAAAAAATACTTTAAGTTAAAAATATCTTTGATGAACCCCTCAAAAAGTTTATTGGTATAAGTGGGATTTTCTTTTACTCTAATGTATCAAAACGTTGGGGGTAGGACAACCAGACTTGCAATGACCATTTTCAAGCGAAAAAAAAATATGTTCTTGGAAATGGAAGTGGGTGGACACCCCCTCCCTGATTCTATGTGCCTCAATGTTATGTTCATCTTGTCCACTCAAGTGAGAGATTTTTTAACTATATTGTATAAGAAAGAGGGGGTGGTTAAAAGACTTTCAATGAACATTTTCAAATTAGAAATTGCTAAAATTTACATTCACAAAAGGGGGAACAATCCCTCCCTTTTCCCCGATTCTTTGTGCCTGAATATTATGTTCACTTGAGTAGAATTCAGATGCAGGTGAAATAACTTTTCAGAATTGTTTTCAATCTATTTTTAGTTCAATGTAGGAAAAATAAATCCTTCTACACGTGTTCACCTTGAAGGTCAATAAAATAGTTTGTCTTTAAATTTTATAAATTGAAAACATTAATCTACTTCAATATACACTGTATTGAAAATGTTTCCATATTGACTTGACAAATGTATCACTGTTTTAAAGTGGATTGAAAAATATTCCTCTTATATGTATGTATCCTATTCTCAGACGACCATGTTAACAGACTTGAATGTACATTTTACTGGGATTCCCCTGTACGTATTACTTCTATATACTTGAGAAAAGAAATTCCCATAGAGTAGACCACTGTTTATAAATAAAATTGAATAAAAGAAATTTTATATCCTTCTTATGTTTGTCACGTCTGCTTTATATTTGGACGTTCTACTGACTAGAGACGATAAAGACCAACTAACAACTAAATTGCCTGACAAACGGGATGACTTCAGCCTTTTCTGTTGTCAATTTTCCTTATTTATGAATTAATATTCTGCAATCATTTGCATATAATGTTTACGTCTACAAACTTATTCGATATCCAAGAGCACGATTAATTTTTAAATGAAGGCAGGCTACTGACAGATACATGTAAGTTGATGTTACAGGGGTTTCAACAACCTCGTTTAAAGTCAGCATTTCGTAGATTCAATGGTGGTATCAATAACCCTGTCAACAAATATAACCTACAATTGAGTCAATTGTTTGGCCCTTGATTTTATAATAAATTCGACAAAGGAATGTCCCGTTTACCTGATTTATATCATAGCGCTCACGGCGGGTGTGAAGGGACAACAGGTGATGCTTACTCTTTCTAGGCACCTGATCCCACCTCTGCAATTTTTGAGGGTCTTTTTTTTGCCCTGTTAACAAAATTGTACTGCTTGTGGATATTTTAAAATCATCACTGTTCGTTATCTTCACCATTTTTTCATTAAGAAATATATATATCCACAGTATGTCGTTTGCACGAGTTATTACGTCATTTTCGATACATTCTACCTCATTTGCACGACTTTTTATGTCATTCAAAATATACATATATATTACATTGCATAACTTTCCGTATTTATTTCTGAAAACTTATCTCATTCTTTTTTTTCCCTTCATTTTTTAAAAAATCCTACTCAAAGCATGCTGATTACTTTGGAAGACATGTTTACCAATGAAAAGCCAAAACATCCCGCTTGTCTGTTATTTAGCTATGAATGTCTATAATCAGTCAAATATCCAAATATGAATCAAATGGAAGACAGTCATAAAGGGAAATTACGTTAACAGTTATAACCAATAGCAGCCAGTTATAACCAATAGCAACCATTTTGCGATTGGTCAAAAAAGGGCATAAAGAAGAATATCAAACATTGAGGTTCAAACCTTGGCATCAATCACCCGTTATAAATTTTGTATCATCCACTCTGTTGGAAAGGGGGTCATTTTTCAACGGGGGTCATTTTTTTATAGAACACACGCATAAAAAGATGACCCCTAGGTCTCTTTTTCTACAAAAAAAATATTTTTTTCTACGGCTGGGGGGTCATTTCTTGTCGTTGAAATATGACCCCCGGTCATTATTCTATGGGGGTCATTATTCGTCTTTACACCTGCTCCATGCACACTGTTCCCGGAGTCCATAACAAGCAATCCACACAACTCTTGTTACAATAATTTGATTTAATGTGGCCCTGCTACTTTTGGAGGAAAAAAATCCTATATATTTCATGAAAAACTTCTATACCTTCTGGCACGTAACATCGTTTTTCAACGGGGGCGAGGGGGATGGGGGTGCAGCCAGAACTTCTTTATTAGGGGGGGGGGGGTCAAACTTTTTCCATACTGCGATCAAGAAGTGGGTGTGTAGAAGGGGAGGGGGTCTGTCAGTGAAACTTTCCAAGTACTAAATATTAATATCCGAAAAAAGGGGGAGCCCAACCTCCGATACACGTACTACGTGCCTGTACATTATTGCGGCCTCCTCAACTCCCGGAGTCAATGATTTTAATATATTTAGATGTAAAACTTTGATATTGTTGCCACGTCCTACCCATGGGGACCACAATAATATATGTCCCGATAGGACAAATCAAGTTTTTGATCACAGCTAATCTTTTTACAAATCTTTTTACAAACCTTGCATTAATTACCGACAAAGGAATTTTTTTCCTCAAGAAAACAGCGGCATAAGGTGTCTCCCACCTATTCGGGAGAGCCCCCTTAAAGCAAATAGTCGGATATACATGTAAATTACATGTGGAGTGAACGATTTTTTCTAAAACTTCAATTCTGAAGAGGACTAATCATTAAAGGCGATTTTAAATTACCCGTTACCTTCAACAAATGTATAGTAATACAAGCTTAAAACAGAAAAGCAATATCAATGCAAATTTACAAATTTTAATAGTGATCATTAATTCAACAAATGTAAATGTGACAAGTAAAACAATTCATATAAAAACATTAACATATCAACAAAAAAGTTTTTAAAAAGTGATTTAAACGGAAAATTTATAATGTATCTTGAGTTAAGCAAAATTTGAAGTCGAAACAGATGCATGTTCAACTAAAATCATCAATTATAAGTCTCACACCCTTCTCCCTCTAAACAAACCCAAGATCGCTATCAATGTACCATAAACCCTGGCAGTCAAAACTCCGACAGTCAAATGAGATTCAAATAAATTATGAACTTTTTATTATAACAATTCACCTTTGAGAATGTGCCATTCTTCTGTAAAGAGTAAAGGCCTAAAAAATACCGTAAGAATCAAATTATTCTGGACTTTTGAAATATCATTTCAATAAAATGACATTCGATAAATAAATTTTAAAAAAAATTGAGACGAACATCTAAGATAAAAATCAGACAAGAAGCAGCGTTCGATAAAAAAAAAATGAAACAGGAGAGGAAAAATCAGTGAGGGTAAATAAGATCGGGAATAGAGTTCATCTCTCCTATAAGGCTATCTTTTCTCCCTCATCCTTTCAGGGTCATATCCTTCCCCTACCCATTCATACCCTCTTTCCCTCTCTTCAAAATGCACAGAAGATTTTTAAGAAGACATCAATCAGCATGAACTCAGAAAGAATAATTTCAGAATTTGATATGAGATAGTCCACAGGTGCTTATTCCGGATTAAATGTGTCTGGTATCCTCCATGCATTCCAGGAATCAAAATTAGCTGGAGCTCGAACGTCTGAAAAAAATATTTAAAAATAGAAGAAATCAAAAGGTAAAACGAACATAACACACAAAACAAAAGCCAAAAAAAAATCCCACCCCACCCAGTCATAAAAAATTAAATCACACGATAAAATTTATATCAAAAAATCATTGTCATTATTATATGTTGAAATTAGAAACGGTTAATTATAGTGAATTAGGCAAAAAGTCAATCCTGACTTAATACTTACAGGGAATAGGCGTAGGCGGAGTTGGCTCTCTGGAAATTATTTGTCTTTTTCTGAAAAAGAAAGAATAGACATATTAGCTTTAAATCATGGACGCCCTGCATTGAATTTACTCCAACCGTCTATATTGTATGTGATTGAAATAGCGAATGATCATTTGAAAAAGAGCCGTACGGTTTCCATCTTCTCTTCCTTCGACACATCTTCTCACATGCTCTTTTTATATTTGTGAAGTCCACATATCTGGCAATGAAGTAGGCATTCAGAGTTAACAAGCCCAGCGCTATCACAAGACATGTCACAAACCAAGCGACGTTCCGTGTGTCGTCAAAGAAGGTCATGTAGCGGTCAGTGGTGGTCGTGGCAGCGGTGGTTGTGACTGCAGGAATCACCAATGTTACTGTGGCGGTGTCTGTAAGACCACCACCATCTGTGGCAGTGAGAGTAACAGCCAACGTTTGTCCTGACGAGAACCCGGCCAGACTGGACGCGACAAACAGGTCTCCGGTGTTAGATATCCCAAAGTAGTTACCTCCTGTAGACGATTGGTCTATTGTGTAGGTTATTTCACCTAAAATAAGGAGTTTGCTCGAGTGAATAAGGATTCAATCATATTTTGTCTACAAAGGATGAAGAATATAGGAATTGGGTAACGTTTTTTTTTAATCATTTTTATGAATTCCAGTGCAGGGGTTTTGGCAATTTAGTTCATTGCTGATCAAAAGTTTGTAGTTCATTTGTTAAACACAATTAATTTGCATGTTTTACACAGTGAGACATACCAAAAGTACCATTGTCCCCATCTATGGCGGGAAGACTGGCGAGAACTGTTCCCACGTCTGCCGTGGAGTACGCGTAAAACGTGTAGGAACTGGCAGTAAATGTTGGGGTGTTATCGTTGATGTTGTTGATATTAACGTTGAGGGTCGCTGTGTCTGTGAGTTCACCATCAGACACCGTTACAGTGCATGAAAATGTCGTTGGATTTCCAGCATCAACGTCGTAGTCGGTGCTCAACGTCACCACTTTTGTTGTTGGATTCATGGTGAGTTGTGGACAGTTTAGCGAATATGATTGGGTGGCTCCTGCATCAGGGTCACTCACCGTGAAAGCTGGCGTACCGATTGTAGATCCGGCCTGTATAATTAGAGCCAAATATTGCTTACTCAAATCTTCTAAAACAGATACCAGAATGGAGACTCACTATACAATTTGTGATAAAGAATCAACTGAAGCACAATTATTAACTTGAGTCCTATACAGAGTTTCATATCGTTTTATTATACGTGATTCTTTTACACAGGGTTGTTCTAGCGTACGCTTTAGTAACACTGTTAGTGAGTCGCAGATAACAAGAACTTGCAGTCGCCCGCGTGGCGCAGTGGTTAGAGTGTCTGCTCTAGAGTCGCGAAGTCAGGAGTTGATCCTTACGTCGCGGGTTCCAATCCCACTGAGGGACGTGGAGACCGGTCCTTCGGATGAGACCGTATAAACCGAGGTCCCGTGTCGCAGTAGGTGCTGGCACGATAAAGATCCCTCACTGCTCAATGGCCGTATGTGCCGAGCATAGGACAAAATTTGCAGCTTTCCACCGGCAAGTGGTGGCGTCTCTATATGAGTGAAAAATTCTCGAGAGGGACGTTAAACAACATACAAACAAACAAACAAACAAGAACTGCATGAAGACTGATCTTACCGAGCCTTCGTTTCCTGTGATGGTGTATGTGGAGAGGAGAAACTGTGGAGCCTCGTTCTGGTTTGTAATGGATATTGTTACAGTTCCACTGGCAAGGTCTTTACCATCAGACACGTAGGCAGTTAACAAAAATGTCGTCGTTCCTATGGTCTCGTAATCAATGTTAGACGATGTTGTCTTTATTGCACCAGCTTTACAAAATAAAAGTCTCTGATAAAACTGTAGTTCTACTGGTAAGAACATTAAGTCGAGGAGAAAAGTTAACTTGGACGTGTAACTTTTACTGTTGACAGTGTAATTCCATTCTATAGAAATTGACATAAACTCCCTCATTAACTCCAGCAAGAAAAGAGAAACATATTGTTTAAGGTTTTTTTTTCCTTCTTACTAAAGGTGTTGATTTCAAAGTGTTTTTAGAATAAATCCACTGCAAAAGAAAGCTTCATTTTGAAATAATTTAAAAATATTATGTTTATAAGAGTAGCAACACAATTCCTTGAAAACAGAAACTGGTGCACGGTGGGTTTAGAAGTATCGTGATGTAAACGATATTCACGGTTTTATTCAAATCAATTTTAAAGTTTAAGAGGATTAACCTTATAAAATTATACTTTTTTCCAAAGTGAAACCGTCAATGGCAGTTGAAAATACATGTAAATAGAATTCAGATCTTCAAAACTTGATCAAAGTTTTATTCAAATAAGTCAAAGACTGTAGGCCAAAGCAACATTTTGAAAGAATTTCTTTGATAAGATTTTGCAACGATGCTCAGCAAAATCGACAGACATTCATGCATATCGATGTAGTCTTCCCTGTTTTTCTTCTTTCGATAATATTTTCACTACTATCTATTTTGCGTAACAAGATGTAAAACTGTGAGAGGAGTTAGTATTTTAAAAGTTTTTCATAGATTATTTTAACAACGGCAAGTTTTTTGTTTTCCAAATTAAAAATTGATTTAGAGGATTTCTTTTATCTGAATGTAGTCTATTTTTTTATTTTTTATACCAATTTTTATTGCAATTAAACAAAAACAAAAAATAGTATTTTAAAAATTATTTACAAAGACAATTTAAACGTTCATCGGATTTTATGACTAAATGATAGCGGATTTGCCAAAACATCCAAAGAAAAGGATAAGAAAATGATTAATACCTTTAAAGATATTTTAGTCTGATGTCATTGATATTCAGCGTTATGATTACAAAATTCTCAATAGTTAATATAGATCCCACCTTCATTGATTTGTACTTGTCATAAAAATGGCTCAAAACATTGATTTTCAAATGAAAATTAACTCACTACTAGAGTCCATGGTGAAATAAAGCGACCCACTGGCCGGAGATATAGTTGACGTCCACGTGTGAGTGTCCAGAGAATTGACGTCAGATTTGGTCGCCGTGAAGATCGTGGTGGAGGCCGCCGTGTTCTCGGGAATTGACACCGTGGTGGGCAGGTTAGTTACCACAGGCGGGGTGTTCACATCTATTTCAATTTTATAGTAAGAAAATTTTTGTACGGAACCGTTTAACAGATAAAACCTTAAAAGGTTAAACCTTTGCGGTTTAGAAAATGCATGTAGATTAATTTTGTATTCGCTTTGCATTGCTCATATCTACTGAAAAATAGTTTCTAACCTTGATCACGTTAACAGTAGTCTATGGATTCTTAAGTATACATATCCAAACCATATGTCTTGATCACAGGCACCTGACGTTACTTATTTCTCTTTTAATAAAAAAAATATACCCCTACCTAATAATACACTTATTTTTCTTTTTTAAATAAAAAAAATATACCCCCTACCTAATAATACACTTATTTTTCTTTTAATAAAAAAAAATATACCCCCTACCTAAAAATACTCTTATTTTTCTTTTAATAAAAAAAATATATCCCCTACCTAATAATACACTTATTTTTCTTTTAATAAAAAAAATATACCCCTACCTAATAATACACTTATTTTTCTTTTAATAAAAAAAAATACCACTACCTAATAATACAAGGTAGGGGGTAATATATTTTTTTTTATTAAAAGAAAAATAAGTAACGTCAGGTGCCTGTGGTGTTGATGTCATTTTTAAGCACATCACTGATAAACTCGAATGTGAAATTTAAATAAGATCTAAATTTTAAGACAACAGAATAATTATATTGGTTTTATATTGTATAGCAAGACATGGTTTTTCTACCTGTGATTTTGATGGTTAAGCTTCGTGGTCCCACCAATGTATGTCCATCGTAAACGTAAATAAACATATCGTATGCCGTGTCATTGAGTCCTGCTAAGCTTTTGTCAACCAAAATAGCTCCGGCTGCAATGATAATATCACATGCAAGAAAAAAAAACTGTATTTTTAAGACCATTCTTTATAGATCGCTATATTCTGAATTTTTATTTTATTTTATTTTATTATTACTTTTTTTTTTGGTAATGATGCTTGTCTTTTTATGTCTTACAATGCAGAGATTCAGCTTCAGATGGAATGCTTTAGTTAATACATGTATATATGGTGAAGTTAAAGAATGTCCTTTAATGGTACTCATAAAGTTAAAACATAATAATTGCTTGTAGTATTATAAAAGCAAGCCAAAAAGTACTCACAGTCATAGATTTTGAATGGACACGTGGCAGGGGTACATGTCATGTTGTAATATAACTGGTCGTTTTCCTTGTCGGTAGAGGTGACGGTAAATACTGTAGTACCTATGGAAACTGCGGACGACGCGATGTCACGAGAATTGGAGGCTACAATCATTCATACATTATGATTAACAAATATGACGACTCTTGAAAATTAAAGATTAAATTATCCGTTACAAAATATGTAATGGGCTTTTTCCTATTCTTTTTAAAGTTTCATTTTTGAACAACACACGAAGGATTCAAAGCAAACAATATAAAAAAAACGATGCAGTTATCCAGTATAATTAGTTTTTTTTTTATAAATAATCATACGAACAAAGTCTCCAAAATAATATACTTTTAAGCATTTTTTATTCAAAATATTTCCTTTCTGAAATCAATTATGCTCCACTTACTCGAGGGTAGATTTGTTATCACTGGTGCCTGGTTGCGCTGAACATAAATAGTGAAGACCCCACTAGTCGTATCCTTCGTGTCAGTACATTGTACGGTCACAGTGTAAACTCTTTGGGCGTCGTAGTTTAGTCCAGCACCCGCCCGCAGATTGAGGGCATAATCTGAACACATATTGATGCAAAATGAATATCATATTATTATATAGTAACACCCAATTGACCCAAAAACTTTAGTAAACGATTGAGATAAAATTATGTATAAAGAGAGAAATCATATTTTTTTCTTCTTATAAGCTCATATCATATTTTAAAAAATAAATAATACTTGATGTTCCTGTTGCGTATCTGAGATACAGAGCTGCCAAAGTAGGATTGACGCTGTTTAGGGTACACGTGACCGTGTCAGCCAATGAGGCATCAGTAACAGTCAACACATACAGCTGTGTCTCCAAGCTCACGTCCTCATTGATTTCTGTGGAGGCTGGAAGGTTTTCTATCACCGGAGGCTGAGGGAAATATAATTCTTTTTTAAAGGTGTGCTCAGTTAAAAAAAAAAGTTACTGCTTCTTCAAGTTACTCTGTCCATCCCCACCTTTTCAAAATAGCAAACAGCACACACACGTTCATTATAGGAAATTACAGGATTGGTCAATCTCTAACTAAAAGCTGTTCCCTTCAATCACACATACCTTTGTTATCAATGAAAAAGGTGAAGATAACGAACCGTGATCAATCTTATAAATTCTATAAACAATACGAAACAAAAAACAAAAACAAAAAGACTTCTGGAAATACCAGAGATGGGATCATGTGCATAGGAGGAGAAAGTATCCCCTGTCAACCTATCATGCCCGCCGTGAGTCCTCTGTATTCATCAGGTAAACGAAGTATTATGCAGCCAAAATAGATATAAAAAAAATGGCTTTTTGACTGATCTACGCAACAACCCAAGGAAAGTTTGTGCAATTTGGAATTTTCAAAATGCGGATTGTTGAAAGCCGAGTAACACCAATTTATTTTCAGTGGACTATCTCGGATTAAAAAGTTGTTCGTATCAGAGAATGGACTTGAGTATCGAATCAGTTGCGAGACTTGAACACCATATGCATGTGATGTTGGTATAGAATTAAAGCTATATATGGCGTATCTGAGCTTGAAATACAATAATACGACATAGAGTGTAAATATACATGATATATGTTATTTACGTTCAAATTAAAATTTTCAACGATTTTGAGCTTGAATAACCTCACGTTTCTATAGTTAAATTTACTTTAAATTCGTAAATAAATCGGTTATTGTTTTAAATTTTTAATATCTTTGAAACGTGATTGATTTAAATTGAGTAATTTACAGGAAAGTCCTATCTTTACATAGAATAATAAAACAAATAGAAAAATCTTTTTAATTTTGGTTACCTGAACTTAACAAAAAATACGCCATATATGACTTTAAATAAATAGTGGAATTTGACAATGGAAAAGCTGAAGTCATCCAGTTTGTCATATAGTTAAGTTGTAAGTTAACGTCGATATTTGTATTCTTCAACTCTCCATTTTATATTTTCTATATGTATAACATGTACATGTATATGATTGTTTGTATTCTGTCCTTTGTATTCTATAGTTCTTTATTTATATTAAATAATTTTCACTTGCATTGTATAAAACATTATTTCTATTCTACTGTATATAACGTTTCTTCAATTACTAGTATGACAAAGTCACTACCACATGAATGTTCAGTAAGTTTGATAGATTGATTGTTTAACTTCCCTTGAGAGAATTTAACGCTCATACCAGACGTCACCATATACCAGTAAAGAGCTATCACCTAGGTGTCATTAGGCGGAAGAACAGTTACTAACCAGTGTTTAGCGTCTTTGGTTGGAGGCGGAATCGAACCCGGTACCTCCCGATCACGAAGTCAGCGCAAAACTACTAGACTAGTCCGAAATATCTGACGTTTTCCAGGCTTTTTTCACGATTTTGATATTTTACGTTGCCAGGAAAACGTCAGAACCGGCGCCATTACGGAAACTGGGAATTCGCCGCCTCCAACAGAGGCGGCATTCTCGGGTTGATTTTCGATACTTGCAAAGCGAATGAAATGTCAAACTCACAATTTATCAATAGAACAATGCTTTTAGTACTCACCAACATTGTTTTTATGGGTTGTTTATAAAATATACAATCCGATGAAAACATTTTATCTGACTGTCGAGATTTGTTTTCATTTTGTGCATTTTAAAATCTTTCAAGTCCTGTATCGAAATGATGAGTGATGTTTTCTTTTCATCGATATTGGTGAGTACTAGAAGCTTTGTGCTATTGATAAATTGTAAAAAAGGCATTTAATTCGGTTCCCAGGTATCGAAAATTAACTCCGATTGGAGACGGCGAAATTTCCAGTTTTCGTAATGGCACCGGTTCTGACGTTTTCCTGGCACGTAAAATATAAAAATAGTAAAAAAGCCAGAAAAACGTCAGATATTTCGGACTACCACTAGACTACCGCGAACGGTAATGTTCAATAATATATCAATTACATGGAAGTTCATCAATACAGGCCCTTAAGCAAGGTGGTTAATATGTATTTCTAGATGCATCATCCATGCAAGTTTGTTCAAGTTTGTTCAAGTACATATACTCCGAAAAGGAGCTGCCCTAAAAACTTTAATCTGACCATTCATCAACAAAATTAACTTGTACATGTAGACCAGTTGTAATATCCGAAGCAAGTCCAGTGGTGTCGTATCTCTTGATGCATCACTCATTTATATTTGGTCAGTAACTTAGGAATGACTTTGCTTAACTTACCTGTCCAATCATCCAGATATAATAGTCCGATTCAGCATCCGAAGTATGTTTGGTAGTGTGCAGCTCTAGATACACCATTCTAGCAAGTCTGGTCTAGGTGGGGCTAAGGGCTTATAATTACATAGGAATGTCTATTCTACAATCTAACCCGGCACTTAGTCACTGATCACCGCGCCGAGGATGTTGCGTAAGCTTAATATTAAATGTAGGTACGTTTAAAATTAGATGTCAAGATCAAGGTCACAAAGTACTGTACCTGTGGTATTTTTCAAAAGGTCTTGAGCTCATGCTAAATATCACAACCCCTATTCTCAGGGTTAAAAGATATTGTACATATCGACAATATAAAATAATGTTGAAAAGGAGGTTGAAGACATGGGTCCAATAATCTAAGTATATTTTATAAGAGCCTCGGTGTCAAATAATATATGTGCAAAATATCAGATTGATGCCCCGATCTAACGATTCAAAGAATGATACAAGATGTGACAGACCGAGAGAGGGATAGAGAAAAAAGATAGACAAACACACAAACAAAATAACCATAAGCTCGCTTTCCTTTGCAGACGAAAAAAATTAAAATACGTACATAATTTGTAACTGTGAGAGTAAAGGTGTGTTGGACAAAATTTCCACACAGATCTGTTGCCCGGTAAACAAAAACCGTGTTACCAATCGGGAGCTGAGATACGGTTGATAAAACTCCTGTAAAATAAAATAATACAGATTAGAAGAGTTCAGACTGACTTTAACCCAATCCCTTTTTAGGTCACCTGAGTCACTCAAGTGACCTATTGCTATCTGTTTTCGTCCGGCGTCGTCCGTCGTGCGGTAACCTTCGAACATTTTCAGTTTCTTCTCTGGAACCGCTGAACCAATTTCAACCAATTTCGACATATAACATCCATGAGTGAAGTGGAACAAAAATTGTGAATTTCATGGTCACTGCTCCCCTCCCCCCCCCCGGGGCCTTAGGGGTGGGGCTAAAACCATCAAAATTAGTGTATCTTTAAAATTGTTCTTCTTTACTCCCGGACATCAGGCAGTCATACTGTTGGCATGATTGTAATAAGCTTAAGCCATCTATCAAAATTGTGAAATGGCCCCAGGATCAGGGATTTTGGAGTTAGGGTGGAACTCTAATGATAATAAAGTGAAAATGTAAAAATTCTTAAATCTTCTTCTCTCCCCTTGTATATAAAGCAGATAAACTAGCTGCATAGTTATGTTGCTTCTTCAAAAATTTTGAAATTTGTGACCCCAGGGTCAGGGGTTCTGCGGGAGGGGGTCTATTAATTATATTGTGAAAATGCATTAACTTTTTGAAAATCTTCTTCTCTGTTTCTGTCTATTGTGCAAACAAGCCACGTAAATATTTTTGGTGATCAAGAGTGCCTATTCCAATTTGTGAGTTTCATGGCCCCTGGGTCAAGGGTTCAGGTATTAGGGCGGGGCTCTGTTGATTATATAGTGACATTTATTTGAAAAATTTCTTCTCTGCTTCTGGGTATTTAGCAGATACACTAAATGCATGGTTCTGTTGATCAAGAGTGCCTCTTCCAAAATTGTGAAATTTGTAGCCTCAGGGTCAAGGGTACTGAGGGAAGGGGTCTAATGATTTCATACTGAAAGTGCATTATATGTACTTCTTTGGAAATCTTCTCTGCTTCTGGGTCTTAAACAAACAAACCAAGTGCATAGTAATGATGAGCAAGGTGTCTCCTTCAAAACTGTGAATTTTATAGCCCCAGGGTAAGGGGTTCTGATGTAAGGGCGGGGCTCTATTGAATATATAGTGAAATTGCATGGAATCTCTGAAAATCTTCTTCTCTGCCCCTTGTAATTTAGTAGATAAACTAATGCTTGGTTATGATGAGCAAGGGTACTTCTTCCAAAATTGTAAAATTTATGGACCTAGGGTCAGGGGTTCAGGTGGGGGTGAGGGTGGTCTGTTGAATACATAGTGGAAATGCATTATTTCTTTGAAAATCTTCTTCTCTGCCCCTGGTATTAAGAAGACAAACTAATTGCATGGTTATGATGAGCAAATATGCCTTTTCAAAAAGCCTGAAATTAATAACTCCCATGTCAGGGGTTTTGGTGTAAAGGTTGGGCTCTTTTGATTACATGGTAAAAATGCCTTATTTCGTTGAAAATCTTCTCTGCCCATGGGTATTTAGCAAACACATTAAATGCATGGTTATAATAAACAAGGGTGCCTCTTCCAAAATTGTGAATTTCTTGGCCACTGGGTCAGGAGCGCTGGTGTTGGGGTGGGGCTATGTTGAATCCATTTATAATAGTGAAAATGCATTATTTCTTCGAAAATCGTCTTCTCTGCTCCTGGGAATCTAGGAGGCAAACAGAATTATTATATAAAAGTAAATAAGCAAGGGTATTTTTACCAGATTTTTGAAATTCAGCAATTTATAATTTTATATTCTACTGAAAGAAGTTATTCCCTTTCATTATTCATCTATGTAATAAATCACTATAACTAGTGTTATTGAATGGTCAGTTGAGTAACAGAATTATACAAACATTTTTATAATATTTGATACAAAAAGTACTTTCATAGATTTTAATGGCCAGGGAGACTTGTAAATAATAGATAAATAAAAATGGGACAGAAATACCTTAACGTTGTACATTAAATATTCTTCAAAGACTACATGTAAGAGGACCAATGTAAGAGGGAATAAGATGGGTTTACTAATATTGCTCAAGAACTATTGTTTTGTTTAATCCACAGTAAAAAATGGGGGCAAGTACAGGCAAGCAAATAGATCAGCTTTAAGATTTGTTACTGAACAATAAATAAATAATTTTGTCGATCCCTTCTCATCCTATTTCTCTTGCTTTTTGGGCAACAAAGCTTCATTTGTAAGCTTATTTGTTTTAATTTATATTCAATCTATAGATCCTTTACAGTATTACGTTATTCTCAGGTGACCGTTCAGGCCCTTGGGCCTCTTGTTTTTTTTTAAGTGCAAAAGTTTGGGTAAATTTTATTGTTTATCCACAACTCGTGGTGGAAATTTTACTACTATTCCAGTCGAAGTTTGACGTTTTATTCCGTGTGGGGAACAAAGAAGTGTTTACAACTTAAACGATCAGCTCGAATAATTGTAATATGATGAGTATGACTGGGTCACAAACAGTCGGGCAGTCAGATTGACTCTGGTATAGCAATAGGTACTTGAAAATAAATGCAAATCAATAGTTTTTGAAGAAAATTGAACAAGTTTGTGATCTTCCTGTAAGGTTTGTATGTTATATTATTCAATATATCGACTTTAATTTTAAAACATGCATGACTTTATTTGTGAAATATTGCGTTCAGTGTCATCTAAATACATGTACCGGTGTGCGGACCAAAAGGGCCTCAGTATACATATACGCTGTGTAAGAGTCGCCCGCGTGGCGCAGTGGTTAGAGTGTCTGCTCTAGAGTCGCAAAGTAAGGAGTTGATCCTTACGTCGGGGGTTCGAATCCCACTGTGGGACGTGGAGACCGGTCCTTCGGATGAGACCGTATAAACCGAGGTCCCGTGTCGCAGTAGGTGCTGGCACGAAAAAGATCCCTCACTGCTCAATGGCCGTAAGTGCCGAGTATAGGACAAAATTTGCAGCTCTCCACCGGCAAGTGGTGGCGTCTCCATATGAGTGAAAAATTCTCGAGAGGGACGTTAAACAACATACAAACAAACAAACAAAACCCTGTGTAAGGTCAAATATAACGAATACATGACCATGTAACAATAGATACGGATAATTTTAAGTTACACATAGTGGAAAACAAACGTGTACGCACGTAGAAACTGAAATGAAACATTATATTTATGCTTACATTGTAAGGAAACAAACAAACCTATTTCGAAATTGGGGCGGATGCGGGGGGGGGGGGGGGCAGAGTTGGTAGATGATCTTGATACAGAAAGGTTCATTGGTCGGGAGAAGAAGTCTATCAATATTGTAGGTTCAAAAAGGTCAGAGATTAAGACTGTGATTAGTGAATGGTATTTTCATATTTGTTGACACCATAGTAATTCATTCTGTGAGATACTGTGTTCTTTGAATGAAATCATATTGCAAGGGAATGAGGGGATTTTTGTCCATCAGAATCCTTGTATAGTATATTAACCATTTTATTTTTGACAGTGTATAGTCTATTTTTCACGAATGAAAGATTGTGAAAGGGATGTATCTAATATGAGAGATAAAAAATTGACCTGTAGTTGGGTCAAAGTTGAAGGCAGTGGAAGCTGGGGTGACAGACTGTTGTGTGAGGGTGACAGTATCCCCCGGATCAGTAGCCACTACCGTCAACAAGGTGGTTCCTACTGCTGTGTCATCAGTCACTGTTTTTGTGGTGTCCAAACCTGCGGCAAATTGTGGATTTGATCCTGCAAGTAATTGTAATTTTTATTTTATAGTTTTATATATTATAGACTTATTAATTTTACTTTGAACCTAATGCAATCAATACAAAATCTGTGTAATTATTACAGTTGATTGTTTTTTGTTTGTTTGTTTTTTTTTTTTTTGGTGACTGCTATTGTCTTTGTCTCTGTGTAACAAATTTTAAAGGGTCGTGAAATAATTATTGTGTCAAATTGTCAGGATCAGTAATCTGAAAATACAATCTGCTTCTTCCCTCTACGCAAGGAACCTTGTGTTGAAACTCACAAACTCAGATTTCGTACATGTAGCTCTGATATTTAACTTAAATGCATTATTAAGCAAGAACACTACAATGCATTGTCATTGTTAGCTTATTAGCAAGGCTGTATTATATATATCGTATACTAGTGATGTATAGCGAGACTTCTCCCAGAAAACTGGCTGTATAATACCCCCCCCCTCCCCCCCAAGAAGACTGGTTATGTGGTGAGCCTTCCGCTTGGTTGTTTGACTATATAATGAACCTTCTCCCTGAGAAGTCTGAGTCTTCCCTATTTACAGCCAGAACCAAAGATTGTGCTTTAGTTAGTTTTAGTAAAATAACACACCAGAACGAGGATTTTGTGCATTATTCACTTAAAATAATATACCAGGTCGAGAGTTGCGCTTTAGTCACATGAAATAATATACCATGACAAGAGTTGCGCTTTAGTCACGTGAAATAACATACCCGGACCAAGAGTTGCTCTAATCCCGTATTCGATGTTGCGCTCTGTAGTGTACGCAGCAAATGTTGACGTTGAAGACACTGTGTGCCCGGCTGTCGTGGAAAACTGTATTTGGTCATTACTGCTCCCTACTCCGTTGTTCGTTCTAATGTATTCCACTATGGTATTCCCAGAAGACTTGCTAGAGAATAAATGTACTGGTGCAAGCGTTAACAATTTAGAGCAATAATTGATAATCAAATTGTATGTTAAATTTGAACTTTAAATTTGTAAATGATTTACAGTTGCAGGCTTCATTTTTCGGTTCATCAGTTCATAGAAAGGTTTTTTATTCTTAAATCCTTTTTTGACTGACCACAACACCCAAAATTTTATTGTAGTGTTTTGTATATATGATATCTTGCAGCTTTTTTTTTTTTAAAAGAATCATACCAAGTGTACATACAAATTTGATAACACACTAAAACAGCTTATTTAATTGTATGACAATGTGAAAACGAATTTTCATAACGATTTATAAGACAAACCAATGTTAAACACGAAACATGATCATTCATTCAATATGTGGTTAATTATAATTCATAGGGTTTTTTTTTTTAAGAGAAAGAAATCAACGTTTCGTCTCACACATTGTTATATTTTCACTTACAATGCAAGATAGTCCCCACTCTCCACAGCTATTTGATTCGCCGCTGTGATAACCTCGTTTTTTAAAGTGTTCACATCTCCGGCTTAAATACATAAACACAGATCAATAATATAAGTTTAAGCACAAGATTAAGGAAAAAAATTAGTCAAATATAATAACATTTTGTGATTTTCAATAATTTTTTTTTAAAAATGTAGTCATTCTGCTCGGAAGCATGCCATGTGCAATTTTAAGCTTGAATATATTTGAAAATGTGTAACTTATTTACTCCATTCAGTGGAAAAAATTAAATACAATCTTTTAAAGAAAACATACCCACAACAGTTATTGTGTTCACACCAATAAGGGTCCAGGTTCCTGAGACTTGTCGCCATACTTCAGCGTACAAAGTACCTGTTGTTACAACCTGGATATCCCATGCCGTCACAAATCCACAGCAATTGATACGATATTCATTGTCGTTACTTTGAAGCAAAAATGTAGTCCCTGCAGAGAGATTTGCAGGAGAGAGAGTTTACATGTAGACATTTAATATAAAAAGGGTTAAATTTTATAACAGATTGAAAATTTTTCCCCGAGGTTGACAATGGTTTTCGAGGAAATTTTTTCAATGCTATAGTATAGTAAATAGGACCCCATTGGAAATAAGCTCTCGAACTTTAATGGGTTATCCTGGTATCATCTAGTCACCGTAATTATATGTCAAAAACTTTGGTTACCTGGATATTTATTTATTTACAAATCTATATGATTTTACGTTTCCCCAAATATTGTCTTTCAACCGCTATATTGTCTTACCGTTATGTATATCTGTATTTGTTTTTTGTATGATGACATGATAAATGATGTTGATGATGTTATCCTTAACTACATGTAGATGCAATTTTTGATTTTTAATATTGAATGTTATATTACAAATACTGCATGCAGGGGGTAACATTGTAAATGTTCACCCCTCGCTGCATTGCGGTTGACAATTGAAATGTTACACTCAAATAAATACTAACAGTATTTATTATACGGAATGTTTTATACAAATGAAGGTGAAACGCATAGACTCCGCGCAGTCATTGCAGCCCGGAGGACCGGGCTGCTCTATACATATATACACTGTAAGTATGGGATTGAGGTAGGAGAAGTTATTCAGAATTAAAGGTTAACTATACATTAAAAAGATTATACATCAGAATGTTCTTTCCCGTTATAAAGTATGAGATACACAATATGTTTACTTCCATGAAGTATATCTTTAAAAATATATATGTTTTTCATATGTAATGTACAAAATTGCTTATCATTTAGTATCGACAAAACGACAGATCCCTTTTTTATTTCACTTGTCGCATAAAAACGTACGTTACACCAGAGACATAAATAACACAGTTTGTGTTTTATATTCATTAAGTCAAATATATTTTTGGTGATAGGTGATATATGTGTCTGATTCTAATTAATATTTTATGCAGCCAACAGTTACTTGAGGAAATGATGAAGTTTAAAACGGCATCGTTTTTGTTCGTTTGTTCGATTTTCATCCGATTAGCTTTCCGTAAATCTTCTCGACTATAGTCTCAATCATTCAGACGTATGCCTTTATCACACAAATCGACACTCTCTACCATCGGCTCATACATTCACCTCTGTCGTTGGCTCGCGTATATCACAGTGATAAGCACGAGAAATAGTGCGTTTGTTTAAATTCATTATAATTAAATGCCTGCACTAATGTTCCTCTTTTAATCTAGATATTTACTTAGTATAGAACTATTAGTTTAATTTGAAATAAGCCTTGGAATGTCATGTTTTTTACGTTATGTCAAAAATCTTGACGTGAGCCCATCGCAGAGGTGTCTGAGAGAGAAACGAACGACAACTCTGCAAGGGAGATTGACAAATCGAAGCGGTTTCATGATCAAGATTTTACTTCATTTATTTCCCGGGCGACGCGACAATTGATGGCAACATCAATGTTTTCTTGTAGTTTTTTGGAATATATCCCGTCGTCTAGCAAGGTTGATTGTTAATATTGATGCATGTAAGTTCTATCGCGCTCATCATTCAGAGGGTAACAGTGTTTTTATTTTTAGCTCTACTGGTCAGAGACCAGAAGAGCTTATGCGATAGTAAGGTGTCCGTCGTCCGTCTAGCTGTCTGTCTGTCTGTCCGTCTGTCTGTAAACAATTTTTCAAAACGCTACTCCTCCTACAGTTTTGGTCTGATTTCAATATAACTTGGCACACAAGTAGACTACACTAAGATACATAATTTAGTGCATCGGTTTTTGATTTCGATGAACGGTGTTGCCATGGTTACTAAAAATATTTGGGTGATATGCGCCACATCTTATAAAATCAACAAATATTTTATTACGTAATTGAATTCTTTAAAACATTACTCCTGCTACAGTTTTAGTCTGTTTTTAATATAATTTGTCACACAATTAGAATACACTACAATACATAATATGTATTTCGGTTTTTGATTTCAGTGAATGGTGTTTTCATGGTTACTAAAAATAGAAATTTCTGTGAAATACTTTCAAAACGCTACTCCTCCTACAGTTTTTGTTTGATTTCAATATAACTTGGCACAGAAGTAGACTACATTATTTAAGATACATAATTCTATTTATTGGTGCATGTTGCAAAGTTTCAAATCCAAGTGCTACTTTTCCTTTGTTATATGTACAGACCAGTAGAGCTACAGTCTCATCAGAGACTTCTGGTTATCAAATGTTTCTCAACGAATCAAATTAAAGTAATTTACATGAAAGTATAATATACACAAATACAAATCTCTGTAAAACGTACTGGTATACATCACGAATTAATGTGACAATCTTAAAAGTAGTAAGAATACCACCCGATGCAAGTAATATCACCCTGGAGGGCGGTGTTTCTGTTTTCAGAGGGTACCATTATGCTTTCGACCACATACATGAACATATAACAGCTGTATAAGATCATTAACCATTTTGTCAGCTTTGCATACAAACCAGTTAATGTAGCCTCTGTCCTATCACCAGCAGTTTTGCCAACGGTTGTGCCAGCCGTACACTGGCCCTCTGCAACAAAAAATAAACCTTGTTTAATTGTTTATTCTAAACAAGCAGGCATTATTAGAAAATTATGACATTTCAACAATTTTCCAACAATCTGAATTTCCATGGGTACCAATTGCGCCCCCTTATTGGCAGACCTATTTTTGTAATCGTATGAAGCAGAATTTATTCAAACACTTCTACATGAGAAGAAAACACTTGCTGTGGCTTCAACTCGACATTTAGATATATCGACGACGTATTATCAATTAGATATATCCCAGTGAGCTTGAAATAAAAGATACCATAGAGTCTGACATATCTGTTTCATATTTGGATATTTTACTAGAAAAAAGACATTAAAGGTAACCTAACAACAACCGTTACGCTTTATGATAAACGTGACGACTTCATTTTTCAATCGTCAACTTCGCTTACTTATGTTGCAATATACCCTTATCACCTGCATATGAGCTTTTTGTCTCCCACTTGATTCAATACGCAAGAGCATGCTCTGCTTATGAACAATTTCTAAAGCGAGGCAAGCTATTGACAAACAAGTTGATGAAACAAAGATATTAACAGTCTCGTTTGAAGTCATTATCTCGCAAGTTTTATGGTCGATACAATGGCCTTGTCAGCAAATACAACCTATCATTAAGTCAAATGCTGACTGACGTTTTTCATAATAATTGTTAGGTCAATATTTACACACTGAATTGTCTACGAATTTTTCCGTTTTTCCCGATTATGACAAGGAGCACACGGCGAGTGTGACCGGTCGGCAGGGGATGCTTACTCCTCCATGGCACCTGATCCCACCTCTGATGTTTTGGACGTCCTTGTTTGCTCTGCTTTCAATTTGAATTGTTTTAATGGACTTTGAGCTTGAGGACTGTTTGTTATCTCCATATTTCATTTAACAATTTAGAGACCTATACAGCAGTGGCGACCGAAAGGAAAATCCACCAACTCCACTTAGGATGCTTCCATATAAATATGACTTATCATGGCTTAACTGTTCTCAAGAAAAATAGTTTCAAATGATTATCTTTTAATCTTATGTATTCCTATGTTGACATTGTATTGCTAATTATTGCTCCATCCTACTCTCGGAGGTGATGATTTGAATAAACTTGAATATAATCTATCTGAGGATGATTTCACATAAATAAGACTAATCATGGCTTTGCTGTTCTCCAGAGGAAGAATTTTGAATGATTTTTTTTCTATATACATGTAAAAGTATTCCTATTAAACATTTTATTGCCTATTGTGGCCCCACCGTACCCTTGGGGGTGATGATTTGAACAAACTTGAATTTACACTTCATGAGGACGTTTTCATATACATGTAAATATGACTCATCATGACTTTGCTGTTTTTGAGAAGAAGATTTGTAAAGATCTCTATATGTTTTATTACTACATGTATATGTAAATAATTTATTGCCCACTGTGGCCCACCCTTTCACCAGAGGTGATGATTTGAAAAAAAATTGGATCTACACTATCTGAGGATGTTTCCAAATAAATATGACAATCATGGCTTCGCTATTTCTGAGAAGATTTTTTCCCTAAGTATTCATATGTAAAAATTTGATCGCCAATTGTGGTTCTACCCTTCCCCCGGGTGTGATGATTTGAATAAACTTGAATCTTAACTATCTTAGGATATTTCCACATGGCTTTGCTGTTTTGAGAAGAAGAATTTTAAAGACTTTCCTGTAATCCTATGTAAAAGTTTGATTGCCCATTGCGGCCCCTTCCCTCCCCCAGGGGGTCATGATTGGAACAAACTTGAATCTACACTACCTGAGGATTCTTTCATATACATGTAAATATAACTTCCTCTGGCATTGCTTTTCTTGAGAAGATTTTCTCAGATTTTCCTTATATATTCCTTTGTATTTTTTTTTATTGATATCAATTGTCACAAACATATTTATAATATAGCATACAAAAGTACATTATATCGTTAATGAATATAATAAACAACACAAAAAAAATTTAATAGTGACAATCAAGAGAGAGAAAGGGGATTTAGAGAGGGGAGAGAGAAGGGGATAGAGGAAGGTGAAAGAGGGAGAAGAAAGTGCATGCTAGAGAAAGATCTTATAATTATAGTACTGGTAAGAGTATGTTCAAGAATTGCAATATGTCTTTAAGTGCCTGGTTTCAGGGTCGTACATAAGTGAAAGCCAATCTTTCCATTTATTCTTAAACTCATTAATTTGATTACTTTTTGTTGCACTATATTTCATCGTAGATAGTAATGTTTTCATGTCTCTAAGCAATCCTTATAATCTCAAAACCTCATTTTGACATTTAGTTCTGTATAGAAATAATTTCATACATAACAGTATTGTATTTAATTCCTTACTGTTGGGTATTGGGCTTCCAAATATGAACGTACAATTATCTCTTAGAAACTCTATTTTATGAGCTTTACAAAGAATGGTAAGACTATTTATCAGTTCCTGAACCTTCTGGCTTTCCCACGTGATATGAAAAATCGTTTCCTCACATGTCTGATAGAAGCTACACGATTTAGAATCTTTCAAACCAATTTTATATAACATTGTAAAAAGTGTGGAAATTGTCGTGGTAATTAATCAAGCATTTGCCTATTGCACATACTTGACATATCAAAAATTTTGCAGATATGGTTTTTATGAAAAAAAAAATGGTTTGAATAGGATTCTTGATCAAACAATATTCCTCGTATTCAAAGAATGAAGAAAATTTTTCCGTCAAGTGGTCGAAAGCCAGTTGGTCTACTTAAGCACTACTGATTTTATCCCTATATAAGATTAGATCGTTAGATATGACTAATTCCCTAGAAATCGTTATGAATGGACTAATCCCCGTGCGTTAGTTAAGTGAGCTAATCCCTGCTTCGAAAGCTAATTCCCGGTTATCCGTAATCCTCTAGATTTTACTTTTACATTGGTATGATATATGAATGGACTAATTCCCGTGTGTTAGTTCAGTGAGCTAATCCCTGCTTTGTATAACGCTATCTGAATCCTCTAAATTTTACGTTTGTATTTGGTATAATAAAACAGTTAAAAGTATATCATTGCGGGAGTTAGCAAGATTCCAGTTCCCCTCGACCAGGACTATTTCCCTTGGCTTCGCCTCGGGAAATAGTCCTGGCCTTGGGGAACTGGAATCTTGCTAACTCCCTCAATCACACCCTATTACCGGCGACTGGGACTGCCGATGCAACTGGGACGACAGACGGCAAAGTTGTTTTTCACTATGACAGAGACCTGATTTTTATCATATTTTTGACTATTTATAACATTCATTTACTAACGTATGGTGATTTTCCTTCATGACCATACCATAAACTATATTCCTGTAGAATTAATATAAAAGTATGATTTCTTATGTAAAAAAAGAACAGAATAAAGTTAAATTTCAATCGTCTTTCAAGAAAATTTGGTCAAACTGAGCTTATATAATTAAAACTGCTATTCCACGGTCACATTTCTTGTTGTATATGATAAATATAGGCTCTTAACGACATAACTGCAATAGTTGGATAGTCTTTGTTGATTAATAAGTGTGCCGCAAGTCCTTGATTTTGGTGGATCAAAGTATTTTGGCTATCGTGTACAACAGACGGGGCAAACAATGACAGCAGATTCAAAACAGAATTTGGCAATTGGAAACAGTGGATACGATTTTTAATAAAATATAAATTTACTGTATCTTATTAAGCTTCAAATTTCGGAAAACATTTTTTTTGCTGTAAATATTGGTCGTGCGGGGTGATCAAAAAGTTCGCGAACTATCTCTAGATTTACAAAACAAAAATTCACATCAGAATGAAATTTGGCACACATATAGTCATACAAATGTTCTATTACTAGCAGATGTTAAATGTTTGTGACGTCACAATGTAAAAATGACGTCAATATGTAGATGACTTGTGACAAAAAATGGTTGACTCAGTCGTACTCAAGCAACGAAAAGTTGTAAAGTTTTTCGTATATATCTTGGAAATTCCTTTGCAGTAACATATAATAATTTGTACAAGGATTATGAAGACAAAAAACTTGTCAGAAGTCCAATCATTAATTGGATTTATTGTTTTAGAGAAGGAAGGGAGATGTTTAAAATGATGTTTGTTCTGTTGCCCAGTGAAAACAAGCTGAGGAAGAGATGTGTCTTTAGTTGAGCAATTTGTTATGAAAGGTTGCCAAGTTACAGTTAGAAAAATAGTTGAATATCTTCACAATAATATAATTGTTAAATCCCAAAAATATTGTTTACTTTAGGCTTTAGACATATTAGATATAATAAAAAGAAGGCGCCATGCTTTATCCCCAAGACAGAGGACATGGGTTTTGATGGTCACCATGCTCATTCTGGGAAAGGATATCCTTATTCACCAATCCTATTGCCGAGATATAGTCATTTCTGACAAATGGACTGTTCTTGTTATAAAAAATAACTTCCATAGTAAGAAATATAAGACTCGGAAAAATCTTTAACTTCTGTGAACAGAACGCTACAGATAATTTCACGTGACCACCTGGATAATGTGATTAGCGCATGGGCAGAACGGTTGCAGATGTACGTTAAAACCGGAGAGGACTACTTTAAAAAATAATGAACACTGAAATCTTCTTTTATGGAAGCAATTCAATCAGTTCGCAAACTTTTCGATCACCCCTTGTATATAGTAGTTGCTAAAACGACAGTTATTGAATCAAACTTTTCCTTTATTACGAACATGAACATTGGTGATTTAAGAGTCGCAAATTTTGTTTTCCAGCGACACAGAATGAAAAACGGATATTTGGGACTGTAAAATATGATGGACCATAGTAAAGTATTCAAATATAATAAAGTTATTCCAATCTTTATGCACAAGTCTTATGTCCTCAAAAATTTGGGTTTTTGAATCTGCTTGTTTTAGCATTTCTGAAATACTAAAACATACAATTAAGAGGTATCTAACATGATAAAATGCAATGTAAAATGCTTACTTATCTCGTGAAATGAATGCTG